AGGACTGCAAAATATATTATCCCGGCAAACAAAGTAAATTTCCGGCACTTTCGCAGACTCGAACTTTTACTTTTCATGGAAAAAGCGCGCTGCCTTTTGGGAGTGCAGCTAACTCATTTCACAATTTGCCAGCATGAAACGGTTTTAATGTGAAAACTTTTGCGGCAACATTGTGGCAACACGAAAAGGTACGAGCTCAACAAATGCGGCCTGCCTGCCAGACAGATGGTTGCTGGCGGTGCTCGAATCCTTGGATCCTTGCTGCTTGGTCCTCGGTCCTCGGTCCTTGGCTGATCCCCTACTCTATGATTAAGTTGTGTAAAAGTTGGGTTCAATTTCGGGCCAACAATGTCCGTGGGTAGCGAGTGGAAAGCGAGTCAGTGGGCCAAATGCAATCAAAAGTACAATAACAATTGCAGGCAGGAAGGGTATTCGAGCATGTGGCCTCTGCGGACCGTAATGTTTAGGAAGAACAAACAAAATATTGAATATGACTGGCAAACACATGTGCCTGCTGTTCACTCAATCAATAAGTCGAGGGGAACAAAGGAGCGCCGAGTTGAGATGTAAATAGAATGCCGGGTTGGCTCCTTTCCATTCCAATTTCCCTTATGGAAATCGAAAGCGTTCTATGCAAATCTCCCTCGTGTCGCCTTTTCTACGCATTTTCACTTTGCCACACAATACATTTACATAAAAATGCACTTGATCTGCTTGCCGATGTGCGGATGGTGTTATCCTCCAGCTCCACATGTGTGCATATATCTCCATTCAGCTGTCAGTGCGATTTATTTACACTTGGTGATGAGTACGTCCTCGTTATCCTCCCGCCGTGTTTGAGCTTGTCTTACATGGTGGGAAAGCTAATCGGCTTTGCATTGGGAAATATTTACACAAGGGCAATGTAGTCCCCTAAATTTGCATTAATTTCGGGTTTCTATATGCTTGAATAGCTACAGTGTGTGGCGTATTGTCAACACATATTTAATATATCCAAAAAGAACGTTCAAATAATGCCTTTGTCTTGAAAGAACGGTAACTTCTGGTTTTAATAAAAAAAAGCATGAGCTAATTTTTATTTTATTAGCAGTCATATTTCTAGAATACATTGGGGTTTAAATCTGGTTTTCATATTAGAGATCATTATTTATTTATTTATAAAGAGCTAACGTTATTAAAATAATAATGTTAGAATATAATTTGATAAAAGTAAATATTTAAGATGGTTCTTTTCATTATTGGGATGAAATTTTATACATTTATATTCCAACGTTTGCCACTACTAGTTTGCATCCCTCGATTGAAATGCAGTTTAATCTTTAAGATAGAAAAAGTTAATAGAGCATGTCATCTGGGTGTATGCAGGGCTCCCCCTGCGTCGTCACCTAACCCCTGATGGACTAATTAATTTCTGGCCTGCCTTCACAGGTGGGGAGCAGAAGCAGGTTAGCGGTGGAATTACACGCTCCGGATTACACCCTAAGCCCGAGCTTTGAGCCCTTAAGTTGGGTCAGTGCTTGCAGTCTTGCCGGGACTTTATGCGCTCTAATCCCTTTGCATGCCATTATGGCTGAGCTGTTGCCTAATTGCCGGCCCACTGGATAGCTGGGGAACTGGAGAGCGGCGGCTTTAATTTGCTGGGGCCCCGGCATCCGGACATCAATAATAAATGGTAGTCGACAAAAGTTGTAAACCTTTTTCGGCACTTATCTGTCACACGTCACACAGCGCCAACATCATTTGTCAATTGTCACGACTTCTGGTTTAACTCGAACTGAAACTGGAACTCAGCCCTTATCTTTTCCGGATCCCGTCCCCGGAGAAGAGGTTCCCCCATTTCCCAGTTAATTTGCAAACGCCCACACGGAGGCAGAAACACAAAAGTTCAGTGTTTGCCAACGATTCATTTCCCTCGTCACGCTCAATTGTTAAAAATGACAACTAATTAATGTCTGTCCGCCCTCCCACTGACCACTGTACGAGTGCCAGCTTTTCGGCCAGTAATCGAAATTCTCTATCTGGCCTGGTCCTGCCCAGTTGCAGAATCCCTCGGTCAACTCGATTGAGCTTAATTTGAGGTCAACTGGTTCGGAATTTCAGAGTGATTTGTCGGTTTAAAGGTTAATGGGTGGTCTGTGGGTTTGGGCCAAGGAACTTGCCAGAAAACTAATACTTAAACATTTCCGAAAATCAATCACATTTCTAAGGTTTTACTGATGAACGTTTGGCCAGATTTAATTGAGGCAACGACAGCGAAATACTCTGCTCGCAATATTAATAGATAATAGATAGATATAATATACATAATAGCTAATATATAGACAATATATTTGATAATCCAGTTATTATTTCATTACTGTCATACATTCATATGTATATGAAAGGTGTAAAAATATATACTGACGGCTAATTTATTTATTTACTTAAATCCAAAGGTTTCTTCCCATGAGCTGCATTTCTGTAATTAAAACTTGCTTTAAAGCTCCGGCTTTAGGGTTTACATATGTGTTGATGATATACATAGGTGTAAGCTTAGTTATTAAAACTAAAGACAGAGCTATATCCCAAAGGTGGAATCGCGAACCCTAGCGAACCTGGGGTCCTATTCAAAGCTGCGACACAAATGACTTCATTAGCGCGCTCTACACGGAATCCCCTTTGAGGAAACCGACGACTCCTCCTCGCGGGTGGGCGCACTTATTAGTTAATCATGCCCAACCCACAGAGCAGTCCACATCCACTTAGTGCAGATAAGTACGAGAAATGGGCGGCAGATGGGTGACGAAAACTCCCGGACTGCACAAATGCCATCATTAACTTTGGCTCAAGCCGCCCGCCCGGCAGCGATTTTATTGTTTTTGGCTTTGGCTTAAGCTCCCAGATTCTCAGATCCTCAGTTTCCAGTTTCCAGCTCCCGGCTCCTCGGTCTCCTCAGTCTCCGGCTCCTGTGCCTAATGATTCGCACTGTGGCTCAGCTTAATGACAGCAAACGGACCCCAACTTTTCAAACTGCATTGGGTGCATTTACTGGTACTTCTGCTCGTCCTTCTCCTGGCAGTCGTGCAGGACATGTGTTCGAGCACTTGATCCCTGCCTTTCCCGCTCCCCCTTCCCCAGCCACTCCCCATTCCCGCTTCTGTTTGTGCCTGCCTAATGCTGCAATTTGTAGACCGCTGGGTTTATTACGGCCTGTGGCTGCTGGCGGGGAAGGGGCGACACTTTAGCCCCGGGGGCTCTCGCAGCAGGAAGGTCCGATGGTTTGGCAGGGTTAAGAACCCTACTTGCATATAAGTTCCTACAGCTGAGGTGAAAAGTATAGTTCCAATTGCAGACAACCATTATACTACTGTGATTAAAATCAATATCTTATTGTAGGTACTTTTTACAAATGCAACTCCCAAAATTTATTACTTATAATTGTTTTCGATTTTAATTTATTAAGTCCGTGTTTTAGAAAATTTAAGCAATATTTTCTTTTGATTTGTTGCATTATATGATATATAAAAAGAAATTTAAAGAATCAATTCAAACAGAAATAAATAAGCTTCTTTTTATTCAAAATTAAAAAGAGGTAATTCTAAAATTTAAGTTTCACTTTCCCACTAGTTAAATAACAATTTTTATTAAGAAAACTCTTTTTTGAATTTAAATATAAATACTTATTTTGTATTAATTTATTTGATAGGTTAGGCCATTTACAGTTTCAGCTGCAAATGGAAAAATGCTCCCACGGGTTCTATAGTTTTGGCAGCATCCGTTCAAATTTTCACATGCTATTCTTATTGCCAAGCGCATAGAGGACTTGAGGCTGCTTTAGGGCTGGCCGGAAACTTTCGGCAGCTGGCAAGTTGGCGACATTTTCGGCTGCCAAAAACTTTGCGAACTTTTGCGCCATGGCTGCGAGTCCGCAAAGTGCTCGTTCCGCTTTGAGTGGAGTTCATTACGAATGCCGCGTGTTGACTTATGCATAATTACTGTTTCCTCGGACCCCGGAAGCCCCCACTCCCGACCAGTCGCGGTGCCATGGACCGCCAACCGGGCTCCCAGGACCCCACTTGGCACAAGTTTTTTGGACCCGCTGCACTCCAGTTGGGTCATATGCTCATTTGTGTGCACGACGCACTGACCTGTTTCTAATGCAACAAAAACGTTAAGCGCCTGCCAGCCACTCGCAGTGCAGTCATCTGTGTCCTCTTGGCTCAGAGAGCACATCCAACCGCCCAAAGAGCCGTACACCGTATACCGTACGCCCCCATAGCCGTGCACCCGTCCCGGGACTTTGGATCCCGGCCGTAGCATACTTTTTTGCGCTGTCTGCCGGAGAGTTTATTTTACGCACGCCTTGACCAGACTGCGGAGGCGGCTGCAGCTTTCCACTTTGCACTCGCAGGCAAGTGGAAAAGTCAAGCGGATAAACAAGAGATTAAAATGTCATAAACAATGCTTTTTGCCACTCCCGCTAAGCAACTTAATGAAAGCCGGGGGAAATGGGTTTCCTTTGGCCTGCAGTCGGAAACTTTCAACTTCAAGTTTCAACCGAAAAAGCGGAGTATCTCTCCATATCCCGTCGATGCAACTCAATAAATTTCCATTCAACTTTTGATTTGTTTCCATGACTTTTTCCGCCCTACAAGACCAGAGAATTCAATTGAAATTGTTTCCAAAACAAGCTACACAAAAAGTTTTTATCAACTAACTATTTGGATACCAGCCAATAAATAAGTCTTATAGCCTACGATTTCCACTCATAAATTCGGAAAAGCTTACTTTCGAAATGTATGTATCAGTAGATTGTGGCAACTAAAACGTAAATTTGTAATCAATCAATAAACTCTAGAAGAAAATGTATAAAAATCCAATGATAAGTAAACTATGTCCAAATAACTAAGTGATCTTTTTCTGAACTGAGTTATTTTTAATCTTTTTACCCCTGTGATATGTCAGCTACTTCCAAAAAGGGCATCAAACTGTTCACTATTCGCAAGTAAAACATCGACTTGTAACACAATTGAAAAAAACTTTACTTTCGTTGGGCCTGCGAACAGGGGAGTTGCGCAAATGACAAACTATCATACAGAGGCATAAATAAGTCTCGCATATTTGCGCAAAACAAGAAACTATAAAACACTTAGAAATATTCGCGATTAGATTTACTGCCCATGGGCACTTCCACACACACACGTTCGCGCACACACACACACATGTGCGTCTTTTTATAATTCCTCGATATACAACATTTAGAGGCTATACTAAATGAAATACTGGATGACAAGTCGGTGCAAGCAAATCCTTTGACAATTTTCGGCGACAAAGATCAGCAACGCTGTGATGCTGAACGTAAGCTGATCTTTGGCGGCGAAAATTACATTTACGATACAAATTGTGAGGACTAATTTCCCGGTTATGTGTTATGTGGTTATGGTATTAAGTATTGGTTCGTTTACAAATACATGTGGATAGACTGAAGGAATAAAGGAATGAATATTGAGTGCGTATTGAACAATCAAATAAGGTGTGAACTAATGGAGTTGACCCTTTACTCGGCGGCGGCGTTGATCGTGATGGTCTTGCCCTTGGGGTCGTCGAAGCGGTCCATCGTGTTGATGTCCATCATCCAGCAGACGCCGACGAACATGATGACGAGCAGCAGGGCGACCACAAAAAGTCCCATCAGGATTCCGGGTGTCACGAAGCCCACGCAGTCCCAGGAATCGCCAAATGCGAATTCCTCGCTGTAGGTGCTATCGAAGGGAGCCTGCAGCTGCAGGGACTTGAAGCTCAGGGTGTTGTACATGTTGTTCACGGCCACGGAATCGAGGGTGAGGTTACCGCACGAATAGGAAAACGTGGTGGGGGCATTAACGCCCGTGGTGCGGAAGGTACTACCGTCGTATTTCAGGTTGCTCACGCTAAAGTATCCGCCATCATAAAGAATATCAAATGTGATCGGCTTGGTGGCATCAGTCGTAGAGAGCTGAACGGAGAACTGGGATGCGGGATTACTGGAATTGGTGACAGCGATGTTGTTGACAGTGACATCGTTGCCGTTGTACAGCACGGCGGTATAAAACATAAGAAACTGGTTTTTGTAGCGCCACAATGTGCCGCCGGTGGTGGCGGCCGTGTCACGGCGGGTACGACGCTGCACCACGGGGGCGGTCGAGGGAGCGGCCAGATACAGATAAGCCACCTTGCAATCGAACTGCTTGCTGATAGCGGCAATGGCGGCGTCTAAATGTGGTGTAAACATGGTCAAGTAAGTGTGTGATATTAGTTGCTTTGTGTGTTCACCCACCATGTGACTCCAGGCTGGCCTGGCGGCTCTCAGCAGCGTCCTCGAAGGTCACAAACAGGGCAGTGCCCACGGAGCACTTGGCCGGGGTGCTGAGCTTGCCGCTAGCATCGATGGAATTGTGCTCCCGCTTGGCGGCCACCGAGCGCAGTGCCTCCGAGGGATTCTCCACGCTGGTGTAGTAGGTCTTGGGGCTGACTCCTTGCAGCTGGGCGTAGCAGGACTGCGACTGGGCGTTGGAGCACAGGAAGTCCTTGTTGCTCAGCTGGAGTGTCGGAGAAATTCGAGAAATCAGAAGTCATGTTATCTGTGTGTGTACTTAACCACTTACGCCATTTTCCTCGAAGGCCACAACCATGTGATCTTCCAGCAACGTAGCCAACTGCTCGGCAAACTCCGCCTGGGGCACCGTCTTCAGAGAGGGCTTTGCCACACTGAGAGTGTAAGAATATTAGTTGCACATTCAACTAGTAGAATCGTTAGGCGCAAAAACCCACCTGTTGGCTCCCCACAGAAAGACGGGCGTTTGCTCCGCCAAGGCAGCCCCAATGACGCACAACGCAATCAGCGATTTCCACAACATCTCGCTGGATTCGCTTACTTATGGGGTTCCAAAAAAACAAAGGAAAACCGAAAATGCATAAGTAAATAACAAAAGAGAACACAAGAGGCACAAGAAAACCAACCGAAAAGTGAACTGAAACTACAAACGAAAAATGGTGGTGAAAATTTTCGCTTTGCCTTGCACGACGTCGCCTATTCCAGTGAAGAAAAAAACCTTATGACGGTCATGTGATGCGCACCAGCTGACCGCAGTGTTGTCAAAACATACCAAAAAAATGATGCTACAAAAATTTTAATAAATACTAAACAATAAAATAAAAAATGTATTGAGTTTAATAAACAGTGGTGTTTGAACTAAATTCGAAATATTTATTTTCTACTTTAAACTATATATTTTTATTTATAAATTAATAAATCAAACAAGGTTTAGATCACTGGTACTAACTTAGCGGAGATTCAAACCCCTTTATCCACTGGTGAAAAATGGAACTAGTTCGAAAAGTTCTGCTCACTGAACTAGTAAGTTTATTTGTTGCAGAAGAAAAACAAAGTTTTTGTTTTGATTTCACAGCGGGAGTCTTGTATGAAATGTGCCATTTAAGGACCTAAGGATGCGGTTTCGCCGCCGCTGGCCGCGAAGAATGCGGCGTGCTATAGAACAATTGCGTCTGCAGTCTCGCAGAAAGCTGCAGTTGCTTTTAGGTAAGTTTCTCTTTCCCATTACTTAACAAATTTAAAGTTTTCGAACTTTTAGTGTTTGGGGGGTTCTGCTTGGTAATTTGGTTGGCTGCTAACTATCTCTTCGCATCCGAGGAAAGCAAAACCGGCGACTTTAGCAGCTCCTGCAGTGCCATCGATGCAGTTTACACCTGGGTCAATGGCTCGGATCCCAACTTTATAGAGGCCATCCGAAGGTTTGATTCAAAATACGATCCCTCGCGGTTTGATGACAAGAATGAGCTGCGTTACTCCTTGAGATCGCTGGAAAAACATGCCAGTTGGATCAGGCATGTGTACATAGTAACCAATGGCCAAATTCCAAACTGGCTGGATCTCAGCTACGAAAGGGTCACAGTCGTACCACACGAAGTGCTGGCTCCTGATCCGGCACAGCTACCCACCTTCTCCAGCTCCGCCATCGAGACATTCCTGCACCGCATACCAAAGCTGTCCAAAAGGTTTCTCTACCTTAACGACGACATATTTCTAGGAGCACCGCTGTACCCGGAAGACCTATACACAGAGGCGGAGGGAGTGCGTGTTTACCAGGCCTGGATGGTTCCCGATTGTGCTCTGGATTGCCCATGGACTTACATAGGAGACGGCGCCTGCGATCGGCACTGCAACATTGATGCCTGTCAATTTGATGGAGGAGATTGCAGCGAAACTGGGCCAGCGGAAGGATCCCATGTCTTCCCACAAAGCCAAGAAGTGGGTGAGGTGGAAGCTGCAGCAGTCCCAAAACCTCCAGCCCACCGCTTCCCTCACATGGGCCTCCAAAAGCTGTTTAAGAGCAGCTCTGCTAACTTTAAGGACGTAATGCGACATCGAAATGTGTCCACGCTGAAGGAGCTGCGTCGCATTGTGGAGCATTTTAACCGGGCCAAACTCATGTCTCTCAATCCTGAAACAGAGATGAGCAGCTCTGAGCCACCAACAACCCAGCGCCACTCGCTGCACAAGGAAGACTTCAAATCCTCCACAGACATCTACTCCCACTCGCTTATAGCCACGAATATGCTGTTGAATAGAGCTTACGGCTTTAAGGCACGTCATGTGCTAGCGCATGTAGGTTTTCTGCTCGACAAGGATATTGTGGAGGCCATGCAAAGGCGGTTCCGTCAGCAAGTCCTCAACACTGCCCTTCAGCGCTTTCGAGCGCCTACAGATCTCCAGTACGCCTTCGCCTATTACTCCTTCCTTATGAGCGAAACAAAGGTAATGGGTGTGGAAGAGATCTTTGATGAGTTCGACACGGATGGTTCGGCATCATGGTCGGATCGGGAGGTTCGCACATTCCTCACTCGCATCTATCCGCCTCCACTCGACTGGTCAGCCATGCGATACTTCGAAGAAGTGATTCAGAACTGCACTAAAAATGTGGGCATAAATTATAAAGTTGATACAGTGGAACACTCCACACTTGTTTACGAGCGATATGAAGACTCTAATTTGGTTCGTACCTACAAACGGGTTTTTAAGCATTCAACTTAAACTTTTCGTCTTTTTAGCCCACCATCACAAGAAACTTGGTTGTTCGATGCCCACTTCTGGCTGAAGCCTTGGCGGCTAACTTTGCAGTCCGCCCCAAGTATCCCTTCCATGTCAGTCCAAAGAGAGCATCGCACAGCAACTTCATGATGCTCACTTCGAATCTCACGGAGGTGGTGGAGTCCCTGGACCGATTTCGTCGAAATCCGCGCAAGTTCAACTGCATCAACGACAATCTGGATGCTAATAGGAACGAGGACAATGAGATGGTACGCCACTTGCTCGAGGATTTCTATCTGTCCTTCTTTCCAAGGCGCAGTAAGTTCGAGTTGCCGCCTCAATTCCGCAATCGCTACGCATCCTGGCGGGACTATCAACGCTGGAAGCGAAGAAAGAGGGCAGTTCTGGTCGTCGGATATGGCGTGAGTCTGGTGCTGGTCGTCTGCCTGCTGCGGTTCATGTGTAACCACAAGGCTAAATTGGTGAGGCGCTGTGTGCAGCGTTTGTAGGAAAAATCTCTCTTCTGTAATGTTGTGATAAGTTGTGAAATTTATGTATATTGGCCATTTCTGCAAGCGATCATAGTCAAATCTAGTTGTAGGCCATGTGTAAGGCTATTTTTCTAGATCTTTAGGTGCATGATAGAGGCTACTTTTAGGATTAGTTAATAAGAGTGAATGTATAGAGAAATTTTCTAGATTCTTGTGTTATTTAGCAGTTGAAGAAAAGCTTTTATAGGTTGAATTTTATCATATTTCAGTTATTGACTGATTTTTGAGTGGCAATAGCTATTAATGCCAAGCTTCAAGGGATATTGCATCTATAATTAAAATACTTTACACAAAATGGACAATGTCAGCTGTAAAGCGTTTTTGCGATTTTTTATAAACAACTATCTTTGTTATAAATAATTTTTAAAAATTTTATAAATTCCATGTGTTTTTGATAACAAATTTAAGGATATAAGCTAAAATTAATTTTGAATCTTTTACATATGCCAGAAATTCAAGGATAAATTTAGAAATTCTCTAAAATAAAAATTAAACATTATTATTTGATATTACTGGAATAACCTAAAATCAATAAAACAAGCTAAAAATGATTTTAGTGAATTGTTTCTGCTTACCAAATTTTCTAACATTATTTCGGCGGCTTTGGAAGTTGGAAACATTCTCACATGGACGCTTTATTAAATTAGTTTTTTTATGTTTATTGGTTGGCTGCTGTCCAAAACTACAGATTGCTGGCAGCACTTAGCCTCGGTTCCGGGACCCGGATCCCCTGGCGCGTCGATGATTACCGCAAAATTTGACCACCCGCTGAGCGGTGGGCGTTGCCAAACAATTCACTGGTGGCTCGCAAACACTCTAACTACGTCATCACATTTTCGCTCTGTTTTTTACGCTGCTCTTCGGCCAAGGGCCGGTGGGTGGTTGTGATTTGTAATTACGGACGGGAGCCACCACCCACAACCTCCTCCCACGTCTGCTCGTTGGGATGATGGCCACAAAAAACCCAGACTCCGCACTTTGCGGGCCGGAAGTCGGTGGGCGGAACTGGAGCGAGTCCAGACAGACTGATACGGGTCTCCTTGCTCCTTGGTCCCCTTTTTGGGGGCGTGGCACGAGCCTGGTCGATAGCTCCCCAATGTAGTGTGCATATGATGATGATTTGCTCTTTTGCGAGGAACATCTTCCTTTTTTATTATTTTGCCACCGTTGGATTTGCCGTTTTATTTCGCCAACTCATGAAATCGCAAGCGGTTGGGGAAACAGTGGGTGTAACCTATCCGGATGCTGTGGCATAAATTGCGTCCGCCGTTTTTTACCCCACTGGCCGGAATATCAGGGGTCAGATTACTAAATCGAAGTGGCTCAGCGGGAGTTCCTGCCCCATCCCTAGTAGCTCTGGATGGACAAGAATATCAATTACCCAAAACAGCAGCTCGGATCTTATCTGAACCAATCTTTTATCAATTTTCTGCACGTGTCTGCTGAGTTTTACGGGCTCTATAAACCTGTCCCTATATACAGGACACGTAGGACTAGCCGAGATCTGGCCTCGTAACTCATTCTAAACGATCTCTAGTTGGGCCACACAGAAACTCGAATTCGAACCTGAAATACGTGCACACGCCACAATTTGGTTTATTATGGCTAAAGGTGTTCCCTAATCTCGATTCTGAGTTTTATGTGGTCTACCACAGAGCGGAAGTTATTGTGGGTTGAGAGAGCCCGGTCCTGTGATTAATGCCCGATCGTTATGCCAAATTATGCAAAAGATAATAGAGAGAATGTGTGTGGGATCAGCAAGCAGAATAAAAAGGCGGTAGAGAAAGGGGAAGTATTCATATCCTGTTTGCAATTGGTAGTTTGTAGTAGTTAAAGGTAAAAGATGTAAGTGTCCAAATTATATAAATTGGCTTTAAATACAAAATTGTACCACACGAATTTTAAAAGTAATTACTAAGGTTTTTAGGAAAATATTTGTAAAATACCGTAAGACAATAATCTTTCCAATTTTAAGATTCATAAGTTGCCCAGAGACTACTTCCTTTATCGATCCCCATCAGATTCTATCGGTCCCTTACTATCCCTTTCCAAAACCTTGAACCCAAAACCCCACCAAACCCTCAAAAGTGCCGACTCGTTGACCAAATCCCAGACATTTGGACACCCGTTTCTAATATTTTCCTAAAAAACGTTTAGCTTTCTAGGAGAAGGGGATGTAATATATTTGTATTTAATTGGCTGGCACGAAATCGTTGGACACATTTTGACAAACGGCTTCCTTCGTGACCAGAAAGTAGCCGCGAAAAGTCTTTTGAAAATTGATCAATTCAAGTGCGCATTTCTACAATATTTTCAAAGTGCATTATTCTATTTATATTTATTCTTTATTGCATTATTCATGCGGTCGGCACTTTGTTGGTTAGCCGCTGCATATACATAGTAATAATCATTTTCGAATTGTTTGAATAACTCCCGCCCCCGCAGGAGGGTGAGAACAGGGGGGCGTGGCTGTAGCGACATGTATGAAAATGCAGTATAAATAAAGAATTAAGACATTAAATCGTTCATTGCGGCAATTTACATTCATTATTATTACGAGCTCACCTCTACGTGCCCATAAGCCATGGGAATTGGAATACGGACGGACTTCGGCGGACAGAAAACGGCGACACTGTCCAATTGGAGGGGGATTGGGGCAAATGGATGGGGCGACGGCAAGAACGAACGCCGCCTGCCTGCTTTATGTTTTGGTTTTAATAAAATCATAAAATGGTAATTAATTAATTCACAAAACAAAACCCAATGAGAGTGCTGCGTAAAGTGATGGGACACGCAGATGAAAGTACCCTAAAATTGACCTTAGGAAATAAGTGGTATGGTTTTGGCAAATTCATAGGTTGGGATAAAATCAAGTTGTCAAACAACTAAAATATAAAATCAAAACTTGGTAATCATAGAAACGTTATTATAGGACTAAAGGACACACAAACCACAAATCGCTAAAATAATATTTCTTTTAGGGAATGTTATGGTCATAAGAAGGACATAGCCACCAATTGGATAGTGACACAGTAGCAAGCAGTATAAGTTTCGAATTAAGGGGAAAATAATATTGTTGATGCTAAATTATTTTAAAGTCAAATTACATGGGTATTTGGGGATATTCCAAATCCTTATTTTAAGTTAAGTTGATTTAAAAATGCCATGTATTGCCATATAAACGGCATATACGATTGATCTTTATGTCAAACTGATCTTTTTTAGGATTCTTTTATATGTTTGCGTTGTATGTGTTAAAAGTAAGCCGGGTAAATTATTTTACTGATGATATTAGTGAAGTGCCTAGGCTACCAATATACCCCACCTGCTACCGTGTTGGCCTGCCCCGTTCCCAAAAGCCAATACCCAAATGCATTGCCGCCGGTAGCTGCCGCCTGTCCACCCTGACGGATCGTCATCGCAGGCCGCTGATTAGGGATTCAGGTGCGTGAGTGCATTTTCGTTTTGATTTTTTTCGATTCTGTCTTCAGCGGAATTTCAACCGGCGGAGCCAGACGGACGGAGGAGCAGTGGGTGCCCGATCGTCGGACTGACAGATCGCATGGCAATGCCTGTGGTGGTAGTACTCCCTTCCAAAACTTGAGTTACCCCCCTTTGTTTACAAGCCGTTTACATCGCTGATTGCCGCTGATTGTCGATGAGGGGCAACTCAATTCATGGGCAGTTAATTCATGGAGTTATTCCCGCTGTCTCGGGCCGTTGACAAGTGCACTTTAATGAGTCGTCCGCGGTGCCTTTGAAGGCCTGCGAAGTCCAATGATGGCCATGGCAACAAACTTGCCGCAGTGCTAGCAAAACCCGGAGAACTCCTCGCCACCACATGTGCGTTTTCAAAAAAAGTGGGCGTGTCCCGGCCTCATGACAAATTATGACAGCGCGCATTTCTGCCTTGATTTATGGCCGTTCGTTTTGAGTCCTTTCATTCAACTATGACCCCCTTTTTGCGGCTCGCAGGATCCGGATTTGAATCTCTACCCTCGCCAAAGAGCAGAGGACTTCCTCCCATTTTTTAATGATTTTAAAGTGATTTTTAACGTGCTTGCCTTTCGGTTGCTTAACTGCTCAGGGCGACACAAATCCGCGCGTAATTAATGGCAATATAATTTACAAAAGGCGAAAAGTACCGAAAGTACATGCAACTACATAGCAGCAATCAAAGGTGGCTGCTGATGATACTCCTGATGACGATATAATGTGACGGCTACAAGGAATTGTCAGTACTCTACAGTTTAGTGAGTTAATAAACTGAGGTTTCTATACAACAAGTGATTATATTATACATTACGATGTCCTAAGGGATTTATAGTAAATTCAAATGTTGAAGAAAATTTGCACTCAAGTGTAGCTCCACGATAAATATCTTCTATAAACATTCAAACAAAAAAAAATTGAAAACAATTTCATACAAAATTGATTGTGGATATCTAACTAAGTCAAGAGAAGATCAACCTACTTTTCACACCTGGTAGAATTTCGCAAGTCATATAAAATTATAATAATTTCAATAAAACTTTACCTAAGGTTTAAATTTTAAGGTTACCAATTTGATTTTAAGAATGCTTCGTATCATTTATAACCTTTCTACGGTAGTTCCCTCCCTGACCAACCTAGCCGAACTCCGATCCTGCCGCACTTTGTTCACTTCCCGCAAAGTCAGCTCCCATCTGGTTTCGCCCGAGATCCAGCTTCCGAATGTGGATTCCAAAAGAGCATCACTCACAATCCCGCAGCCGGCAGCAAATTGCCTGCAAAGTGTTGCAATAATAAAAACCCATGCTTGGAGGCGTGTCCCAACATAAAGCTGCTAACGATACACGAGGGTGACACCGAGTCCGTGAATAGGGCCAGTTCCCAGTTCGATTCCCTTTTCCCGGGGTGGTTTTCCTCCTCCTTTCGTTTTTCGCCCTTTCAGCCAGGCACAATTAGGCGTTTGAGAGCGGCGAGGGGCGTCGAGGGGAGGAACAACAAACAAAAGTCAGGAGGCAGCCAATAAGTCGCTAATGCAATTAAAAACTCACACAAAGGGAGGGAGATGCTGATGCTAATAAGTCACGAGGGAAGAGTCCTGCAGCCAGGACATCAGTCTGCCGAAGAGGCGTGACACGTGAGACACCTGGAGTGATTGCTGTTCCCCACTCTCTCTTTCTAACTCTCTCTTTTTCTTTCTTTCGCTCGCAGGATGTTCGGGGATCCTTTCTCATTTCGTGACAATTTGGTGCGTTAAATTACAAAAATTAGTCACAGCTAAATCGACCCAAACTCGAACTCGAACAACGCTCGATTTTCGACACTTCAAACGGGCACTTTGGGCCGTGCTAAATCGCACAAATTGGCAGTTTAATTGTTCCAATTGACATCGAGACGAGATTTGTGCCCGGGGTCTCTTAAGTGGACCCTGGTTTCATTCGACTTCCTGCTCCTGGCTGGGCGTGTTTCTGGGCTGACAGAATTTATGTCCCTTCATGTGGTCAGTGGAAAACAAAGAACATATAACCAACATGGGTTCTTAACTATACTATATTAATATATGGCATATGCGCAGAAGCTCGTTTGAATAAAATGATTCTTTAGTTTAAACACAGCGAAAACAATACTCAAGCAATAGCTTGTAATTTTAGTATATATATTATTTTGAAACCATTTAAAGAAACACACTTCGGTTTGAATTTGATTTTTCTTTCGTTTATTTACAAAAAGAGAACTCCTATGGCAGCTTAACTGCCCCTCCTTATGTATTTACACTCGCTCAGTTTTAGCTCCTTGCTCCATCAATAGATACTCCTGGCGAGGGAGAGGGGAGTGGCAACCCCCAATCCTCCCACTCCCCCACCCAAACCCACTCCAAGTCCCACAGGACCGCCCACTGGCGGTGGGGCATTGGTAGTACCGCTGAACTTCTCGAATCCTCCAATCGCCTCCGCCGAGAGTTTCTTGCGAAGATCCGGCTTCGGTCCGCTGAGGCACATCTTCTCCATCTGTTGGTGCTGCGATCGCACGGCGAATCTGTTGACATGCACTGGGATGGGAACCACGATCTTGGTGCCAGTGGTGCTCCCATTCCGACCCAATCCATGGGAGGTGAGTCCTGCCTTAACCCTTTTCCACTTGGCCCTTCGGTTTTGGAACCAGATTTTCACCTATTCGAAGTTAACAATAAGTTAAGGGTTTTAAGTTAAATTATAGTTAAACCCACCTGAACTTCGCTTAATTTCAAACTGGTGGCTATTTGACTACGCTCCGTGAGACTGAGATATTTCTTGGCATGGAACTCCCTCTCCAGTTCCAACAACTGCTCCGAAGTGAAGGCTGTGCGTCGGCGACGGGACTTGGAGCTCGAACTGGAGCCGTTTCCCTGCGAGTCCTTGCCGCCCATTCCGCCTCCTTCATGCCGAGAATGAGCTCCTTCGTCATCGCTGCAATCCTCGCTATCCGAATTGGTGTAGGCTAAAAAAGGTTAATTTTTTTTTTTTTTCATTAAAAACTTTTTTTTATATTTCATCATTCCAAAGAATTTAGAAATGGGTTCTTTAAAGTTTAGGCAAGTAAAATAATAACATTAACAATCCTTAAAAGCCTTTCAAAATTGTGTACCATAATGGTTTGTAAAAATAATAGATTCCGCTAAAATGGTAATTAAACCGAATTTGTAAATTTGATTAGAGTAAAATCGTATTAAGCATAAATAATTTTTTTATACAATCCAAACGGATTGTAATCCGTGTAAAAGTTCCAATCCGAGACTTTAATTTAGTGTTTATTTTAATTAGCAAACTTACGTTATCTGATAAATTTATCTTTAAAAAATATTTGAACATAAATATCTAAATATGTTTTTAAAGATATTTAGCATCTTGTGTGCAGGTTAGTCAGCATGAGAGTCACTCTAACACATTGAGTTAAATGATGTTGCCTCGGACCAGCCCACTTCCTGACTGATTCTCCTCGGGCTCAAGACGCTCTCTTCAAGACGCCCATTAATGGGGCCCTAACGAGTTCGGACTTCTGGCGCAAATGGCCCGTGCCATAACTTGTGGCAAACATATTTATTTATAACTGGATACATGTGTCTGAAGGCTGCCCCTTCCCAGAAGAAGAGATGGGAAGTCATCAGGAGCACTCGAAACTTAATCTGTTTGTTTTGGATGGGCAGAAGTTGAGCATGAAAGCTAAATGCCCCATTGGAGGAGGGTGACACTCCACTCCGAGATGAATTAATCCATCCCCACTCAGATCCTGTTCATTTTGAGTACACGGTTAAGCGGTTTTTTAACACTTACACGCTTCAAAAGTGCCCGCTGTCACTGATTTATCTGCGCTTTTGATCCCCTTGTTCCCAGTGACAGCACCCCAATAACCACCCCATGGAACTCAACATTAACTTAACCAACCCACCCACACCCCAACCTCATTCGACGCCCACTCGGGCTCAGTTATGAATATATTAGTCGGGAATTTGTTGCGCTCTTAACTGCTCTGCTGGCAAATTGATTATGGCACGGATTGCTCAGTTCGCAGACACTTTACAAAACATCAGCAGGGGGCCACGGATGATTATTGTGCGGTGGCTGGGAGTCCTTACGTACACATCCATTCCGTTCGAATGACCAAACTAAATCGTTACGTTTGTCAAAACGTCAGCACTCCAGTCGCTTTTCTATTGTGGTCGAGTCCAGAGTCTGGAGCCCGAAGTCGGAGTTGTGAAAACTTTTCACAGATTTGATTGACACCAAACATTGGGTCTTAATGCATTCTATGCTAATTTTGATTATGACGTGGCGGCTTCAATTTTAATTACCGTGACAACATCACTCGACAAAATGAGACCCGGGAAAACTGGACAGGGTTTCAAAGAGGTCGGAATCATATTTTTGAGTGCTAAACATTTCTCGTGTAAGCTAGTGGATTTTAATTCGTGGTTAATCCAGTATTAAGTTTTATAAGAATGTAATGAACTATATTTCATACAAACATATGTATTCACTGTTCTCTTGGATTCTTTTTAAATATATGTGTCTGTTCTTGAATCGAGAAAAAAATATAAAAAATATATATAAAGGGACTGGTAAATATCCTCCTTATAATGCCAATTTTCTCGTTTGTTTTAATCAGCCAACGGGTTTTGATCAAAACCATCCACCTATTGCAGTTATTTAGTTATTGACCAATGATATATAATGTGAGCTTCGAAATACTTAACCGTTACTAAAAAGGGAAATATCGAATTTGACTTGTATTGGGTAAGGGATCTTAAAATGGTTGTAGTGCTTAAATCGTTTTAGTGGTGCTTAGATCAAGAAACCCCTGGACTGTGGGAAGAAATGCGATTGAAAAGTCACCTTTTATTCTTCTATCCTATCTCTTGTTATTTACTAATTGTTTTATCAAGCAGTAAAATTGTTTAATGAAAACTACTCCCCTCAAACTATAGTAAATTTTTTAAAAAACTGCTTTCAAAGGACTTTTTTAGGCCATTCTAAGACCGTTGAGTTAGTTTAAAAATTCCTTTAGATACGTTAATGTGTCCCAAGGGAAAACCTAGATGCTAAATCAGGAACTTTTTCTAGTACGCACCTCCATTGCGGCTCTTCTCCATCTCGCCATTGTAGTTCCTGGGCGACATGGTCAGGCTAATGTCGCTGCAGGAGTCGCCGCTGCACTCGAAGTCCTCGTCCATGCCCACGTCCAGCGTTGGCTCCGCGGGACTGTGGCTGCCGGACTTCGCTGGCGAGGAGTGTGCCTGCGGAGGCGTCGGCTCCTGGAGCTGCGCCAAGCCGGGGTTCGCCTGATCCTCGTGGATCCTGCCGGCGGCGGCCATGTGCTGCAGTCGAGCGTGGACACTCAGGCTGTGCACGTAGTCCTGGTTCATGAGCTCCGCCAATCTCCGGTAGCTGAGATCCGTGGGCGTTGCTCCTCCGGCGGCAGGATTGAAAGGCAGGAAGCGCGTATCCAGGGGATGCGGCAAGTTGGGTGGAAGCTGCTTCTCCAAGGCATGTGATGGTGGTGGTGGTGGTGGCGCTGTTTGCGGCTGGGGCTGCTGAGGAGCCGGATGACTGGCCGGATTGGAGGGTAGGTAGCAGCCGCCGGCGATTAAATGCGTTAGTCTCTCGTGGTTCTGGGCGAAGTAGCCGTGCAGCCAGGGATTGTACAGCGGGAACTGCGTGAGTCCCAGGGCGGAGCTGGCCACCATGGCCCGGGCACTCAGTTCCTGCTCCTGGTCCGGCTCCTGCTCCTGCTCCCGATCCCGATCACGATCCCGATCCTCGGGAGGCGAAGGTGGAGCGGCTCTGGCAGGTGTTTGGTTGGCAATCAGACTCTCGATGGAGAAGGGCTTGGGAAATGGCTTGCTAACCAGCCTGGTTGTGGAAGCATCCACGTGGCCGAGCTCTCCATTCTGCAGCAGGGCGGGCCGTTCCATGTTGCCCTCTCAAAACTCACTTTCAAGAAGATACAATATTCTTTTTAACAATTCTTAACTGGCTATTGTTCGGCGGAGACACGACGCAGTGAACCGTTCAGAGATCTGCGAGCAACTGTCGAGCTGCAGCAGACATCACGTACACGTACGGCACCCAAGTGGCAATTCAGTTGAGCAACCACCACAAACGCCAGTGGCTCCTCCTCCTTTTCAATATGGCGCATGACAAACTGCTGGTGTCTCTGTCTCGCCGAGGAATCCCATTGGCTCTCGGCTAATTGGCGGCTGTCCGAAGACAGCGAACCAGTTTCCGGCAATGGAGCTGCTGCCCCAACACCACCACAACCACAACCACCACCACCACCTACACCCACTCCCTTCGAGGCTGCACCACTTTCCCGCTCCGTAATTGCGTTCTGCTCGAATCGCTCGGTAATCAGACATCGCCAGACTGCAGGGAAGAGAACGCCCTGCCATTAATGCGCCCGTCATCGTTAGCTCCTTCCCGGAATGGGGGTTCTCCGGAGGAAGGCCGCTCGGTTCTCGCGAGGCATATTAGTGACCAATTTAAATTCAAACATCAGTTGCCAGTGGGTGTGACTGTCGGGCATCATTAGCAAACACTCGACTGTGCTCACCGATTTGTATCTGCAATTTAGCTTCACATCTGCGGTTAGTATATCGCTCAATCAGGCAGGAGCTAATCAGGTGGGCTAGCGTTTTATTTTCATATCATATCATTTTTTGATTTGTTAAAAAGATAGCACACTTTGCATTACAGGCATACTCATTTAGAACTATTTGTAACTGGCAAGTCATTCCACTTAAATTTAGCCTGGAGAGTTTGAATTTAGTTCGCTACCCTGACTCACTTTATAAGATTTAACACACGTTAGTGTGACATTTTACTGATCTCTTTTTAATATTTTTCTTTTTTATGTTAACCCGATTTTAGACTGTTGATTTTCATACTTGGCTAAGTGTTTGCTTTACTTTTTTATTTTATTTTTCGTATTCAAAAGTAATGATTTATTGAATTCATTTTATGAGACTTGTATTGTAAAAACTAAACATCTCAAGTTCTCAGAATAATAATAGACATATCGTTTTCGTTAATATCAGGAAACCTAGCTTTTTAAGAAAAATGTGTTGTCATGAATATTTTTTTTATAAAAAGAAAAACCCTCAAAAAACAATGGTGGAAACCATTTAGAATTTAACATTCCCCCAATATCAGATATTTCTATTATTTTTCCACTTCCGTTGTAGGAATATCCGCCTCCGCCCCCGAATTCCCCTGGAGACCTAATAATTGATATGCGTAAGGTTTTCACGCCGATACAGCAGGTGGCAATGATAATTTGCATGTGTATGGCTTAATTGATCGTAATTGACCAAATTTTTGGCCATAAAAGACCGTGGGTCTATTGATTGGTTCACAAATTGGCATTGGTCACGTTTGGTTGTTTGAAATCTTTTACGAGCAGCGAACATTGCAAACATTTTAACTGCATAAATTACAATATAATTATGCGGCTCGTTGATAATTTTGGTTTTCTGATTATGATGAAAGCCCACGGGTTTTTCGTAGTATTTTGGCACTTTGTCAAGGATGGGCGGGGATCCTCATAGACAGTGCCGGAGTGATGGTAAATATTTCTGGGCTGCTGCTTCTCTTCTGGCAGCGGAAAACGGGCAAATTAACGAAATGCAACGAAGCGTTGAATGCGCTCAAATAAATCAGAGCACTGTTGACACCCAGCCCCATTCCTCATCCCCAGTCCCCCATCCCCAGTCCTCAGTGCCCAATCCCCAATCCCCAATTCCCAAGCCATGTGCAGTCAGCGGAAGGCAAGAGATACGGATACAAACGTATCTGCACTCTCATTCGCGTTTTTTAGATTTTTTTGATTGCCCGCAGACGAAGAACAATTCGAAATTATTTACTGACAAATTGTTGCAAATTGTTTGCATAGCCGTGCCAGAGAAATGCGCACAGCACACAAAACGAAAATAATTAAAGCTTTATCGAGACGTATAATGAGATACGAAAGTATCTGCAACTTAGTACCACGAATTGCTCGCAGTCTGCGGTCTCTAAATTATATTGTTCGACTAATGAAAATTAAAATTTCATGGCATTCGACGGGATGTGAAGGCGAACATGTGTTCCCGTGACCGCAGAACACGGAGCTATAGCCATAGCTGTCCGATGTTTACCCAACATGGCCACGCCCCCACTCAATTTGCGTCCTAGCTTCGGATCCGATGGTTGGTTACTCCAGTCCGTAATTGTGTCATTTTACCCCTATCCCTTGCCAAGTCCTTGCCCGTCCTGCCACCTGTAATTAAGGACCTCTGGCTTATGCCAAATTGTTTACACAATTTAATTGGAATATTGAAGGCAAATTACAGTCGTCGATGCTCGTTTGTGGGCAAGCATGGTTTATTCAGTAATTAACGAGTCCCTCGATTGCATGGCCACGCATCGAATATTCAATAGATCGGCAAATGCTTGTGCATGGGAATTATTTGTGTTAACTACTTTCAAGGAAACTTTCCCGGTGATTAATGAAGTTTTTAAAAGGAACAATAAGCTTATAAACAAGTTATTGCTTTATATCAAATTCCGCTTATGTGGCGAATTATTTAATAAAGAATATAATGAATTAGACAATTAAATTGTAAACTTAGTAAAATGTTTTAATATTCCTAGAGCAGTATTATATTTATTTTATAATAATATAACTTTAAGCATAACTTTAAACTTATTAAAATAAAAACTTTTTTTTTAATGAGGCAATGAACATATGCTTTATTTATAAAATTAATAAACGTAAATTTAACAAATTATATAGACAAAAATAACTAATTTATCAGATAATGAAATTTAGTAGTAAACATAAACACTGTCTATGTTATAAATAAACGAACACATTACCAATACAAAAAATAGAACTAAGCCAAGCTAAATTAAATTCATATTAAGTCATTATCAAAAAAAAACGTTTTCAAAATCTATAGACAAATTTTATAGCTATCTGTCAGTTGAAGAATATAAAAATTTAAAAATAGCAAAGTTACCCTCCCGTCCGGGGTAGTCATCCTCTAACAAAGCCAAGTTTCCCACCGCTTCAATTGCTAGAGATGACAAAGCACCGATAATTTCTGCCTCTATCGAGCTTTTCCATTAAACAGCTGTTCCAGTTCCTGAATGAGCTGGCGCAGATACATTTTCGTTTTTTCCTTGAGAGCTTGCTGTTCGCATTTGTCCGCCTGCCCGCGCGTAGAAAACTTGTTACTTAATTTTCATTGCTGCCACACGTGCTTAACTAATAACTTCGGATCGCAATCAGTTGATTGTCAGCTAGACGAACCCACAACTAAGGCAATTAATTAGTCTGTCTTTCAATTTGGCATTACATAAGAATCGGATGGCTAAGCGAAAATAAAAATATATCATTTGCGGAGCGATTATTTCATCAGCATTCTGGAAACGGCAGAAAACGGAAAAGGCAGCAACTAACTAAACAAAAGTCTGGTCCACTGGTAACAAACGAGTGAAAATATGAGCTGGGCAACAACAAAGCAAAGGCAGAAATGTTTAAACTGTAGCAGTGGCAGCAACAAAAACAACCGGAGCAGCAGCAGCAACTGCAACAACAACAACTGTGCGCCTAGCAACAAGATAAATTCGACGAGCGATTTTCTTTGATTTGCGCCCGTTTATCAGAAGCACAAAAGCCAAAGAGTGTAAATAGCACGTAGTTATAGTACAATTCACCGTAGCAAAAGTGAATTTCACATAGGCCTGTGAATAAGCCTACGATAGCAACAATAATACAGAGCAAGCGCACAGGATACAATCCAGAAATCGCACAATGAATTCGATCAAAGCACAATCCACGGGCAGTCCCAAGAAATTCAACGTATTCGCACACGTTAAGTACGAGCATATGGTGGCCGGAGTTTCCGGTGGAGTGGCGTCCACACTAATTCTACATCCCCTGGATCTGATCAAGATTCGATTCGCAGGTGAGTCATTCATACACAGGGGAATGCCACTATACACAGTAAAAAGATAGTCATGCATTGCAATGTGTCTTAAAAAAAAACCTTTTCCATCATATCGGAAAAATACATTTTATAATTTTGTTTAGGGTAAATATGTATATCTTTGCTTTATAAAAAGTAATAATTTTCACCATAAAAATTCTTAAAGATAATTATTTGATTAAAAAAAAACAACTATGTACATAGTTTTTTTATGATTTAAAGCTTATCTAATTTCGAACATAAGTACGGTTTTAATATGTTGTTCTTTTTAGGAAAGGTCAATTTTAAACATTGTAAAACTAATGGTATAATAGAATACAAAAACAATCATTGCATACAGTATCTAGAAAACAAGCAAATTGATAAGAAAAACGGACCGCTTGTGTGAAACTCAATCTATTTCTGTGTAGTGAAGACCCCCGGCACGTGCCGAGAAAAGCGTCGCCAGTCTGGCTACAGATTGTTATTGCACTTTATTCGCTGCTCGCATTTTGTTTGCGCATTGCTTTACAAATTTTCCATGGAAAATTTGAGACGCTTGTGTATCCGCGGAGTGACGCTCAGTTTTGCACCATGGAAAATTTGAGTAGCTCGGGTATTCGAGAAGTGACGTTTAAGTTTTCCCACATAAACAAACCGAGAATGGGGCCACCGGCACGTGTATAAGTTTTATGCGATAGATAACCGGAATTTATGGGCTTGTTGACAATTGACAGAAACAATCAAATTAGTCTAATCTAGAAGTTGGAGGCAGGAAACTGGCTAACAGCAGTTCTTTTTGTTTACTTGCTTTTACTTTTACTGTCTGGTTCAAAGATCGATACTAGCTATCAACCTTTGATATACAGATAGGATAAAGGTATTTCTGGAACGAAGCCTATCAGCTGACTCGGGAATTCTGTTTACGCGCCGTTGGCTAAACACTACATAATTCTAGTGAAACTGATTCATAAATATCTTTGTCCTCGTTTGCGCTTCATGCGCAAAATACGTGAACAATAGTTCCGTATAGTCTTATTGAAAACACGAAAACAACAACAAATGGAGCGGGTTACTCTTGTTTATTAAATATTGTTGCTGGCCAGTTCGCCCGGATCAGCGCTAAAAACCGCTAAAGCAGTAAAGTGAATATGTAAATTCACCAGAAAATCGACCTGTAAACAATAACAACCACCAGCCGAGTTGTTTATGTGAATTAAAAAATCACACCATGCGAATTTCGTAAACTGATAAAGCGAACCCAAGTTGGGATGGTTAGAAACCCAGTGTAGTTCCCCCAATAAACCTTCTTCAATCTTGTAGGGGCACTCGATTTGGCAACAGCTGTTTTCTATTGACTTGCGCAAGGCCTTTTTAGCGATGACGCATTTTGGCCAAACGAAACCCGTTTATCTTGCTTTTGCTTTTCTGCTCTTGCTCGTTTTTAATCACGTGACCACTTGACTTGACTGTACATTGCGATGGCTTTGTTAACGGCAACTTTCAGCGGCAACTGTCCGGTTTATGTGGCACAAGCACCAGATCGAGTGGCCAGAAACGAGTTCCCACTGTTGCCAAGCGGGAAGTTGGCTGAATCAGCAGTTTGCGACCTTATCGCGCCGACCACAATATCGAGTGCATGTCGAAAAACTCATTTGCCTGCCCAAAGTCAATATGGTTCATCTTAAACCCCTTTTTAGCACTGGCTAGTCGGGTTGTCCAGTCCCAAGTTTCAAGGTCACACCTGGGGCAGCTAAAAATAGTCAGGGAGACGAGCCCCTTTCTTCTGGCTGGTGCTGTTGTCAGGCCAGATCTTTTGATTGGCCAGCTTATATATAGAATATAAATAGCTAAGTAGCTGCTAATGGACACGAAAACAAGTGGAGTGCTCGCTTTGGACTCTCCCGCTTATCGCATCCGCTGGCAATTAGCGCTATCTATCTGTTTTTTGGCGAAAACAACTTTGTGCCACGGGCCAGTACCCGATGGAGTCAACAACTGATTTCCCCGCAGCCGTACAGTTGCCAAAGTAAAGAACAATACTCGGAAAGTGACGTATTCCCAGACCCTTTAGTGCCAGTATCCATAATCGTGAAAGTCCCAAGGCTGCAATATGTCTAGACGTGTTTATCATTTACGAGCGTGATTTGCTTTCTACTTGCAGTGAACGATGGCCGGACTGCGACGGTGCCCCAATACCGGGGATTGAGCAGCGCCTTCACCACCATTTTCCGGCAGGAGGGCTTCCGTGGACTCTACAAGGGCGTCACCCCGAATGTCTGGGGATCGGGCTCCTCCTGGGGCCTCTACTTCATGTTGTAAGTAAAGTGTTGACTACCAGTAATAACAAACTAACTTTGTAAACATTCCCTTCAGCTACAACACCATTAAGACATTCATCCAGGGAGGCAACACAACCATGCCTCTGGGTCCCACGATGCACATGCTGGCTGCTGCCGAGTCCGGAGCTCTCACCCTTCTGTTGACCAATCCCATCTGGGTGGTGAAGACGCGTCTGTGCCTGCAGTGCGATGCCGCAAGCAGTGCCGAATACAGGGGCATGATCCACGCATTGGGCCAGATCTACAAGGAGGAGGGTGTGCGCGGACTGTACCGCGGCTTTGTGCCCGGCATGCTGGGCGTCTCCCACGGAGCTATCCAGTTCATGACCTACGAGGAGATGAAGAACGCCTACAACGAGTACCGCAAGCTGCCCATCGACACAAAACTGGTGAGTACGCAGAATTCGAATGAGCAAATCATCACATGACCGACGACCATTTTGCGCGTGGCGTTGACATCGGTTGTGTACTAAAATGGGTGGACAGATGCGGTCAAATTAATAGCACAAAATATGACAGGCATAGGAAAATCTGGAAGCATATCAATTATAATTAGAGATTTAATTTAGGTATTGTAGTTGCTACAATATCAGTTATCATTATTTGTAGCTATCAAAAACATTAAGAAGAAACAAAGGAGCTGTTGAAAGTTTTAAATTAATGAGCTTGTTTAAGCTGAAAATTAACAACAAAATCCTTACCTTTTTATAAGCGCTAATAAATTTAAAAAGAACAAAAAAATTTAGATATGCACTTAACTTGACTGTTAGATTTACTCTAATGGACAATAATATATTCTTCTTGGAAATGTTTGTATCAAGTGTATAAATTTCCTTGTAATGTATTCTGATTCAGAGAAATCTCTCTTTGCTCTGCTATTATTTTGATCACATCTGTATTCCACCATATATATGCATAACCGAATTTATCTGGTTGTGATGACGTACCTGCGATTTGGCAGCCATTCAGCACATATCGTTCGCCTCACTAATATATGTTTTCTCTCCCACAGGCCACCACCGAGTATTTGGCATTCGCGGCCGTTTCCAAGCTGATCGCGGCGGCGGCCACCTACCCGTACCAGGTGGTGCGGGCACGGCTGCAAGACCACCACCACCGCTACAACGGCACCTGGGACTGCATCAAACAGACTTGGAGGTACGAGCGCATGCGTGGTTTCTATAAGGGACTGGTGCCCTACCTGGTCCACGTCACGCCCAACATCTGCATGGTCATGCTGATCTGGGAAAAGTTGACCAGCTAGATGGAGTATTGAACTAGAGTCTAAAATCTAGAATCTGAGACAGAATTTAAGCTAAGCGCCTAGAATACACGAATCTTTCTAGTTTCCTCTGATGTGCAGCTTACAGCAGAAAATGACAAACTAATTCTGTATTATTGTTGTAATTCGATTTCGGTTTAGCCCTAGCACCTAACCCTAGCCTTAAGTGTATTCCATAACTAGTTTATTGTACACATCCTTCGCCCTAAACATACTTTGAAAGTAACTGATGTGATGGAGGCCACGGCAAAAGTTGCCTCTGCCCAAGAAATCTAATTTCAGAGACGCATTTCTTGCACTCTTCATTAAAAAACACACATTTAGTTCTTAGTTAGATAAATTATTTATTTTGTAATGGCTTTGAATTGTGTAAGCACAAAATGAAACCAGTTTACTGTTTAGTTGATACAAAATTTCGTTTTGGCAAAAAGATTCTTCATAATTTTGAAAATGGTTTATAATTTTAAGGATAAACCTTGACACTTATGTAAATAAGTATGAACGCATTGTGAACTCAGCTAAGCCAAACAGTGGAACAATCGAAATGAAATCAAACCAGGAAAAGAAATGCTAAATTACTTACCTATATTAAAATGCCACGATGGCAAACCAAAAGAAAATCAAGAAACAAACTAAAGCAAACACTGTCAGCGCGTCCAACCAGCGTCTTTTCATTTGGCCAAGGGCTCAGGGCAGCTTCAGTAAGTAGTCCTTGCTCCTTCCGCTCCTTCAGTCACCCCCTAAAATTGTGCAGAATCTCTTTGCTAATCTGAAACAGCCAATGTGCGCCTACTGTAAGTAGTTTGTAGCCTCTGGTTCACAGTGACTAACCCCCGATGTGTTTGGTTTTCTTTGCAGCTTCGAGGACTACAGAGGTTTTTACAAGGGTCTCCAAGCAAGTTTAACCCGAGTGGTGCCCGCCTGCATGATCACCTTTCTGGTTTACGAGAACGTGTCGCATTTCCTGCTGGCCAAGCGAAAGAGAATCGAGGCCGAAAAGAATGGGACAAACGTGTGATAACCCCTGTGTGGGTTTCCTTTTAGTTTTCTAAGATACCTTACCTCTGTGCGACATCACCATATATCCTTATAGTCAGCGGGCAGTTGTGATCGTGTTGAGCATGCGCAGCTGCTCTAGTTTAAGCCTAATTAGATGTTGGTTATTGAATTCTGGCAGCTTTTACTAGTAAGATAAGTGAATGTGGTTCCTAGTTTTCAGCATGGATTTAGTTGTTGATTGGATACTGACAGAAGGCCATGAGTAGGCTAATATTTCAGGAAAATAGATTTATAACTTTAATTATGTTGCAAATATACCAAAATTTTTGTTTACCAAAAAATATTTTTTAATGGGTTCTAGGGAGACAAAGGACAAACAATTGTTAAGTTGATTTCGAAACTATTATAACTAAAAACAATAAGTAGCTTTGAACAAAATTAGACAACCTGGCATCGTTAAGGACTGGTTAAGCTTTAGAAAATCGGGAAAAGTGCGATGAACTAAGTAAAATATTGTAATAAAGAATTTTCTATTTCAAATTTTAATTTTGTCCGATTCGGAGTCCGTTTAACGGTTTTCTATATAAAGCTTTTTAACAAAGCTTTCGGTTTCCTACATTTTTCTCGGGTTCAGTCCGTTAACGTGGGTGACTCTCTCGTCTTCGGCTTCTCACGTTGAGAGAATTTCAATCAGATCAGAGAAGCAGTAGAGCCTGGTTTGTGGCCGAAATGGGGCCTTCTCTGCGTTGCAAACTTCTGACTGAAAGTATAATACCCTCTGTAAGCGTACAAAAAAGCAAGCTTTCTCTCTCAATCGCTTAGATAATGTTAACAGGCTGGCGGAACCGACGAGACGCATACTTATTTTACCATGGTTCGTATAAAACCAAAAGCTGGGCTGCATCGCCAACAGTTGTGTAAAGCTCTTGTCGCATGGATATACTGGAGGACGGACGTCTAGCAAACCTCTCGATTTCATTGTCGTTGTTGTTGTGTACCGTCTTGGCCTTTTGTTGTTGTTTGCGTAGTTTTGCGTGTCTGGAAATCGAACGTGTGTGAATTTAATTTACGAGTCGCAGAATTACCGCCAATTTACCGACCAAATAACACGAGTAGAAGACGATAAAAATAACAAAAGACCGTTTATATCTTATGCAAGAAACTAAGTGAGTGGTGACCACCAAAGTGCTTTATTTGCATTTGAAACCAGTTTCCAGCGATTCGAGTGCACAATTGTCCAAAAAAGTGCAACGGTCGAGTTCAATAAACGGATCGAACGAGATAACGCCTCAAATAGCAGTGAATTTTGCAAAATAAATACCAATTTTGATAAGTTCAAGAGCAGTCCATAGCCTATAGGTTTTGTTTACCGTTAGCCGCGGGGAACCTTGGATGAAAGAGAGAAACCACATGTTGCTGGAGATCTAGAGTTCAACACATTGAGTGCGCTAGAGAACCAACAAAAAAGAGTGTGTGAATGACCTTGAGTGGGTGGGGGCGTGAGATAAGCCCTTGAAGAGTCTAAAGATCGTACCATCCATATCGGTGGTTGCATGGCAACTAGCGTCATCCGAAGCAGCGTAGTCTCGACCTCCGCCGGACGCCGGAATATCTGCGACTGCCTGGATCAAGAATCAGCTGGATTGGGCCAGACCCTGAAGAAGTCCAAATCCGTTTATCACCTGACGGACTTGAGCTGCGCCTGCCTGCGCTGTCAGTATCTTGCCAAGGACCTCAAGGAGACCCCAGAGGACCAGCAACCCGTGGAACACACCCACCGACCGCTGAGCTCAGGCTCCGGTTCGTTGGGGGCCCTCAGCGCCAAGGAGTCGCCCATCTTTGTGCGCCGCCAGATTTGGATACCGCCCTTGGATCCTCATCCTCCACTCAGCTCCTCGCAGTTCTCGCTCCGGAGTGCCGCTCCCGCATACGCCGAACCCACGCCGGAACTGGACCTCGGCGCTGTGGAGGCGCTTACAGAGGCAATGCCCGCGGGAACCAATCGTAACCACATGGACATCAACCGGAACAACGGATATCTGCACAACGGAGTGAGTACTGAATCGCACAATGACCCACTTCGTTCTTTAAAAACATAACAGGTTAAAATACCTTCCGGGGTCAGGTTCAAGCCGCGGGGTAGAAACACACTTAGCACACACTTAAGTTCTTGAAGAAGTTTATGATTTGATTTTCAGTAATTTAAATTGTTAGTAGATTATATTTCTTTGGAAAATATTTTTTATATCCGTAAAACTCAACTAGCTTGAAAGTTCAATAAAAAAAAATTTAGTCTTTGGGATTCACAAAACAAGATTTTTTGGGGATAAATTAATTTTTTTGTATATTTTCAACGTTTGAAATTTTTGAAATTATAATGGTTGACAGTTCTGAAAATGTTAACACTCTTTTAATGCCTTTTTGAACAAAGTCGAGTTCAAGGTCTATTTTAAAAGGAAGAAACCTTTTATAAAGCGTGGACTTTTTTGCGAGTGTGGGGAAATGCCCAAAAATAAGTTGGCCAAGTGTTGCAATGGGTATTCGCTATTTTGCCTTGTCAGGCCGTTAACACAACCAGCGTGCACTCATTAGCCGTTAAAGTCGCTCAGAGAACTTGACTAAAACCCATTGCTGCCAGATGGGATTTCTGAGCGAAACAAATTCACGGAATGTGAAGCAATTACAATACTGGTACTCCGAAAAATCCCATACTACGATTCGCACTTTTATATATTTTCCCGGCCAGAACCAGTACTTTTATAATCTCTTCCCAACCGCTTGCCATTTTCCCTCGGATTAAGCGCCCAATTAAATGGTAATGAAATTGAAATCGTTGTTACATTAGAAACCCAGCAATGTAGTAAACAAACCGATAAAAATCTAAACAATGCCGAACTGCCGAGTTGAGCGGAGGGTACCCACAAAAATTTCACTCTCCTTGTAGCTACGGATATAGATATACTATACATACCGTATATGGACGGACGGATCCGGGGGTAAGCACTACGATATGTGGGTGTGTACGACTACTTAAGTGATTGCCGGTTAGCTCGATATATAGATATCCGCTGCTGTTGGGAAACTATAATGGAAATTGGAAGGGCTGCCCACCGTTTTGCTAGAAAAGTCAGAAAACGTGACGTTTTAAGGTCAACTATTGAACCGGCTAGGGAAAGTGTGGGGTCGTTAATTAATGCCTGGCATTGTTAGCATTTTTCAATTACACGTCGCACATGTTCGTAATTCACTCGATGAATCACAAGGTCTCATTGCATTTTCGGCCACAATCTAATCAGAGCTCTTTTTCTTCCCTCTTTTTTACTGGTGACTCCATGGAGTGATAAGATATGAGCTGGTACTATACTCCATTCGACTGATAATACGCAAAATTGCGTGTGCAGAGTCCACTGAGGAACGGCTGGCTGCCAGTCGGATAGCATCCTCCTTATGTAATCAATCTCGAACTCCCTCTGCGCATCGTTTCCTAAGGCATTGCACTCCGTATTATTGTTTGTTTGATTTTACTTTTGTGGCCGACTGATTATATTTGCATGTCAATTGCTTGGGCTAACTGATAAGCATATGTATAAAGTATTACAACCGCGGGAGTCGCATTGCTGCCCTGAAATCACGCAAACCAAGGTGTGGGTCTTGGAATTCCATTGCCAACTATCACTGCTTTGATATAAATACACATTGTTGACGATTTTTGCAATATCAACTTACAAAGAAATTTGAGGTGTTAGGTACAAAACAACTTTACTTTAGAACCCTTATAAAAGGTCTAAAAACTTTCATTTTCATTAAAATCACATTTTTCCCATACCATAATTTATTATAATTCGAACAGCGAAAAAGGTAGAGCTTTAAATAGTATGGAACAATTAAATTTTGTTTGAATTTTTCGGTCTTATTTTGGAAGCTAAAATGTTTTCTTAAGTTCTTCTGAAAACTAACTTTTCATAACTTTTATTTTACTCGTCAAAATGGCGCCAGATTTTCAATTTATATTTGACATGTGAGATGGCAAACGCGATTGCATACTTTTCGGTGTTCGCTGAGAAATGGCTCAAGTAAAAAGTGTCGTATTTTTGGTTAAAAAAAATAAATTTGCAATAAATGTAGTTAAACGAAGTATCAAAATAGAAGTGTTGCTCCACATTGCTCGATTTGACGCTTGGCGTGATACATGCGATCCCAGGTTGTTCCCTTCCAGGAACCTTGCAATGTGCTATGTTGAAAGTCCTCTTTCAACATGGAAGCACGTGATTGCGGAGATGTGGAGGCTTCTTGTGATTTCTGTTCGGTATCCGATTTACGGGAAAGGAGCCCGAGCAGGACTTACCCGCTTCCGGGCATCCGTGTGGCTTTTGTTCGGAATGGGGTCGTTGGGGTAATTGCAGGCGCTTTAGATGGCGAATGGGCGAATGTTTCACGCAGCTCTCCTGTTTTGCGGCTCGATTACGTGTAAACATCTGCAGGCACAAAGGGCATTCCTCCACGTTCAACATTTATGCGAAAGTGAATTTCTAATGCTTTCGGTTTCCATGACACAAAATAGTTTAAAAGCCCTCGTCCCTCCAAGAGGAGTTTTCAAGCTGGAGGAAATGTGTTTGCTCTAACCTCCCCTGAATAATGTAAGCTGATTCGAGTGTTGTGTTGTCCCCGATTTTAGAATGTGCATATCGGTGAAGCTGCAGACAACACTCGTCATTGTGCTTCTGCATATTTCAGTGCATTGGAACCTGAAAGTCTATCTAAAACTTCCGTAAATAGGAGAGCATTCTGTTCAACTTTGTGAATAAATATGTCATTCAGGCATCAGGCATATGCCATCAGATCTTAGCTTATTTCATTAAAATTCCTCAAATTAGAAATCTTCTGTTATATGTTTAAGTTGTTTTTGTTTAAGATTTTTCAACCAAAGTATACACCTTAAAATAAACGTGGATATCAATCATTTGTTACTATAAATAACAATTAATAAAACGGAATTAACTTTACAGTCAAAGGCTCTAAAGATAACTCCTAAAGTCAAATTTGAAAATCGAAATAATCCTTAATCCTTTGAAATATCATTGTTATAATCAAGCATGATCGGTTATTAAAGGTTCAGATATTATTCTGCATACACTTAAAATATAGGTCGTAAATAAATTTTCTTTTTTCGATCTTCCACTAGTAAGAATAGGTTTAATAGCCGGCTTTTCAATGATACTGCCAACCGCAATAGTGTGTCTATATTAGGAATTGAAATCTAATTAAATCAGACTATAGCCAACTTCCGTACATCTGTGGCATGGGATCTTTCTTGCTAGATATCCACTTATGTATGAATGTGTGCCATCCCGTTCGCGTTTTGGGTTATTACTTGTGTAATCGCATATGGCCCATGTGCATATCTCTTTCCCTGTCGCTCTGCTCTCTGCACTGCGGCTAACCACGTTTTGTAATAAGCGTAATTCTATATAGTCACGTCGCGGCAGTCAGTCGACAATCAGGCAAGACAGCCCAGCAGCCCACCAACCCACTTACCCACCAAGCCACCAACCCATCAATCCACCAAGTCGCCAGATTGATGTGTCGCCCACTTAATGCCGAGCGACTCTTTTGGGACAAGTTGATGCGGCAAATCCTCAGCTTTGCAGGAAGCCAGCCAAGTGCGATGGAGCGTGGGTGTGGGTCAGGTCCAGAAATGGACACTGGATGCGCCCTGCTCCACTGGCTGTGCCGGATGATTGGCTGCCCATGGCATAATGGCATCATGGCATCATGGCATCATGGCATCATAGCATCTTAGCCACCTTGATCCCAATGACAGAGCCCAGTGATTCGGGAGCAGGGCCAATCCGAAACCAGACGAACCGGACAAGGGGCTGCCATTGTGGCTGACCACCGGACACTGGTGGATCTTTGTACGGCGGATTGCTTGATAAGCCGGTGTCCACCGTTCAATCAGCCCATTCAAAGACCCGCCGGCTCTTCTCACGATCGTTTCGCAAGCGATTTTGAGGCAACTGCCAGTGTTGGTAAGCACCTGGCCAGCTATATCTTATTTTTCGTAACTGTAATGCTAAACCTCTCACCACAAAAAGGGGGCGGCCGTGGGGCGGGTCCAACGGGGCGTATTAAAATTTATAAAAGCCTAGGCGTCGTCATTGGGGATTTCAGTGCGCGTTTGTTTTGTCTGCGCTGCGGTTGCTAAAAATAAAGTTATCACCCAGGAGTCCAGGATCGGGCAACAGGATTTCAAGCTGGAGCAGATGGAAGCCTTTCAAGAGTCGCTAGAGATCACCATCGCCAGTTGAAAATATGCCCAACGTGGACGAGCCGCGGGTAAAAGCGATAAAGCGAGTGGAAACGGAACTGTCGGAGGAGAAGCCCGATCTTCAGGAGGGCCAGGGCGAACCCAGGGAGGAGCTCGAGGAGGAGGCCAGCGGCAAGATCAAGGGCCGTTCCCGTTTCTCTGCGGCTCTGCGAAGCCTCTCGAAGTCGAAAGCCAAGAGGGAAAGGGAGCTGGACAAAAGCGCCGACAGGGAAACCAGAAGCGCGGAGGAGGAGGCGCAGGAAACCCCTGGTGAGCTGGAAGACGTGGCCAGCTCCATTTCCACGGACAGCGGAGCCCTCGGCAAGACCAAAAAGAAGAGCCTGACGCGGCGACTGCTCTTGGGTGGTCTGCGGAAAACCGGGAAGACCTCGAAGGTGCGACCCCACAGTCTGGCCACCAGCGACGACCTCAGCGTGGAGCACCTGGAGGCCACTCCCCTGCCATCGCCGCCCGGCTCGCCATCCTCCGCCGGCAGCAGCACCCTGCAGATCACCATCAGCGGCAAGAAGGTGGAGCCATCGTCGCCCGCCAAGAAGAGCGGTAAGAGCAGGCCGAAGAGCGACACGGACTACCTGACACCCGCCGCAGAGGAGAAGAGCAGGCCGCGGAAGAAAACCACCACGACCACGGTGACCACGAGAGCCGATTCGAGCAGCACCCGCACCACCACCAAGCTGCTGGTGGCCAAGAAGAAGCCCCAGAGTCCCGAGAGAGAGCCGCTATCTGCGTCGCCCCTTATCACCACCACCAACACAACCAACAGCACCACCGCTGCTACCGCCGCCGCTGCAACCGAGAGCACTCGCGATACGCCGCCCAGAGAACGGGCGCCGGCGAAGCCGAGTCGCGTTCAGTCGGCCAGCGGCACCGGAGCAGTTCGCAAGTCGCAGTCCTCGAGCGGATCCAGCAGGAAGCTGGAATTGATGCAGCAGCAGCAGCAGCGCGGCCACCGCCTGAACGCCAGACCACTGGCTGAACCAGCGAGCTTGGAAGCCACCCTCGACCCGTCCACATCCGCAGCCACCGCCACCGATACTGCCACATCCACAGCCACAGCCACGGAAATATCCTTTGCATCCCCGCCGGCGGCTGACGACGGTATCTCCTCGGCGGAAAGCGCCCAGACCCTAGCCAATCCTCCGCCCGTAGTCCGCTTCGCGGTGGGCAGTGCCGTGAGGAGTCCATTGAGTGCCTACGAAGCAGCCTTGGCCGCCGCCGCCAGTCAGCAGCCGAACTCGAACGAGGAGCTCAGCGACTCCAGCCTCCGGCGACTGAACTTCGCCCAGCAGCAGCTCGTCTTGGGCGACCACGACAGCATCGAGGGCAGGCGGGAAACGCTACGCTATCAGTCGGTGGCCAGTGAGTACTCCAACCAGGACTCCGGGTCCGAGGACGAGAGCGAGGAGCAGCCGGAAGCCAGGGAGCCGGAGAGCGACAAGCCCATGCCGGCCTTCGGTGACCTGACCATGGATCAGGAAATGGAACCGGTAAGGTGTCGCCAGCGTCGACGGATTGCCAGTTTGCCAGTTGGCCAGCCGAGAAGCCCCGCAAGTGCTGTGTTGTCCCCCTTTGAGTGTGTGTGTGTGTGTGTGCCAGAGTGTCATTCAACTGTGCGGTCGGAGGGGGGGTGGCCGTTGCCCGGGGGTCTCGCCAACCGACCAGCGAATCTCAGTGTGGATTGACGAGCTGGAGGAGGTGTAACTAATACCCGTCTTAGAATTTATTAAAGTGTCGCTTTTTAAATCTTTCTTCCGGTAATTCCAAATCTCTTTCTTTACTTGATTTTTTTCATATTTTTTTTGTAAATTTTTGGTGGTAGATCAATCTAAGTATCACGACTAAGTGTTCTCTCAAATAATTACACAGGTTAATTCTTTTAAGCTATTATCAGTAATTAGGAAATCGTAGTTTGGATTGACAAGCTGCAGGAGGTGTAACCAATAGCTCACTTAGAATTTGTTAACGTTGTGCCTTTAAAATAGTGATTTTATATTTCTACTATCTTGAAGCGCCGAAAATAGTTGTGCATTAAATTGCATTATTTGTTATTTTTATGCAAGTCAGTCAAGTTCAAAAATGAATGTTTTTGTATGTATATACATACTAAGTAAACTATTTTAGTAAGTCATCAGTGCCAGTGAAAAAAAAAGGTTTGGTACTGAACGAATTGCCATTATCTAATTGTAACGCAATTTACAGTGTCATCAAATATGTTTAAATGCATTTAGTAAGTTGTATACTTAAAGAGAGTGACTGCATAGTTGTGATTTTTATGGATAATAATTCATATAAGGTTTTGTGTACATCCCATATTTATAACCTCTTTTCTAAAAGGAATTTAAAAGAAACAATTTAACAATTTATATTAACCTTTTTAATAATTTCGTTTCAATCCTTTGTTTCAGGCCATCATGACGTCCACCAGCGATAAGCGCGAGCATCTGTACAAGATTCTAGTCATCGGTGAGCTGGGCACCGGAAAGACGTCCTTCATCAAGCGCTATGTGCACCAGTTCTTCAGCCAGAACTACAGGGCCACCATTGGAGTGGACTTCGCCCTGAAGGTGCTCCAGTGGGACGCCAACACGATAGTGCGCCTGCAGCTGTGGGACATTGCTGGCCAGGAGCGGTTCGGCAACATGACCCGTGTTTACTACAAGGAGGCGGTGGGAGCGTTCATCGTTTTCGATGTGACGCGCAGCGGGACCTTCGATTGCGTGAGCAAGTGGAAGGAGGACCTGGACTCCAAGGTGCAGCTGCCGGACGGCAGTCCCATTCCGTGCATCCTGCTGGCCAATAAAGTGAGTGCTTTAGTTCAATAATATTTCGAATAATATAAATGTTGAAAGGTTTAGTAAACAAGCAAATCGCAGATCAAAGTTTTTTTTATTTCGAGATGCTTTACACACACACAAATATGCCTATATTAATGGCCTAGTCATTTTGATAATAATTACTTGTATAAAGTAAAATGTTTTCATTAATTATTTTCTATTCCCCAGTGCGATCAGGAAAAGCAGGGCATCATTACGCAGCCCGAAAAAATGGATGAGTACGTGAGGGAAAACGGATTTGCCGGCTGGTTTGAGACGTCCGCCAAGGAGAACATTAACATCGATGAGGCAGCTCGTGCCCTCGTGAATAAGGTGATAATCCCTGTTAATCTTTGGCCTAAGCCCCGCTAATCTGAGACCACTCACCCGACAGATACTCATCAACGATAAGCTGATATCTGCCGACCTGGCTGATGGCGACAAGTTCAACTTGAGCACGGGCGATGCAGCCGGATCGGATGCCAAGAACAAGTGTTCCTGCTGACCTGGAACAAAGGTCCGGCCATCTGCTACACATTCCAATTACCGTTCCCAGTCTGAGCGCCTCCAAGAGCGATTTTCTAGGACGAAAACGCATTGTGCCTACGTCCACTCCATGTTCATGTTGTTAGAAGATAGCGATAACTATGCTTAGGGTTTCAGCGTAACATTTGTCTAAGACTTAGCCTCATCCGAGATCCCCATCATCCCGTCCATCCATCAGATTGTCTTTATCTTTAGCACCCCGTCTTGTAAATCCCGATAAGACTCGTCTGTGGGTCTACATTGTTGCTTCGGGATCCGGGTCACTGCGTGAATTTATACCATGGCACATTGCTTACCTACGCATACGCCCATTATACTTATCATTATTATCGCCAGGATTAGCAGCATCCGTATCATAGCATTCTACATCTGTGTAAAATACGAATCGTGTTCTTGTTTTTGTTTGTTTTATTTGCCTCTGCCGGCGAGATTGTTTTATCTTGGAATTATAATTACTCTCACACATGCAAACACACTCTGCCATCTTTATTTGCATTTAGATAACAATACGTACGTTTTATGCAATACGAAATGAGAAATAAAGTTTCTAATGGTAGTTAAGTTAACTGGGAGTGTTTTATTGAGTGCGGCTAATCTAGAAATCTACAAAGAAAAGACAAATGTGTAAAAAAAATCGTTCAATTTAAAATTAAAAGTAAGTCAATATGTCAATGTTCGAATTTGATTAGATTATTGTGTGCATATATCCACGAAATATAAAAGGAAAGTTATTCAAAAGTTCATAAAATACAAGCTCTAAATTTAAAAAGTTTACCTAGTTTTAAGATCCTTCTATTACATATTTCGGCTGTTTCAAATAAAAGCTTTTCTTATTCATATTTTCTTTTAGCGCCAAACGTCCAGAAAGTTTTTCCCCGTCCGGCGATAGTTTCAAATAATATCGATAGTATCGATATAACTTTTAGTTGAGCTAGATTGTTATTTTTGCGTTATTTTACAACAAAGTTCAACTGTGTAGAAACTAATTAAATTATTTTGCTTGTTGTAAAAAGTTTTTGCATAATGAGAAAATATATTTGTTTTCCTTCTATTTGGTTGTTCTAAATGATTTGCCATCTTGCGATATGAATGTATTTAACCATTCTAAAACTTGAGATTTTGTTAAGTTCAGCAGCATCTAAACAAATGAATTTGAAATATCTCAGTTTTTTTAAAACCCGAATACAGTCATTCAGGTGCTGAACAGGGCCACTATCGATACAACAGAAGTAAAAATCGATGTTGAGCCATTCTTCTCATCGATATTCGCGGCTCTAGTTATCAGTGTTGTGTAGCTGCATTACTGCGAAATTGTTTATTGCAAAAATCTGCAAAAGGGAGATAGTAGGACAAATAGAAAATAATAGCAGTGGCCGAAATGTGTTAGATGTTTAAGGTAAGCTGCCCCGAAGGTTGAACCACCGCAGATCAAAGCCGGATACTCAACATCCTATGTACCAAGCTTTTGGGGCCGCAGCATTCCGCAGTCGTCACGTTTACTCCCCTTTTCTGGTCTTTGTTGGAGCTCCGCTGGCACTTTGCTGATAAGTGCCCCAGTCAACTTAATTAATCACTGCCCTGGAGTCGGGGGCAAGTCAATTGGATATTTGGGAATCGTTGTGATCCAGCTGAGGGGCCCAAATGAAAAACTGCCGCCTCTTAGTATTCCCGTCCTCATTCCCACACTCTCCATATCTTGCCTTTTCAGTTGCTGACTAATACTGGGTGGAAGGTAATCAGTTGGAATCGCCGCAAGAAACAATGCTGCCACCGAGGGAAAACGTAGACCTGGAGTGTTTCCTGGTGACGAAGCACTCTTGGAAGGGCAGGTATAAGCGCATACTGTCTATCGGAACAGCCGGCATCTCAACCTACAATCCGGATAGGCTGGACTTGACCAACCGGTGGTCGTTCTCGGACATTGTGGCAGCAGTGCCCTCCAAAACTTCAAATGTATGTTTTTTGACGTCTCTGAAAAGTTCTTGATCAGAATTTTTTCATTCAGATACCCAATGAGTTTATCCTGACCATTAAGAAGGATAAGAAACTGGAAACTATCAAGTTGTCGTCAGAATACCGAAATGATATTCTCACCTCAATATTAAAATACTACAAGGAGTTTGCCGACAAGCCGAAGAATGCTCAGGTTTGATATTTTACAATTTTGTAGATGTAGCTCTTAAAGAGCTGGATCGAATTTGAGTTAGGTTTTGCAATAGAACACATTTCGTCAACTTTGCACAGTTTTTATTAATTTATTTTTGTTAATATTTCCTATCCAAATTCAATTCAATCTTAAAAAGAGGAAATCCTTTAAATTACTGCAATAATAGCAACACAGACTAATAAGCTTTACGCCCACAGCGATTCAGTGCGTATAAGTACCACTGGTCCGGTATCAGCCTGCCTACTGTGCTGGAAGTCACGCCCTGCTCGCTGGATCAGCTCGATCCAACCACAAATGACGTGCTGGCGAGCTATATGTACAAGGACATCGAAGGAATAATAGGTAGCTATACAAATTTGACCCACTTGCATCAATTAATGTGTCTCGTTTTGTCTTCATGCGCCACAACTTTAATTCACTGTGTATGCTTTATTCTTTTTTGTTGCTTGCCGCACTCATCTTTCTGGTATTTGTTTACGTTTGCGCACGTTTTAAGCAGGCATCTCGGATTATGAGGGAGGAATCGTGATGGCCTATGGTGGATTCAGTCGCCTGCATTTGTTTAAGGCCCTGAACCACCACGAAATCGTACAGAACATTGTGCAGAGATCGGCCCAGTTTCTCGGCATCGAGACGAAAATACTCAAGAGTCAAATCACGCTGGAGCAGTTCGAGAGGCAGCGATTTGGAAAGTTTAGGTAAGAACTCAACGAAAAACAAAGAAAGAAAAAGTTAACTCAATTAACTCCATTACGCTTCCAGCGGCGACCAGTTTCAAACCTCATCTACCGAGTTCTCAGTGCAAAAGATAACGCCCCGCCACCCGGATCCGGTGAAGCGTATTCTATGCCTTACCGAGGTGACGTTGCTGGAGCGAGATCCCCAAACCTATAGCGTGTGCACCCTGCGACCGCTTACCGATGTGTTCGCACTGGTTCGCGACAAGGACAATATCCAGCGATTCAGTATTGAGTACAAAAACGGAATCGTTCGCAGCTACAGCACAAACGATCGGGACTCACTGTTAGCCACTGTGTTAGATGCAGTGCGCTCCAGCGGCAATCAGGATGTCCATGTCCGCATTGGAAATACGCCGCGTGGCAAGCGATACGTGCCACTAAGCAGCTCTGTAGACGAGGAAACGGAAGCGAACTTGATGCGCCTGGTTATCCACAATTTCCAAAACCCATCTAAGCGATATGAGATCTTGGAGCGCTTCAATGCCAACGTGCCTCACAGTGGCCTTAACTACAGTGTGACCCAGGATGTAGGTTTGCGGAATCAATTGTTTGCAAATTATCCTAATCAATATGCAAATTGCAGAGCTTGTTTGCCGAGAACAAGGATAAACTCATCCTAAGTGCTCTTCAAGCTTTGGCCCAAAAGGAGCTAGACAGTCCCACGGCCCAGTTAAGCAACTTGGAGCTGGAGGCTATATTCCATGCACTGACACGTCTGCTGGCCAGCAAAGTGGGCTACGCAGCCTTTACCAATCTCCCTGGGTAAGGCGTCTTATTAACATGTCAACTTTATTTTAACGCTCGAATATATTTTAGCTTTCGTGAGATTATTGGTACAAAGGTTGTGGCCGCTTTGCGACGCAAGGATCTGGCTGTGACATACTCTGCTATTGACATGATCAACTCCTTAATGCATTCTGTAAATTCTGATCACGATTTAAAGCAAGAGCAGCTTAACAAATCCTCAATTCTGTCATCAAAATCGTTTTTGGAGACTTTGCTAAACATGTGGACCACCCATGTGGTAACTTAAGAACTAATGCAGGCCAATAGAAATAAATAATACCCTCTTCTATTCATTTTTAGAGTCATGGCAGTGGTGCTCTGGTACTTTCGGCCATGCTAGATTTCATGACCTTTGCCTTGTGTGTGCCTTACAGCGAGACCACCGACGGCAAGCAGTTCGACGTGCTGCTAGAGTTAGTTGCCGATCGTGGGCGCTATTTGTACAAACTATTCCAACATCCCTCACTGGCGATTGTAAAAGGAGCTGGCCTGGTGTTGCGGGCCATCATTGAGGAGGGTGAGCTGCAAGTGGCCCAGCAAATGCAAGCCTTGGCTTTGGATGAGGCGGCTCTGTGCCGGCACTTACTGGTGGCTCTGTATACGCCTTCTAATGATCCCACTCAGACCACACAGCGTCAGTTGTCGCGACATTTAATCGGATTGTGGCTAACGGACAGCGAGGAGGCAATGGAGCTGTTTAAACGCATTTTCGTTAGTTTTTATAACATGGCGTTCTAAACAAATTAACAAATTAAATTACTTTTCCAGCCCGCCGGTCTTTTGACCTTCTTGGAGTCGGAGGATTCTGTCCCAGAGTCGGATATCGAGGAGGACAAACTAAATTTCCGCGATAATCTCAAGTTTGCAATACAACATTCCAACAAAACTCGTAAGAATGTGATAGAAAAGCATTTACAAGGCATCAAGCATTGGGGCATGAACCTCATTGAGAAGCAGGATGGTGCAGCTCAGGCGCTCAAGAATCGACCGGTGGTGTTGCGAAATCGGCGCCAGAAGAAAAAGACATCCGATGTCGTTGTGAATCTGCCATTCTTCTTCTACAGCTTTGCCAAAGATCACAGCCTACCCAATCTTATATGGAATCACAAGGTATTTAATGTATTTTCAGTGCTAAATTACTTAAAATTCATTTAAAACATTGCGTAGACCCGCGAAGAGTTGCGCATGTGCCTAGAGAACGAGCTGCGACAATTCCTTAATGATCGTGATTTGGCTGGCCAGATGATTGTGGCCTGGAACTATCAGGAATTTGAGGTGGGCTACCAATGTCTAGCGGATGAGATCAAAATTGGTGATTACTATATTCGCTTGATATTGGAGAAGGACGACTGGCCGCAGAACTTGGTTAAGGATCCGTGAGTTTACTTTTTCGTTTAGCACATTATGATTCTTAACACAATCATCTTTTTAGGATTGAACTATTCAATGCTTTGTACAGACGGGTGTTGTGTCGTCAACGCGTAAATGATGACCAGATGACGGTTTTTTCCCTGCAGGCTTTAGCTAAAGTATACCGTCGTTATCACGCAGAGATTGGAAAGTTTAGCGATATGTCGTACATCTTGCAGCTCAGCGATAGGGTGGGTTTTATTCAAGAAATCGCTTTTATTGTTTCTTTTAACATTATAATTAACCATTTTTAGTGTCTATCTCCCTCTATGCGGGATGCACTGATAAACCTAATTTCTTGCCTGGTGTTGGAAAAATCCAACTGTCGAGCCCTTATAGATCATGTGCAGTGTTTGGTGGATCTAATCACTTTGGCCCATCTACACAAGGGTAGGGCTCAGCTTAATACCAAAACGAATGTAATCGAAGCAGGTCCCAATATGGCTGCATACGAAGAAAAGGATTGGTACTACAATGTCGAGAAAGAAGGCCAGAAACCAGAGCGTCAGGGACCCATCACTTACTCCGAGCTTAAGGAGCTCTGGCAGAAAGGTCTAATCACACCAAAGACACGTTGCTGGGCTATCGGCATGGATGGCTGGCGATCGCTGCAGCAGATTCCACAGCTGAAGTGGTGCCTCATTGCCAAAGGCACTCCGCTATATGACGAGACTGAGCTATCCTCAAAAATCCTAGACATACTGATCAAGTGCACAAGCTTCTTTCCAAGTCGCACCCAAAACGGTGTGGCCGTGCTCATCCCGGGTCCAAAACTGTCCCGCAAGCTTTCGGAGTTCATCTGCCTCCCCCACGTGGTTCAAGTTTGCCTTACCCACGATCCTGGATTGCTTGAACGCGTGGCCACGCTGCTCTACCAGATTATGGAGGACAATCCAGAGATGCCCAAGGTCTACCTCACGGGAGTCTTTTACTTCATGCTTATGTACACAGGCAGCAATATTCTGCCCATTACCAGATTCCTCAAGATGACGCATATGAAGCAAGGATTTCGTAGCGAGGAGGTGAGTTGTAAGCTATTTCATGGATATGTAATATTAATATTCTTTTCATCACAGACCTCCCAATCCGGCATTATGCACCGCAGTATTCTGGGCCAGCTGCTTCCCGAAGCTATGGTCTGCTTCTTAGAAAACTACAGCGCAGAAAAGTTTGCGGAAATTTTCCTGGGCGAGTTCGACACTCCCGAGGTTATATGGAGCTCAGAAATGCGGCGTCTGCTGATCGAGAAAATCGCCGCCCATATCGCAGACTTTACGCCCCGACTCCGCGGTCACACAATGGCGAGATATCCGTACTTGGCCATTCCAGTGATCAGCTATCCACAGCTCGAGAACGAGCTGTTCTGTCACATCTACTACCTGCGTCACCTGTGCGACACCCAAAAGTTTCCCAACTGGCCCATCTCGGATCCAGTGCAACTTCTGAAGCATACACTAGATGCCTGGCGAAAAGAAGTTGAAAAGAAACCTCCCCAGATGACAATCCAACAGGCTTACCAGGATCTAGGCATCGACCTAACTAAGATCCCAAAACCGGATGAGTCCATGATTCGGAAGAGTTACTACAAGCTGGCGCAAATGTACCATCCTGATAAGAACCCAAATGGGCGCGAGATATTCGAGAAAGTGAATCAGGTGCGTTCAAGATAAATAAACGAAACTGTCTTGATATATAAAAACTTCCTTTCCTCAGGCCTACGAGTTTCTTTGCTCACGCAACGTGTGGAGCTCGGGTGGTCCAGATCCCAACAATATTGTGCTAATACTTCGCACACAGAGTATTCTTTTCGAACGTTATCCGGATGGTAAGTGTTTCCCCTTTTGTGTTTGTGGTGTTTGTTCCAATCTCCTTGTTTAATTTCAGTTTTACGTCCCTACAAGTACGCTGGTTATCCGCAGCTCATCAAGACAATACGCCTGGAGACCCGTGATGATGAGCTTTTCTCAAAGGAGGCCCAGCTTTTGACAGCTGCTTCAGAGTTGTGCTATCATACAGTTCACTGCTCCGCCTTGAATGCCGAAGAGCTGCGCCGGGAGGAGGGTATCGAGGCACTTTTGGAGGCCTACACCCGCTGCGTGTCCATTCTGGGAGTGGACTCTAAGCCGGACTCGCTTCACTACCAGGTCATATCGAACGTGACCCGGTGCTTCGAAGTGGCCTGCAACTTTGAGAAGTGCAAGCAAAAGATCATCCAGTTGCCACAGCTGTTGTCCGACGTGTGCCGCGTAGTTTACTTTAAGCACACACTTTCGGTGAGCTTGGTGACCAGTTTGGCAGCCAACAACTACGACCTGCAATGCCAATTGTCGCGGAACGGCGTGCTTTGGTCACTGCTGCTATTCATCTTCGAGTACGACTATACGCTGGATGAGAGCGGAGTGGAGGTCAGCGATAAGTCCAACCAGCAGCAGTTGGCCAACAACCTGGCAAAGATGGCCGTCCTCGGGTGCATCTCCCTCGCTGGTTATAGCATGGAGTTGCGCCAAAAACCGGTGACAGGAAGCGAGGCGAACTCTCCAGCGACCAAGGCGCCGCCAGCCATTAAACCAAAGCCATCAGTACCCGCTGCCTCGACGTACACCCAGAATGCTCACAATCCGCTGCAAAGTAAACAGTTGGCCATCACGAGCGGCAAGGAGAAGGAGCCAGATACCTCGTCTGGGAGCAGCGACACTTCCAGCTCCACGCCCACCGAAAGTGATCAACAGCAGCAGTTGGCGAAAAGCAGTCCCAGTGCCATCCAGCAGAAGTACATTGTGACGGGGGAAGCGAAGAACTCGCTGATCAAGCAGGTCCTCGACCGCCTGCTTACTCGCTACATTGCCAACCAGTTGGCCACGGCTCGCGACAGCGACGTTCTTAAGTTGCTCACGGCAAACACCCGTAATCCCTACCTCATCTGGGACAATGGTACCCGGGCTCAACTCAAGGATTTCCTGGAACAGCAGCGCACGGCCTCCGCCAAGGAGACACACGAAGATATTGCCCAGGTGTCCGAGCTAGTTTCTAGCTTTGAATTTGATGCACACAAGTAAGATAACTTTAAAAAAATTATAAGAACACTTCAGTTACATTTTTGTTCATCCTACAGAGATGAGTTGCAGATTGGCGGTATATTTATACGTATCTACAACGACATGCCCACCCATCCAATTGCTCAGCCTAAACTCTTTATTATGGATCTGCTGGATTACCTCAAGCATGCCTTTCAGTTTTTACAGTACAAAAAGAATCCGACATTAGCTGCCGCTGCTGTTAGCAATGCTCCCAAAATGGGCAGTGATGGCATTCTTACTCCCACTCTGGCTCCTAATCATCCACAATTACAGCAAGCATCGTCGGGCAAAGCGGGTAGCACCTTTGACGAAGTGTTAACAGCTTACAACCGATCCAAGAGCCGAAAAAAGCTTGAAACTGACGCCCAAACGGAACAACAGTTGGCCCTACAGCAGTGCAAATACGACTTCTGTAGCGACGGAAAGCTTGAGCTGCACATCACCATGGTGCTTAAAGCATTGATAGCAGTGATCAAGGCAAATGCTGAGGTCGAGATCCAGTGCATCGGCAACTTTGACATGATCTTTGGCTTTCTGGCCAACAACATATTCAGCGATGTACGAGTTAGATATAGTAATCTTTAAAACAATTAATCATCCATTGTTTTGTAGAACTCCACAGTTAAGACGGTGGCCTTGGAGGTTGTTTCTCTGGTTTCGCGAAACAAGGAGTGCGTATCGGAAGTTGCAGCTTGTGAAATCCTGGGCAACTATTTGGTGGCCCTCAAGGACCCTGATCTTCGTGCCAGCCAAGTGAAAGTGCTGGAGACCCTCTCAGGACTGATGAACGTGCAGGAGATGATCAAGGAGGCCCAGACCAAGGGCGCCACCATATACCTCCTCGACTTGTTTTGCAACTCGCGTAATCCCCAGATTCGCGAAATGTGCGCTGGTATTTTGGCCAAGATGACTGCGGATCGTCTAAGTGGTCCAAAAGTGCGGATTACGGTTTCGAAATTCCTGCCAGCTCTTTTCATCGACGCCATGGTAGAGTCGCCACCGACTTCGGTGCAGTTATTCGAATCAATACACGAGCACCCGGAGCTAATTTGGAACGACAGCACGCGATCGAATGTCTGCGACGCTGTGTCCGAAACGTGCGAAAGGTAATTAACGGCCAATGTTGGATTTGATGTATATTTTCTCACATATTTTTCCCTCTCCTTAGATTCTATAAGCAACAGAAGGCAAATCCTCGCCATGTGTGGAAGGATCCGGAAATTCTTAAAGACATTGTATCCAACGAAATCGTTGTGGCCGGCGTCTACCTCCGACTGTTTGTCAGCAACCCCGCTTGGACTTTGCGAAAGCCCAAGCAATTCCTCTCCGACCTCTTGGACTTTGTTGTGGAACAGATAGGCAAGAGCTCCACCGAGCAGGATGTGCTGGACCTGTCCACGACAGCGCTGGTGGAGCTACTACGCTCTCAGCCCAACCTGGCGGACGACATCCCAGTGCTTGGACACATACCAAAACTATTTAACTTGCTTTCGGTGCAGCCAAAGAACACGCTATCAGTATTACATCAACTATCGCTGTCTGAGGTTGGGTTCTATAACTTATTTGATTGTAATGAATTTAACTTACCCTTCCTTTTAGTTCTGCGTTAGTGCCATTTCGCAGACAGAGTGTGTGTCGCCTCTGAAAAAGTGCATGGAACACAATAGGGATTGCATCGAGAAGGCCTGTGAGGCACTCAGTCGTCTTTTCAAGCACCAGCATGTATGTTTATTTTTTTAAAAGGTCCCAACAAATTATACATAAATTATTGTGTTGTATAGGACTCACTCATCAGCCAATCTCTGGAGGTGGGACTTATACCATTTTTGCTGGGCCTGCTGGACAGCCGACTGGAGTTCGTGGACAATGCATCGGCAGTCAAGGCGCAAATTGTGGCGGCACTCAAAGGCATGACGCACAATCTCAACTACGGTGACCGGGTCACACAAATCTTGCTCAAGCATCCTGTGTGGGCAGAGTTTAAGGATCAACGCCATGATCTGTTCATCGCCGACACCACCATACGTGGCTATCTGACGGGTAAGTTGAGCCATATAACAGTACTTAAAACTTATTAAAATGTCTTTTATTAAAGGCGTGAATCCCACGGCTGGCTACCTGACGGCGGGTCCTGCGCAAAGCGTGGAAGTTCTCACCTCACCGCCTCCCATCGATCGCGACGATCCTTCCGCCCGTCCACCTATCGATTAGCGACTTGTTATCCGCCGGTCCAAGACTAATGCTAAGACTGGCATTTAAGTTCATTGTGCTATCACGGAGCCTTCGATTGCCACGGAATATGACATATGAAAACGGACACGGACTTGCATGGGTCTCCCCCCAATTATTGTATTAAACTTTTGCATATTTTTTATACTCGCAGCCAATTGTACGTAGCGTGGAAACGGCAGGAGCGGCTGTCGGTAGCCAACATATTATTAAAGTGTAACAAAGTTTCATTTTTATATTTATAAAGAATTTGTATAAATAATTAGTTATTAGTTTATACTAGGGTTGTTGATAATATATCAAAATATCAATATATCGATATTTTCTTTTTAAAATGATATATTTATATCGTAATTTTTTGTTTGCCTAAATATCGGAAAATCGATATATTTTTTTGATATTTTTTGATATTTTTGTCTTGATTACTTTGTATTCCAAAGTGACTTCAAGTGAACGAATTCAAGCGCAAAATAATATTTTCGCAAAATGCGCGCAAAAGAAGGAATGTACATATGTGATATGTGTGCGTATGGCCAGATTTCGTTGTCTATGTGTGCATATGTATGTAACTTACGCACATACCACCGAAATTTGGCGCCAAACGCGCACACACACGTTGTGCACACATATATTAATTAGTTTTCATTCTTAGCTGTCCACGAACTTTGAAGGTATTATGACAATAACGGAGACTTTCAAGAATGCTGAAGTAAGGATTGTTAATAACAAAAAAAACGGTGCAAAATTTTCACTTTCCGCCAACGGATTTCGAAGTCCGGACCGCATTTGTAAACAATTACCGAAACTTATTGTCTTTTTATTGTGGGCAGGAAATTTTTTTATTTAACACAAAAAATATCAAAAATATCAATATATCGATATTTTTCGGTGATATTTGAAATATTATTATCATATTATTTGATAAAAAAAATATCATCGATACGATATTTTTTAAAATTTTCGACAACCCTAGTTTATACACCGAACATAAACAACCTAACTAGAGCATGCATAAAGTGATTATACATATTATGGAATAAAGCCGATTCATTACAAATGAAAGCCAATGTTGTATCAAAATAAATAAATAGTTACTTACAAATTATTAGGTCTCTAGTACCTGCAAGCAAGTGCTCGAAATCTCGAGTGTTGCGCAGCTATCAGATTTTTGCAAGATTGCAATGCTTTTAAGTTGTACAAATGTTAAAGATACAATACACACTATACTTTTAAAGCTAATTACTTTTAATCCATTAATAATTCTCATTTAAAATATAACCCAAGTTTTATTCTTTTAACAAAAAACGAGTACCATAACTAATATCCCCTCGGATTGAGTTTATTATATATAGGGTATGCATTATGAGGTATTAATAGAGTATTTTTTGGTATTTTATATGTGCGAAATAAACGCGTTAGACGATTTTTACACATTGTTTACTTCGGCTGTGCAAACAAAATAAAAACAATGTCACTGGTCGCGGATTATAGCGATTCCTCTGAATCCGATGAGGAAACCAGCAGTCAATCTTCCGAAGGCGAGGATACCAATATGTGAGCTTCTTCCTTGGCTTAAATTTGACAAGGAATTTAATTTCCTTTTCTTCAGTGCTTCGTCGGAGAAGGAGAAGCCTCCTCCTAAGTTGCCCAGTGCCAGTCAAGTTCTTTCCAAAGGAGCGGGCAAGGGTGATGTGTTTAGCAATCCATTCCTGGAAGCGGAACTGAATAAAACAGCCTCTTTAGAGCGGCATGTCAAAATGGTTGATAACGATGCGCATCTGCAGCTAAAGAACGGTCGCAAGATTTGCTGGAATTTTCGAAGAGGACGATGTCGGTTTGGAACCAGCTGTCAGTACGCTCACGACTCCGACCTTTCGGTGGATGAAGCTGCAGAGAAGAGTTCATTACCAGATCAACCAGTAGAACCTACAGTCTTTGAGGCCGCGCCAGGGCATTCCAACAGGCGCAAGCGGCCAGGACTTGGAGATGCCCTAGAGCCGGGCAAGCGGGTCATGAAGTCCTACAAGCAGCATAACCCACAGAATCCATTTGCCCACCGTTAAACAAAGCCTACATCCGTAATGCGCAGCAAACAATGGTCACCCACAGGGCCATAGGTATTCGAAATAACGTGCAACAATCGCAAGCCGTCGTCTTGTCCTAAAGATTCCTCATCCTCTGGTAGCTCCAGCGACAATCTCAACGTGCACACGGAACGCCAGTAGGCACCCAACGTGGGCTCCAGCTGTTGTCGCGTCTCCCTTTCCTCATAGATGTCATCGTCCTCGCCGTCATCATTATAGTTATCTGTTAAGGCAACGTAGTAAATAGTTTTAATTGCAATTGCATAATATAAAAGTTTATACAGTGCATACCGGCATCTTTTCCAAAGAAGGAGACATTACCAATGAGAAAGGTCACTCCGTGGCCAGCTAGTTTCCGGATGTTGCAGGCCAGCTCAACTAGCAAGGATTGCATGAGCATTTGCATATTTTTGCCCCGGAAATGGACGAAGCAAGCAGCCAGGGAGTCAATTACAACAAATTGGGTTTGTATGGCGGCCGCGGTTTTGGTGGCGAGTTTCTGATCGAAGGTCTTAAGTATGTCGATAAGATCTCTACCAGTTTGGGCCTGCACCACCTGTATGGCTTTCATGACCCGCTCACTGGTTTCCATATCTGTGTTTCGAGCACGGAGCATGTCTTGTATCCTTTTGCAGGAAAAGTCTCCCTTCGTGTCAATGAAAAGCACTTTAAGGCGATGCTTCCACACAAAATTGAGCGCAAAGGTGTACATCATCTGAGTTTTGCCCACACCAATCGGACCACTGAGTTCCCACACTCTGGCCTGCTTAAAGGGCTGCTCCACGGAATCCAGCAGTTTGTCCAACCTTTTTTGTGTTTAAGGTTATACACGTTATACTTCTGACAAAAATTAGAAACGACTCACTCTTCTATTCCGGTGCCATATTCCATAAACGGAGTGTTTTCTTCATCTTCATCGTTGGATAACAGTGACAATTCCTTCTTAAGTTCACGCACAGCTTCCACATTAATATCCAACAACTCATGAAGTTTTTTTTCATCCGCCTCATAAAAATGCAATATGGATTTTATGTTGTTTTTACTAAGCAAATTTAATTGATATTCGGACAACTGCTTTCCTGTGGCAGTTCGTAAAATCATGACTTGAAGATCCATTGCGCGCGAGTCGTAATGTTTGTTTATATTTTTTGATTTAATATCGTGGTCGAAGTTTTGAGGTCGATATTTTTTAGAAGTTCGATTATTTTACGATAAATACGCGGTTAAATTGAAAATTTCACTTTAAAAAAGACTTAATCTAGGATCTAAATTAGTTAAAACAAACAATTGTCGCCAGTGTAATACAGGTAAAAAAAAAATGTTTTCACAAAGAAACTTTTAATTGTAATTCAATTCTAGTGAAACAAACCAGTTCAATTGTACAACTTAATGAAAAATCATTCACTAAATAAGTAAGCCAGGTTAACACTCGATTGACAACATGCATATCAATTAGAATTTATCTCTTGTTTTGCAATTACAAGTCAACTCTTAATTCAGATAAGGCACGTTATGTCAATAAAAAAAAAGTCCCTAAGAGCAAATGCTAAGTTTCAAACTGACTCACGTTTGGGGATCACAACAAATGATACAGTACCCATCCGATATCGGAAAAGTTAAGTGATCGTTTATTCATCACCGTCGACATATGAACAATAATTAGATATTAAATTGTTAAAAGATATAAATGTCTTTATCCGCATTTTAATCGTTTATTTTTTCTTAACCGATACATAAAGAAAAGCCTTCAAAGGAGAGTATACTTTATGTATATCGCAGTAAATCCCCAGGAAAGAGAGCAGCTACGACACATAAATGTATTCCGTCTCTTTATCTAAATTCTTCTGGGCAACTGAATCAATTTTAAGTCTCAGTTGAATTGAAGAGATGAACGAGGAACCTCACGCCCATGAAAACCTGGTGGCCAAAGCCCAGAGACCCAGGAAAACGGATCCTGAAGTTGGTAGCACTTGCAGCGCGGAGAGTTTAGGGGGAAGCAACAGTTCCACAGAGCCAGCCATTGCAGGAGGAACGCAACATCCTGAAGATCCTCAAAATTCAAGCCCTCAATCGCTGGGCATTTATCTTCTTGAACCCTTTATTCTTATCCTGCTCTTTGCCTATAATTTCTCGTGTAAGTGATGTTAAATATTATTGCTTAGATCCGGTCGTTGAGATGGGGGAATTTATCACAATTTCAGCAACCGTTTTGAAGAATGAAGTCATCTATCAAAGCTGCACAGCGGGTTTTGGTTATCCGGATAACGTTTGCCGGCTACTGGGCACCAAGAACGCCACAAATGAATCCAAGGTTGAGATAAAAACTTTTGAGAGAGTACGACGTCAAGATAAATAATATTTTATTTCAGAGAATTGAGGAGCAAGTGCAACCTTATGCTGCCCAGGTCACATTGGCAATGAGAATAGTGGAGTGTTTTATTCCGGCTTTCTGTGGACTTTTCGCTGGAGCCTGGGCTGATCGCTATGGCCGCAAGCCCCTGCTCATGTGCTCCTTTTTAGGTGGGTGTTGTTTAATATGTAATCTTATTGCTTTTAACCCGAAAACTAGGCTACGGGCTGCAGTACCTGATTTCAGCCGTTATTGCTTATTCTGCTATGCAAACTCAGGGTTTGGTTAGCCCCTGGTGGTATGTGTTCTCCATCGTACCTCTTTCCTGCTTTGGAAGTAGTGTCACCTATTCCGTGGCCGCAGTTTGCTTCATTGGCGATGTTTCAGAGGGCAAAGTTCGATCATACAGGTTAGTATCCAAACGATTGAGGAAAATCTTGTTAAAATCAACTCTTAATATGTACACAAAGAAAATCGAAGTCCAGGCTATAGAACAATAGTTTCTAAAGTCATCAAAAATATACTCCAAAACAAACCACTCTACACATTTCGAAATGCCAATAAAATATTCGTGTGTATATTTATATTGTGTGTGTATAATATATTTTCTTTAACACCCAATGAAGTAAAAATATACGTTTTCACTATTTCTTTGCTAATTTTCCTTAGGATGATTGCCTATGAACTATCAATTTATGTGGGCCTACTTCTCGGTAGTTTTGGTTCCGGTTTCGCCTACGAAGCCACCGATTCTTACATTATATTCTGCATTTCTGCAGTCTCCATTCTCGTGGCACTTTTTCTGATGACTATCCTTCTTCCGGAGAGTTTACCTTTTAGGAATCAAACAGTCGCATCCGCATCGACTGACACAAACGTGCTCTCTTTGCTGAAGAACTTGTGGAGCACCTGTAGAAAACCTCGCGAGCACAAAAATCGTTTTATATTGGGAACAATTATGATGGTGCTGCTGCTAACCGCATTTGTCTCCGGTAAGTCCCAACAATATTAATTTGTTATTCAAGTACCGTTCAATAAATATTAACAAATGATTGAAACCAAGGTGTACCTTGTGCTGTGACTGGGAACCCTGAAAACGGTTCTCTAGCAACGCATATAATTAAAATATTTAGCAATGTTATGACTAAATGGTACCAAAACAGTTTATAATTAATGAATAAACCGGATTTTTATTTATCAGAAATGGTCAAGATTATAATATGCAAAGTCTTTTAAAATGGTTTTAAATGGATAACCGTTTCGTGTACATGTTCTTTGTAAATCCCCCTTTTCAGAGGGAAGCAATTCTGTGTTCTACAATTTCATGAGGATCAAGTTTCATTGGACCGTAAAGGACTTTACCGAATACGAGGCAGTCAGCATCATGGTGCCCGCAGTAGCTGGCTCCTGTGGAGTGTTTTTTATTTGGTCTGTAAGAAAGGTAAGTTTGTTTTTTACCCAAAATCGAAGCCTTTCTTATATGAATTTTCTTTCTTAATCCGTAGTGTACCAAATCGGCGGTTTTATGTCTGGCCTTGGTGTCCCTACTAAGTCACTTTTCCAGCAGCCTGATGAAGGCCTTCGCCTTGGTGAGTTGGCAGATCTATGTGGCCATTGGATTGGGAGTGTTCAAGTCCCTTGTGAATCCCATGTGCCGCACAATGATCACCAATCTGCTGCCTGCTGATGAACGGGGTAAGCACTTGTTAACAAACTTATCTTTCTGTTCTTTACACCTATCTGTGGTTTCCATATCCAGGTAAAATCTTTTGCCTACTTGGCGTTTCACAAGCACTTTCCCCTCTATTATCGACCACTCTGTATTTTGCGATCTATACTCGAACACTGGAAACTGAACCGGGGATTTTCAATTTGTTCAGTGCCTGTCTATATGGGCTAGGTATCATTCTTCTGAGGTAAGTTGATTTAACCCATAAACATTTACCTTTTTTATGGCAATAACAAATACTTCAGCATTGTCTGGCTCAAGAAATCGAGAAATCAGGTGTACTATGAGCCGGTCTTTAAGTGATCGCCCGGGACATCCAAAGTCCAAAAATACTGGAAGAAAGCGCCAGTCATGCCAAACTTTGACAAAATCAATCATACAGATGGACTGGCGCCGGGAACTCCCCCGACCACTATTTAACGCAAAATCCACTCAACCATACATTATTTCGACCTTATTTACATACCCGATTGTCGCGCAGTTAGCCAAATGCATATGTGTGAATTTTGAAGGTCCATCGATCTCACTCATTTCCCCTGGGAAAAATTGTTTAGTTACAGAACTCCTAATATTTTCTCATTAACTAAAATATGGGTTATTATTGCTGCAAAGCAGTGGCGTGTGCGCAGTCACTTGACAGATCTTACAGAATACATATTTATCTATAGAAATATAAGAAATGTGAACACGTTTGTATGCCCAGTGATTGGTGCTAACTCCGGATTTGAGCAAACGCTAATTCCACTTGCTAATTTTTAATTAGTCGCCAGGTTTTTTACACATTTGATCAAGATCGGTCTTATAAGCTTCATGAGCAAAAAACGGAATGAAACTTAATTTACGCACGAATTTAATGCCTCAACAGAGCAGAACGAAATCTCTGGAATTCTACATGGATAGTATCGGACCACAGCGCTTGAATTGTCAGTAGGGCAATTAAAACTATTAAAAACTAACTATCGAAAATGAAATTAATTGAAACTATGTCATTTTCGTGAGTTCTCTAACTTTATTTATATAATAAATATCGGAAATGAAAAAATGTCAATGATAATTAACAACTGTGTTTAATAAATATTATAATATTTAAAATTGTTATTCCATTTAATTTAATATTATTTCCATAATATAATTTTATAATTTATTGGGTATAAAATAGTTGTCGTATAATTTCAACCAAATTATCATGTAAGATGTATGTTAATATATTTCGTTTATCCGGGATTTTCGGGTTTCGGTCTCATGGGATTACTAAACACTTTTCGTCCCCAACTTCCATGGCGTTGGCTCGTGCTACTCATTTGCACGATCCAAAAATACGCAAATCACTATAAATTGCCGGCGAAAAGAAAACAAACGAACAATTCAGACTTCGGACTGCGTTTCTCACGATTTGGCCCATGAATAGAGTAGCCCGAGTTGGTAGTGAGGCCTAAATCTAATTCAATCTGGCAAAGCCAGTGCACTGGAACTTAGCCAAACTCAAATTAAATAGAATCCAATCCGGTTAACCGGGCCTGCAACACTTTTTCCAATGGGAAATGGAAAGCAATTTTCACGTGAATGTAGCGAAGCTATCCGCTGGAATTGATGCAGGCCCTAGATGAACAACTGTTCGCCTGTACGATTGTGTACCTGCTGACAATATATATATATATACATAAACATATACCTGTTGCCGATTCTGCCACAGCCGAGAGCTCCACTATATAAGCCCATGGATTTCACGGTAGCCGCTCATTTCGAGTACGAAACTCTAATTGAGAACCGTGTGTCGTCGCCGTCGGATTTGATTGGATGTTGAGTTCGGTTTCGTGTTTCAATCGCTTGAATAATAATATACGAATTAAGCATTAGCAGCCCGCAAATCTGATCGGAAGTTCCGGGCGCCAGGGGCTTTTCTCCCAACGCGGTTACGTGACAAGTGTTGAAATGCGCCATTGAAGAGCCGCCAAGTTCGCGAGCCTCCAAGCACCACAACCGGCTAGACATTGAATCGGGTTCGAGAATTTGTCAACAGCCGAATAAGTCATGGTTGAGAAGGCCTCGAATGCGTTTACGCTGGAAAAGCTCCGCAATCTGCAATGGCAGAAGGTGTTTCATATGTTCTACATAGAACCGGTTGTCTTCATGCTGCTGTTCTCGCACACGTTATCGGGTGAGTGACCCGGCCCCCGCGAATCCACGATCTAGCATCTATTTAACGATTGGCATCCAGGCACCATCCAGCGGAACCAGGTCATCTACCAGACCTGTACGGTGATCTTCCACTACAATGAGTCTGATTGCAAGCAGCTGGACGCGAAGAATGCCAGTGCCGAGATAAACGTGGGTTGAAAAGGGCTTAATTCCTCTCAGTGCATCCTGAAATAATACTACTGAACTGAATTGCAGGCCATTGAAACGGAGCTCCAACCCTATGTGGCCAACCTGTTCCTCACCCGCACTCTCCTGGAAAGTATTGTTCCTGCCTTCTGTGGGCTGTTCATCGGCTCCTGGTCGGATCATTATGGGCGGAAACCCCTTCTCATTGTTTCCATGATCGGTGAGACACTGTTTTATCGAGTTCTGCCTGGTTGCCCAAGCTTATAAATTTATTATAAACAATACTGAGGCAACGCCGATCGTTTATTACACAATAATGAGTGAAATGTATATGCAATCGAGCTTCTGTATGAAACAATCAACTCTATTAATCAGTGTAATTAATAATCCAAAGTTGGAATCAAATGATAGCGTCTTGATTAACAGTTCAAGCTTATATAATTAAAATAAATTTATTCTATTTTTCAACATTCTAACAAATGCAGCATACAGCAAAAAATAAAGTATGCGCCTAAGTTGGCGTCTTACTTATTAAATAACTAACTGCACTGCAACTTAAACTAAACTGTCGATTATTAGAGAGCCCAACAAATTATAAGAAACTTTGCTTTTTATATTTATTTTATTGGTCTATTAACTTAAATATTTCTAATGTATAACAAATTTCAAAAAAAGCAAAAACAGAGATTTTACGATTACCAACAGCTTTTTCTGTAAAAACATTTTCAATTTGTTTTCATTCTACGACTTCTTATTTTTTAAGGATTCTCCGCGTCTTTCCTGATGATGGCCGCCATTTGTGAACTGTCGAGCTACTATGTGATCAATCCCTGGTGGTACATCATGGCAGCTGTTCCCCATTCCCTGCTAGGCGGGAACTGCGTCTTCTCGGTGGCCGCCTTCTGTTTCATCTCCGACATCACAGATTGCAAGTCCCGACCTTACCGTATGATCTTCATGGAGTCACTTTTCTTCATCGGCCTGACTAGTGGATCCCTGCTCTCCAGCTTTGTTTACGCGGCAGTGGGATCGGCAGCGACTATTGGGCTTTCCGGCTGCATTGTGACCTTTGCCACAATCTTCGTCATATTCTTTGTGCCCGAAAGTCTGCACTATCGTCAGGCGCAGGAAACCAAGAACGCGATCGCAGCAAACGGGGAAAAGGATTGCAAAGGAAAGGATGTGCCTGTAAGCGCCTGTGATATGCAACTTGATCGAGTGGCCATCGACTGCCCACCCACCTTCATGGACAGCGAAGAGCCGGAGAAGGAGAAGAAGATGGAGTTGCCTACTCCGGCGACTCCTGCGATGAGTTTCGACGAGGATCTGCTGGCCAAGTACGTGGAGCGCTTACCCCAAAAAGGCGGAGGAACGCCAGCGGAAGCAGGCGGAGGAGCTGGTTAAGAAGGCGGGTCTGTTCAGCATGGTCCACATCAAAGACATGATTAGCACCTGCTTCAAGCCGCGTGACCATCATGCACGCGCCATCATCTGGCTGGTCACCCTTGCCATGTTCCTGTCCATCTTCGTCTTCGGTGAGTTGCAGCACGATCTTCCAATTATTTCCGGAGCTCATTTAATTAATCGCTCTTAGATGGCGTGATGACTGTGATGTACCTATTTGTCCGCGAGAAATTCCACTGGACAGTGCGGGACTACACGTTCTTTGAAACTGTCAGCCACCTGGTTCCCATGATTGGTGCTCTCATTGGATTCCTTATCCTGCGAAAGGTGAATTCTATTATTTGACGTGGGGAACATTACTTAAGATCATTTTTTGTTACCTTATTTTTGAACTCAAAACTTTTACTTAATTTCTTTATCTAACCGAAACTATATCCTATTTTGGTTAGGTCTTTCGTCTTTCGGTTGTGACCTTAGCCCTGCTCGCCTTCTTTTCGGAGATCGTGAACAATCTGGCCAAGGGCTTTGCCACGATGCCATGGCACATGTACCTCTCGGTGGCCCTGGGTGTTTTTCGGTCCATTTCAGGGCCGATGTGCCGCACAATAGTGTCCAACATTGTACCTCCCTCTGATTTGGGTGAGTCCCGTGATACCTGCTCGACAGCTGTTTTCTAAAGCAAAACTATTATACGGCTACCTTTTCGCAGGCAAGATTTTCTCCATAAAGAATGTGCTGCAGTCGTTCGCACCGTTTGGTAAGCTAAGTGGCATTTAATTGTTCATCGTTTTATTGACTCTTTTTACTGCTAATTGCAGTGGCGGCTCCCCTTTACACCCTCATATACAAGCGATCGCTTACCACATACCCAGGTCTGTTCAACTTCGTCAGTTCGTTCCTGTACCTGCTCTCGTTCGTGTTTATCGGGTGAGCAAAATCTGGCGGAGCACGGGGAAGCCCCCTCGAAAGCCGCTAATCGATCACACATTCTTCATTTTACCCCCTTCAGATACGTTTTACGGATCAAATACCGACACAAGCAGCACTACGCCAAGGTTCTGAAGTGAGCGAGTCAGCGAATCTGTGGTCAAATTAACGTGTGATCATCCCAATCGAGCAATAAACATTTACAAGTGGAGCGAATTTAAAGATGCAAATCCGGAAATCATCGCGTAACTGCGAGGGATAATCAGGCATTGGTTAAACGAATGGATCTTCTTTGACTTGTTTTTTTTGTTTTAAGACTTAGTATTATGAGAGCTTTAAGATAAAATTAAGAGTTCCTCTATCGCCTAGACAATTACATTGTTACTTACGCCGAACGTTGCCTTGGTCGCTCAATTTTTCATAAAAATCATTTTTTTTCATAAAAATGATTTTTTTTTTTTTCTAATAAAGATGCTGTTTTATCTTTATTATGAAGGGAAAAATAACTTTGACCATAGATAAACAATACGATAATTTCAACCTAATGCAGTAAATAGACGATTTGATCAATGTCAACAACTATAAAAAGCAAATCCAAGAAATCGAAGTGAAAAATTTGTGGCATCATTGAAAACAGATAAACGCAAAAATATTAATAAACTGTTTGATAATACAGACTAAATAAGTAAGCGAACTATCAGAATAACCAAACAAAGTAAGTTTAAGTTTAGTCTCCCTTGAGTTCGATGGTATCCACACATTTTTTTCTATTCAACCCGATATTCTGCTTTAATGCTAAACATTAACCGTTTGATGTTTTTTTTAAATATTCCATTTCAGTTTCGTTGTTCAAGTTTAACAGCTCCCTTGTATAACTACAAATATTTTACGGTAGTTTGTTTTAAAACTCTAAGAGCACTGTTGATGGGGTCATTTTAATAATAATAGCCTATTAAACCCATAAGCTAACGATGCTTTTCTGGTACGTGACAATTATTGCAATGAGTGCTAAAAGGGCACTAAACCACCCTAAAATTGGGTTCAAGAACCTTGTCATACCGATCCAAAACAAACAGATCAATAGATAATTATGGAACACCACACAAGAAGCAAAAATGGGATAATTCTAAAGCGTTTATAAATATTTTATTTACTTTCTGACCCTAACTTTTACAATTTGTACTCTTCTTACACGAAACTAATAATCTTCCCATCTAGTCGTGGTGAGATCAATAAGGCAATTGTCTTTGGAAACCGTGTGTTTAGTTAGAATTTTTTTGCTTCAGGCGAAGTTCCTATATCAGATTTATGTCAGCTTTCTGTTATAAGACCCAGCTGCTTTGGTTGGCAGCATTTTCTCCTCTGAAATCGACTGGTGATACTATTTACCATTTAGTATGTGGAGTCAATATATGATTAACTTGTTTATTGACTGTGAATTGGCGCTTAATGCTTTCAAGTACATATCACCTTTACACATAAACAAACACTAGCTGCCTTCCAAGTCCGATTTTCCTCATCACCTCGCGTACGTTGATTATAAACATTAAAACCAATACAAACTTGAAAACCTTTCACCAAAAATCTTGTAAGCTGTGATAATAACAAAAAAATAAATATTAGTAACAACTGCATCAAAAATTATATTTTATCACACCAAAGCAAATCTAAATGGATTAAATCCGTAAAATAATTGAAAAACTTATACTATAGCTTACCCTTAATTTTTGGTTATTGGTGTTTGTTATTACTAAGAAGTCCTATTCATCTGCCTAAACCTAATCGGCACAGCAAATATTAAAATAATACTTAAATACGTTTTGAAAACATGTTGATACACTGGCTTATATATAATTTTGGAATAGTGGATTTGTCAAGGTTTCATTTCAATGTCTTTTTTAAGAAAAGTAAGAGGGTGAGGTTAACTTCCTATGGCCTGGTAGACGCTGTCGCTGCCCATTGATTTCTGAATTCCGAAGACCGTGCTGCAATGGGGTATTGAAGATCTCATATTTTGTTCAACATTTAAAACTTCTAATAAGTACTTACGCCGACATGCAATAACAGATGAAGTAAAGTCCCACGCTAATAAAGTTGAAGATGCCCGGATAGAAATTAACTGTTGCTTGGTATACCGCCGTATACATTGGTGCAGCTCCCAGCGGCGAGATGGATTGCAGGGAAGTAGTTAATGAAAATATTTTACCTATCGAAATAAATGAAATACACGCAACTTAGTCCTTAACGGATCCTTAAAGAGAGAACGAAGGGATCACTCACCCAACTCAGAAGTGGGAGTCACGTGCGATAAGATGGCCTTGCACATTGGCGACATGACACCTCGCATCATGCCCAGAACCAGGGCCAGATACATCTCGCTTCCATAAACAGCAGTTGCTCGAACAGTGCTCTCGAGGACGCAGCAGGCGAAGGCGATGAGCGTCATCACGATGGTGGACATTCCAAGGAGGCGACGTAACAGGATCATGGCGAAGGCACTGCCCACCACTTGTATGACCACCCTTGCCGCATTAAAGGTACTGTAATCCTGGACAGTGAAATCGAACTGCTTTCGCATAAACATATAGTTCACTGTGTTCTCTCCCTCTGGAATAAAGTGTAATTTTTTACTGGATTGGAGTAGGTTAGTACCAGCAAACTCACCCATAGCGAAAACGCACAAGGTCAGCGACATCATCACAAACCAGATAATAGCACGATCGTAGTTCTCTCGTTTTTTAATGCACGTCCTTACGAGGACCTTTACCAAGTCCAAACGGAAGAACTCTCGAATACGGGACTAGATGGAAAATTACAGAATTCAGTAACAATAATTACACTCGCATATATTACACGTACCCCAGTTTGAATATCTTCAGACTTGAGACTCTCCGGCACAAAAAAGTAGACGTAGATAACCGCAATGGAGATGATCGAGCCCACCAAGATAAACAGTGTTGACGCACCAGTGGCGGCATAGATGGATCCACTAGCCACACTCCCCGCCATCATTCCCAGTCCCAGAGCAGCTTCCATGGTTACCATCCTGTAACGAAACCCAGTCATTAGTATGAAATTATGTATATACATATGTACATATGTAGGTAAGCTATTGCTAATAACAAATCGCGTTTTATAAACTAGAAATATATAATTCTCTCTTACCTCATGGCTCGCCTATCCTCGGTGGCCACATCAGATACGTGGCAATAGAGGATGGTGATGAGGGCGCAAGTTCCTCCACTGAACACAGATGGTACAGAAGACAGCAGGAACCACCAAGGACTAATATTGGTGGCCGTTGTTACTTGTGTAAGAACAATCAATATGATCGCACTAATAAAGTATCCTGTAAAGAACTTTATACTTGACAAATATTTTTAATAAATTTAATGTTTTCTTCTCACCTATAAATGTTGATAGAAGTATGGGTCTTCTCCCAAATTTGTCAGACCAAGGACCCAGAAATAGACTCACTAGTGCGGGAACTGTGCTTTCGAGCATTGTACTTATCATCGTGATGGTGGACGCATAACTTTGAACTTGGCCCTCGATCTTCTGCAAAATGGGAACTCTGATGGTTAGGGGATTCTTCAAAGCTGATAAGGCTGAAAAGGTGTCGTCACATTCGCATGACTCACAAATGGGGGAGGTGAAATTTGACTCGGCTTAAATATCTGCACACATGCATATCAAAATATCTACACCTGATTTGTAAAGTGTGTTCAATAACTCTTTGTGATAAGACGATTCATTAGTCATAAACAATTCGGGCTTTTATTTCGCTGTGGTCAACTGATAAGTCAAAACAGGTGGGACAAATAGTGTATATTTGTTATATAGAAATGAAATAAAAAAAACTTTATGATGTAAAATTTTATAAAAATGTTGACCAATACAAAAAAAAAACAATACTGGTTTTAAATGGGAAACTAAACTGATCATAATTGAATTTCTCCGTATAAAATAATTAATGGCTAACTGGAAATGTTCGCTTGAATCGCTGAAATCTCATGCATAATGGATAAAATACGTATACGGCCTGCTGGCCAGTGCATTGAAACTTGCCTTAACCTCATCGGAGGCACGATCCGTACCGAGAAATGGCTCGCATTCCGTAGCATTATATTTCATGACCGTGACGCAGGTCTGGTAGAGTATCTGATTCTGATAGACAGCATCTGGTGGAATCACAATCTGATTTATACACGCCCACACAACAGCTGCGATCGATACAAACCTGTGAGAAATCTGCCAAAGAAAACCAGAAATACGGCGGGCTCTAGAATCAGCGATCGAGGTCGTTTTAGCCAGCGACCCAGAAACCCATTTGTGGGCGGGGTAACCACTCCGGTTTCCAGTGCCTCATCGTCGCTGCCAATAATTGGCGCCTCATCATCTCTTGGCATTTTGCTCAAGCGAAGGTCACGGCCTTATCGCACACCTTTTCTAACAAAGCAATTATCGGGTAGACAAAGGAATTAGCGATTCATTCAGCAAAGCAATGTATCGTAGCGGGAACTGTGGGAAACCTCCGCGCGCGCCGAACTCGAGTGCTAGACTAACTGAAGGGAGCAGTTGAAATTGGCGACGTAAACAAACAAAGCGAGCGCTTGCCAATTGGCGCACACAAAATCGTTTGCGCCCTATCTCCACCACCTCGAACTTCTCCCTCTCCAGAAATCCACTCCTCAAAGCACAATCGTACTAATGCTGAATGATACGGAGTGTTTGTCGTATTTACAATTTATTTTTCGCTTTTTAACATATCTTAACAATGCTTTTTTATTTTTAATCTTTTGCTGACAAATTTAGTATGCTTGCACATGCAAACACATTCCAGACAGCAAATACATGCACACAGATAAAAATCATAATACTTGCACAAATACAAGGCGTACAAACTCTAGGTTTAATTACAAATAGTTTATAGTCGTTTAAAATGGGAGCCCTATCCAGCACAGGCAGGAGGTGTTCATATTATGAGATACATTCAGCTAAATTGGATTGCGGGAGTGCTGGTTAACTGCCAATAGCCTGATAAACACTGCTACTGCCCATCGATTTCTGAATACCGAATATCACACTGTAAAATGTAAGATTGTTTGCAATATTTAACCAAATTGAACAAACTAGGAAAGGAGTGAATACATACGCTATCAGAATGTAACACACAAAGTATAGACCCGCGCTGATGAAGTTAAAAGCCCCTGGATAATATTCCAACGTTGCCTTATAAACAGTGGTATACAGAGGAGCAGCCCCGAGTGGCGAAACCGATTCCATGGAGGTTGTCAGAGCGAAAATCTTGCCTAAATTGTATGGGAATTTTAAGTTAATCGGACCCTCACGATTCGCTAATTGCTTCAAACACTTACCCACTTCCGTGGCGGGTGCCACGTGAGAGAGAATTGCACGGCACATCGGTCCCATGACGCCCCGCATCATTCCCAATGTCATGCCCAGGTACATCTCCTGCCAGTAAACGGCTGTGGCTCTTACTGTGCTTTCCAGAACGCAGCAGGCCAGGGAAAGCATTGCCATGGTAACGATAGACATCTTTAGGACACGGCGCAAAACAACCATTCCAACAATGCTGCCCACAATCTGGATCACGATGCGAGAGGCATTGAACAAGCTGAAATCCTTGATGGTCCAGTTGAACTGCTCTTGCATGAACATGTAGTTCACAGTGCCCTCACCCTCTGTAATCAATAGTTGAATTAGATTTCATATGGCATCGAAACTATGGATTCTGTTACCCATATCAAATATGGCTATCGTAAGAGCAATCATAGTAAGCCAGATGATGGCGCGATCAAAGTTGGGTCTTCTTTTAAAGCAAGTGCGAACCAGATCCTTAACCAAATCAAAACGGAAGAACTCACGGATTCGTGACTAGAAAAATAAAAGAAAAAATAAATTAACTATTGAATTTCTGTTTTATGAAAAGTCACTTACTCCTGTTTGTATATCGGCTGGATTCAAGCTCTCAGGGACAAAGATATAGACATACATTAGAGCTAGCAACATCAGGCTTCCGGCTATTGAAAATAGAACCAAAGCATTTGTGGCAGCATAGATATAACCGCTGGCCACATTTCCAACCATCATGCCCGCGCAGAGGGATGCCTCGTTGAGAACCATTCTATACAATAAAAGGGATATGTTTAGAAAGGATTATTATTTAAGATTATCCACTTACCGCAGAGCCTTCTTTCGCTCCTTGGCTACATCAGATATGTAGCAATAGATCCCTGTGATCAAGGCACATGTTCCGCCACTTAAAACAGAAGGAACTGAGTACAGAAGGAACCACCATGGACTTATATTCGTGGACATGGTTACATAGGTAATAACTATCAGTATGAGTGAGCCAGTAAGGTAACCTTTTAAAAAACAAGAAATTAGCAAAAATCTATTATTATTTACTCAAAGCTAACCCGTAAATGTTGTCAGAAGAATGGGACGCCTTCCGAACTTATCGGACCAGGGACCCAGGAATAGACTCGCAAAGGCTGGTATTATGCTCTCTAGCAAAGAGGTTGTCATCATGATATTGGCCGTATACGTCTGGACTATCACCTCCACTTCCTGAAAAGAAACAGACATTTTCGTAAAACAATGCGCAACTGCTGATTCCGTTTTTGTATGAGTCACTCTGGCATATCTCGTATCTATATTTATAAAGTTAACGATTTTCTAAAGTTCGATACTACTTCGAAATTTAGCCACAAAGGCTTTTGTTTACTTCCTCTTTTAGTATTTGCCTTGTCCGACATACTTAAAACCTTATCTGTAAGCTCTAAACAATGGAAGTGTTGCCTTAGTTTAAACAGATTTGCTCAATTGATTTTGCTTTGTCAAGTCGAACGATGATCAACTCAGAATATAAGTAGGTCACGTCTAAGAAAATTGTATTAATCTTAGTATAAAATATACTTTGAGCTTTACAGCAGCGGTTAAAATAACAGGGTGTTTTGTAAGTTAATTTGTTTAACGTTGTAAGGAAACTGGTAATGTTTATGCCACAAGTTACATAGATTACATGGGTTAAACAAATTGTAATATTGTAAGGATATTTCCTTTTGCATTTTAAAAGACAAACAAAATAAATTTACATAATAAGCTAGTTATTCTTAATGGTATTACACTGATCGTAATTCTATATACATACATACATATGTATATCGGAAGCCCGAAACGCCCCACAGAAGATAATAACTTTAAAGCAAAGCCAGGCACGAAAGCAGCAACCAGATTTAATGACGATACCAAAGCGTTGCGATACATAGTATACGATTTTAGGTCGAAATTATTCACTTACTTTATCCGCATCCGAACTGCGATCTATGCCCAGCAACGGCTCACATTGTGTGGCATTAAATTTCTTGATGGTGACGCACGTTTGGTAGAGGATCTGATTTTGATAAACCGCCCCTAAAACACGACACAAAAGTTAATTGAATGATGCACTGAACCCTCCGATATTCTGTCAGCAGCTCTCCGTACCAATTAAATATCTGGCAAAGAATATCAAAAAAACTGCGGGTTCCAGGATGAACCATCGGTAGCTGTTGTAATCATGCGGCGGGATAACGGGAGAACGGTCCACCTGTTCATTACTAGCTGCAGAAGAGGCGTCCAGAATGCGTGGCGCCGCATCGTCGCCAGCCTCCACGTCACTCACCAAGGCTTCCGTATCGGAGCGGGGCATTCTGCGGATGCGTTTCTGAATTGCTACTTATCTCTCGCGGAACTCGGAATCCCAACTGCCCACCCCCAGAATACTGAAGATAATGGGAAATAGCAATTCATGCGCCAGAATGCAGCGCAGTTTCTCTGATAGAGACTTCCAAACGCAACGGCGTGTTATGAGATACTGAAGCTCCAGCCGTTTGACTGCTGATTAACGCGGATTTATCGTTGTTAAACCCACTACAAATGTATGTAGAACTTGTACATTGGTTTTTGCCAATACAGTTGGCTGTATTTTTTCCGCAGTTAATGTTATTTAAAACTTTCTAAAGTCAGCAGCAACAGCTGATTGCATCTGCTTCTTCTTTGTTATTGTTTTGATTACGATTATCGATTTTTGTTGCTGGGGATGCCAACCTGTAGTATATTAAAACCAGCGGTTGGAATTTTATTGTATTTTTTACTTGTCAATTAAATCAATTTTAACTTATTTTAGTAGCGGCGCCGCTCACGTTCTCCTCGGGAATCTCGTTCCCGCTGATCATGGCGTCCTCGGTCGCGTTCCCGTTCTCTTTCTCTGCGATCTCTGTCCCCATTCCTGTCACGCTCCCGTACCCTGTCCCGGTCCTGGCGCTCCCTCTCCCGATCCTGGCGTCCACTGGTCTGCCGGCGATCGTAGTCCTCGTTCTGAGTTTCACGATTGCGGGCACGATTCCGCTGGCGGTCGTAATCCTCCAAATCATCATAGTAATCCCTTGATCGTGTACTGTTGTTCTGTCCAGATCTTCTCTCCCGATCTCGACTACGTGACCTGGACTTGGAGCGCCCTCTTCGGGGTCGCCGCACCGAGGATGAGTTTTCCTTTGGTCGACTGGACTCTTCCGCCTTTTCCTCGTCACTGGGCAGCTCGTCGTCCAGATCTTCGTCTAGCACGGAAACTTTAGGCTCAATCTCATTGTTTTCCTCCAGAATGGATCGCTTCTGGATGCGGGGCAGGATAATGTCGCAAACACGATCATTGCGCAACAATTCGTCTATGTACTCGTCCATGTAGACAATCTCAAACTGACCGGCTCGATTTTGGCGCCGCAGCTTTCGATTATCAATGTACAGTGGCTCCAGATACTTGTAGCAGTCCAACGCGGCTCCAGTGAGACGCAGATAGAAGGCTCCCAAGGCCCGCACATACTTAAACTCCTCGTTTTTTATAAACTCCACAACAATGTCCTTCTCTGGCTGAATTTGCAGCATCTTGAGCGTGAGGCAAAGGAACTGAGTAGGCTTGATGTTGCCACCATAGACGCCACCGACGAAACGCAGCTCCATGGCTTTGTCTACCAGCAATTCCGCCGTAAGAGCGAAGCACTGCTCCTTCCAGTACTTGGAATCGTAAATCCTAGAGCGAATGATCTTCTCAATGAGGTACTGCGGATTTGTGCCGTGCACGTTTTTGGCTTCCTTCACCGTGCGATTGGCCATGTTTGGTGTATTTTTTGTCGCCCGTAGAGGCTGTAGAGTCGTTCAATCCAGCAATTTAGGGACGACGGTAAATGCAGGAAGAAAAATGTGATATTTATTTGTTTATTTTCGGCGTTTGCTAGCCAAAGTGACCAGCTCTTATCCAGCTAAATATGCAGTCCCGCAAAAAATATACCAACCGCATACAGAAATACGATAGCGATAAAGATGGCAATCGATATCGGGTGACGCATACGAACAACAGCTCCCAGACAACCAAGAAACGCAATAGCAGGAAAAAACTCATTAATTCGGGGTTTCTAGGTAAAAAAAAACAAATCAGCCAGGATGAGTTTCTTTGGGAAGATGTTCGGTGGCAAGAAGGAGGTAGCGCCCACTACCGGCGAGGCGATACAGAAGCTGCGTGAGACGGAGAACATGCTCATCAAAAAGCAGGAGTTCTTGGAGGCCAAGATCGAGGACGAGTTGAATATAGCTCGCACGAATGCGTCCAAAAACAAAAGAGGTATGTTTGCATCCTGCGAAAGTCCTTGGAGTCCCAGTGGGCCAATGGCCACTGCGATGGGCCGGGCAACATGACTCATTGCTTTGTTTTTGTTGCGGCTGAGAAGCCCCTTTCAATTAATCAGTCCCACATACTGCCTGCAAATAGAAAACTCAATAAAACAATCTGTATTTCTTCGCCTTTCTCACCCGCATACCATTTGATGCCTGGACTTGTCGGCAAAACGCTAAGAACGTAATATAAACATTCTTTTCGATATACAAAAAAAAATCACAAACCATGCAGTAGAGTAACTCGAAACCACGCATTGCAAATTGGCCATATTATATGTAGAATATATAACACAATTTTTTAATAACAATAACCCGCCTACTTGGCACCTTTTCAGTGGCCCTGCAAGCCCTCAAAAAGAAGAAGCGCCTGGAAAAGCAGCTACAGCAGATCGATGGAACCCTATCCACCATTGAGATGCAACGCGAGGCTCTGGAGAGCGCCAACACGAACACTGCCGTCTTGACAACAATGAAGAATGCCGCGGATGCCCTCAAAACTGCCCACCAGAACATGTAAGTTTTTGATCAGCAGCAGCAAGTTAACCGAGTACTAACATTCGCCCATTAAATAGGGATGTGGACAAGGTGCACGACATGATGGACGACATTGCCGAGCAACAGGATGTGGCGCGTGAGATTTCCGATGCCATTTCTAACCCAGTGGCCTTTGGGGCCGATCTCGACGATGAGGACCTCGAGCGGGAACTCGACGAGTTGGAGCAGGAGAACTTCGACAAGGAAATCATTGGCATTCCCGAGCCGACGCCCACCTTGCCCGAAGCGCCCACAGAAGATTTGCCCGAGAAGGCCAAGGAGAAGAAGAAGGCGGCTACCACGACGGCTGGACCGGCTGATGACGGTAAACCTAAGGGTCACAGCAATAGGTTGTAATATGTTGTAATTATCATTCTTTATGTTTCCAGATGATCCAGACATGAAGCAGCTGTTGTCCTGGTCCTCGTAAATAAAAGCTCGATCGAAATCTCCTCAATGTTCTGCAGATTCACCCCCAACCCAAACTTTTTTGTTTTAATTAATAATCAATAATGTTAATTAAGCCAAAATTTTAGTTCGAAGCGAAGGAGAGAAAAACAAGGCATTAAATCCTTTGGCAATTATCAAATGATACATCTAATAGGAATGTGATTTAACAAATAAACGGAGCATAGTCAGGCCACGCAACAGAAACCAACAGTAAATATCCGCTGCATAAACAATGTATTTTCCTTTTTTTTTGGTACTATTATGCGAATTTGTTTGTTGATTTGAATGGCTATAAAAACCACTGTTTTGATATAATATTTCAATCAACGAAAATTAATTTTGGAAAAACTATTTGTTTTGTGGCACTCATATTTCCGCAGACCTAGCTTTGTATTGAACAATTCACATAAATAAAAATAAGAAACCGCTCGACTGCAAGTAATTCAGTGCAAGCGAGAGGTACAAAGAAAAATAAAACCAAAATATTTTATTAAAAGTGAGTATTTGCTTAAAAAATTAAAACTTTGAATTTGAAGATTGAAAATTGTGCTTTCTTATATATTATCCCGGGAATAAAATATCTTATCTCTTTAAACTCTTAAGACACATTCTTACCAATTCTCGTTCATTTAAACACAAATGTGTAATTTGAATGCACTTTTGAGTAGGCTTTTATTACAAATCGATCGGTTGTACATCAATAACATTTCAATTATGGCTTGATTACTCTATGTACTATGGACTTGTCTAATTTGTGGTCAAGTAGTGCTGCCTCAGACTCTTCACATATCGCACCGGAACTTCCGGCAGGTAAACGCAGACAAAGAACATCAATGGCCCGAACAAAATCATACAGATTAGCCAGTAGACCAAGCCCAAAATTGTGATAGCATCCATATAGGAGACGGGGGATCGATCGGACAGTACGTAAAAATGTGGGGGTAAATTAATATCTTGTGTGTATAATTGTAAATAAATAACTAGTATCACTAAACACCGGACTCGGCCAATGGAGATGGGGCAGCAAGGCAAAAGGCTTTTGTTGCCGATAGCGCTCCGATGTTCCTAATGGATTACAGATGTATGTAGCTGCAGGTCACTTTAGATTTAGATTTCGATTCAGATACGGATCACGACTCATTCGACTGATGCTCCGATCCACAATCGTCTGGAAATCTTCAGGCGCGCCACCTAAAACGAAACGAAACACGAGATGGTATTGCATTAGTTGTGGTTTTGGTAATGACAAACGCGAATGCGGATCTTACGGCGTGCTGAGAGTCAGATTGCTCAATGGTCACTGCCCAGCTGCTCCACTGAATCACGCAATTTATACCACCTGGCAAGGTCCACGCCCAGATTGGTTATTTTCGGGGCTATCCCCGGCCACTCACATTCTAAATACGGGACTTTTTCAGCTGATCGCAGTGGCTGTTAACTGGCAACTGATTCTTAACTGGTTATGCAGTTCCAGTCCAGATACCCTCCAAATATAAGTCTGTCTCGCTCAGAACTTTGAGCCAACTTAAAACAAACAGCGCGCTCAAAACTCGGCCTTCAAGGTGAGCTTACGAATCTATGACCGCACAAACTGGTTTGCCAGCCTCTAGAGAACGTTCGGTTACGATCTCTTGGCTTTTATAATTAAATCATTTTGATCGAGCTTAACCCCTGTTGTAATCGACAATTGAAGGCAATGAACGACTATCAAGGGTCCGAAATAATTGCAGCTAACCAAGCTATTTAATCATGGGCTTCAATGTGCAATGTCTGATAAGCCAGTTGCAAGATAATCAAATTGTTCCACAGGACTCAGTAAACAAAACAATAAAATTTTACAGGAAATGAAAACGTCTTGATAACTAACTAACAAACATTAAGAGTATTAAAGCAAGAAATGGGAAAGGGAAAAACCAAGATACCATTTTAGATGGTCGCGCAGTGGTAAAGGTGTCATACTTAGGTAATAAAAACTTCATTGATAATGTCATTCAACTACCTTATCTAATTTTCACGATAGGCAGTTTGAATTCCTTAATATAAAAGAGAACATTTAAAGGCAATTTGAATTAAGCCAGACATTAGGTTTCAAAGTTTGTAAAGTAAAAAATTAAAATAAACATAATCTAAGATAATTAGACGATGTTTTAATTACAACCGAACTCAGAAATATTCTTCCTCTCCTAAATTTAATTTGACCAACAAAAATTCTAAAATTTAAAGGAGAGTAGATAGAATGACGATAATTTACTTTGAAGAATATATGTACCTTCATAATGTCTGGGGAACAAGTGGACTTTATATCATCATTTTCCAATGGAAGTGCTCAACAGGAAAACAAATAGCGTTGCAAGTTACCGAAATTGTTTTCTATCTTATCTGACTTTTTGATCAAACACTCCAAAATAAATTTCTAGAAAGAAAGCCAACTTACATGATGTAGAAGTAGTTATCACTATCCTTGCGCTTTACATCGCAGGGATTTCCGCTCTTGCTGCCCGAGGAGTTGGAGGATCCTGGCTCGGGATCCGTGTGCTGGGAGCTAGTGCTCCAGCTCCTTCCCCATCGGCTTCTGAAGGAGGACCCCGGGACATTCGACTGCTGGTTGTTGGTCAGGTTTCCATCCTTGCTGGAAACGGCGAAGAACGACTTGACGCTATCCATGATGCGACCCTCGCTGCGAACTTCGTTTCGATTGGCTGTGAATATTAGTCGAGCCTCCGTAGAAACGCCCGAAATTGATAAAGCTAAAAATATATATGTGAAGACACCATAATTTATTTATTTCGACTGAAATCTTGTTTTTTATGGTGGGCTCGTGCCCCTCGATCTTGTTTCCAAGTGTGCGATCTTTCTTTTTTTGGCTCTCGTCCGATCTAAATAGAGTTTATTTAAGGTGCAGTTGGAAAAACAAGTAAATTTATTGATAAGGCCTTAGTATACATTTATTATTATCGTATCTGCTTCAGGTGGGGTGGCCATCTTGAAGGTTTTTGTTTGTTTTCTCCGAGGAGAGGTCTTTTGTTCTCCACTGGGGAGAGTATGTATGTACATATGTACATAAGTTTAACACCAAACAAAGAAGTATGTATACTTGCAATTTACTTATCAAACAGGCTTCGATAAACTTGCAAGTAAGTGGCAAGTGCGTCGTAGTTTTGAGTTTAATCGTACGCCAATCTAAATATGTAGGTGTTGCCGCATACATATTATCAATTAGCAGTTCAAAACAGTTCACTGAGTAAACTGATAATGTGGTCAGAAATCGGCCGGAGCACGCGACGCCCTCGGGAGCCATGGAAAAACTAGTTAAGTTGTTTGGGTTATTGGGAATAGTTTAATTTGGCTAGTCGGACGTGGCACGATAAGGGCGGTGTGGTAGGGGCCTTAGAAAAACTCCGATAGACAGGGAGTTTGAAACGGGTCTGGCGAAGCCGATAAGAGTAAAGGGAGGTCAACCCAACCAACTGACCTACCTCAATTGCTCACTTGCCACTTGCGACGCGATCAAAATGGCAGACTCTGCTGGAGGCTTTAATTCCAATTTGTTTGACACGATTTCTCCGACTTCTTTCAGTGCACTCCCACAAATACAGCAAACCGATCACTTAACTTCCAGTCGCGAGGAGAGAACTGTGAACCGTTTTGCACAATGTCTGCGATCGCACTGAAAACGAAACAAGGCACGGCATCGGCATCGAGTGTTTTTAGTTTTAATCAATTTTGAATGCGAAGGCGTCGGGTTTTGTTTGAGTGTGTGTGTCTACCATGCAGACACCCATACAGACAACTCGCGTGCACAGAAAAATATTTCGACCAATTGATATTTAACTTAAAAACCTGAAAGTTGCTACCCATATCCCCATAAACAAAAACGGTTACGAGCTTCTTTCAGGGAAAATTATGAAAAAGGAGTAAACTTATTTTGCCCAATATATGTACATATATTAAGTTTCAGAAAAACATCTATTAAAAAATATAATACCCTTCCAGCCAGTACACTAATAAAGACAATTATTCTATAAAGCGAGATATTTTTCTAAGTGTAAGCTGCATACATTTTGTATACCATTTTATTTCCAAGCGTTTCGTTGCGTGTTGCTATCGTCTGGAAAGCGTCTAGTTTCATGTGTTGGTACCTGACTTTCCGAAGCGGATTTTCTTGTTTGTTTTGGTCGCTGCTTCTTTTCAGTGCCTTGTGTTTTGAGTTTGTTTTTGGCTGCATCTGTTTTGGCAGCTAAATTTACACTCTACCTGGTTCATCGTAGAACAGCCTTGTCATCGAACTTCCGCCCTTGCCTTTGTTTCACTTTTCTGTCTTTGCTCGTCTTTCTACACTTTGCCTGTTTATTGTGCTCTGATGCATGTTGATTGCTGTGGACTTTGGACCCCAGTTTTTCATCTGCTGTAATGCTTGTTTTTACGCACATGCGAGGCAATAGGCGGCAAGCAAATACACTATTTTTAATCTAATGGCTTTTCTTTAATTTAGTGGGCTTAGTCAGCCTAAATTCTTATTTTGAATAATAAACATAATTTTCATATAAATACAGTAGAATCCGGTTACAACGACTCCGCTTATAGTGCCCGTCCGGGTTTTGCGACGAAAACTCGATGGCTTGGTTGGTCCCCATACAAACTTATATGAAAGCTTATACATACGACATTTTTTACAATTCAACCGGATATTGCGTCGTGCCGAAAAAAATACACCGAAATAATGCCAACAAATTTTTGTATTTATCAGTGACCGGCACGACAAGAAGGTTCTTAGACTCTTACTACTCTCTGTTAGTTTTAAGAAGAATCTCCTTTTTGCTCCTTTTGGTTAATGCGTCTTCCGGGTATTACCAGATTCTACTATATTGTGAAACACTGACCTATTTAAATGCTTCCTGGTATCTATTACGGCAAATGGCTACCACGAATTTGTCATAATTTGATAACTTAAGGTGTGTTATCTTTATTTTTTTAAATGATAAGCATCATTTATAGATATCAAATTTTAGAAAAGTCAAAACCATTGGCAGCGCTGAAAACTTTAACGACTTTTTGCAAACAGCTGTTATAGCGTTTAAAAGAAGTAGCAGCGCTGATAGCATCAACAGCTGTTAAGACCAGGGCGGCATACTTTCGTTATCGACCGATAGCTTCTTTGTTTTGAACCAACCAAAAAATGCAACTCTGCGTAGGTTCTCGCCAATTGGAACTGCGAATATACTGCCTGTATATATGTAAATTGTTTATAATTAGCCATTTTTCTACGAAACAAACGATTAAATAATGCAATTTTCTGCATACTAAATGCCAAATACCGCAACCAAACTGCAGCCCGCGACAAGTGATGTGATTAGAGCAACAAGAAACGCGAGTTTTGAACGGTAAAACTTAGTGCCAAAACAAAGGGGACAGAAGAGGAACCCAAACCCAACAGAAAACCTCGGGTCGTGACCTGCCGAAGAGCCAGCGAGAAGGGAAATAAACGTAGAAAACATGGGCAATGCAAGCTCCACCGTGCACATGCAGCGCGAGCGCCACAAGTCGACCGATTTATCCACTCCGAGCTCTCCCGCACATTTCCGCGATTCACTTGTAGGCGGAGGGGGAACACCCGGGGGGGTGCTCGGAGGCGGGGGAGCGGTACAGGGTGCAGCAGCTTCGGTCGGGGCAACGGGGGGAGGAGGTGGTGGTGGAGGAGGCGGAGGCCAAGCTTTCTCGTTCGACAAAAAACATACGGCAGTCTTAAACGAGGGCTCGTCGCAAGAAGACGACGACCCGTACTACACGGGAACTGGAACTGGCTCCACCAGACGGGGCACCACAGACGAGTCATCATCATCAGCTGTTCCTCGTGAAAACTCGAGCATGGACAACAACGAAGAGGAGGAGGAGGGACAGGGCCCGGTGCCACTGGGTGGATCTCAACTGCTTGGCGAGGAGGACGATGTAAGGAAATCGGCCCTGCCCACTGTTCTCCGATGGGACGGAGGCGGCAAGAACGTGACTATCTCCGGAACATTCTCCAATTGGAAGCCCATAACAATGGTGCGCAGCCACCAAAACTTTGTGACCATCATCGATCTGCCCGAGGGAGACCATCAATACAAATTCTGTGTGGACGGCGAGTGGAAGCACGATCCCAAATTGGTCAGTCAAGGGAAAATCAATATATATGCAATATTTAGGGCGGACTCTTTCTCTTTACGATTCGGGCGCCCGAATGACGCAGTTAACAATTTTCGCCCCGCGTTGTGTAATCGTCGTAAACAAAACGAAGTCTCCCCAGTAATCAGTAGTGGATTTCAATTGGGTTCAGAGATGCTCATCCGGCGGAATTTAGCTACTTTAAAGGGAAAACTAAGTTGATATAATTTGTGAGCAAATTTATCAGCCCAACGATTTCAGTTAAACTAGAATAAAGTTTGGGGAAGAAAAACGCTTTGTAAATTACAAAGTCCGACTATAATAATAGGATTTATCAGAAAGAAGAGAGCAGTCTTATTTTATACTTATGAAACTTACTTAAAACCAAATAGATTGTATAAACATACTTATATGTATGTACATATATTTTTTTTAATTTCCGATCATCAAAATGTTATATATTGTATACATATCCACAATATAATAACACATAAATTTTTTAATTTCCGATCATCAAAAAAATTAACTAAGCGCCACATCATGAAGCCAAACACAACCTTCAATTACACTTACATACATATGTACGTACACAAAATGTTTAGTGCAATTGATTTTATATCTCTGATACAGCTATCCAATTCCCCAAGTTTTATTGAACCCATTGAAACCCAAAATATATCCGCCTATTAATGTCGCGCCACAAAGGGCCTATGAATTTTTACCCACATAACGGTTTACCCAGCTGTAATTACAAAAAAAAAATTGATTTGCTCATCGGTTTGCAATTTCAGAAAAGCGTCGAGAACGACGAGGGACAGAGAAACAATTTGGTATCCGTGCGAGAATCCGATTTCGAGGTTTTCCAAGCGCTGGCCAAAGACAGCGAGAACGTGACCAACTACGCCGAGAAGGAGTACTCGCAGGAGGTGCCTCAGGTTAAGCCCTGGGAGAAGGTGTCCGGTCCACCTGTGTTGCCACCCCACTTGTTGCAGGTTATCCTCAACAAGGACACCCCTCTATCGGTGCGTACCTCAAGTCCCTCGAGAGTTAAATCTATTAATGGTTTCTTGTTTTATGTCTAGTGCGAACCCACCCTGCTGCCGGAACCTAATCATGTGATGCTCAACCACTTATACGCCCTGTCTATCAAGGATGGCGTCATGGTCCTGAGTGCCACGCATCGGTATCGCAAGAAGTACGTCACCACGCTGCTCTACAAGCCCATTTAGGCAGCATGCAATTGGTATTTTAGCTGTAGGAACCTGGTTTTTATGAGGGGGTAAACCCGGAGACCTTTCGGGTAATACCCCAAGCCCAATACGTCTCGCTTGTCAAATTTACATTATAATGCAGTGAAAGTGTTTTATTTTCCTTTTATTTAAGCGTTGTATTTTTAATCGTTATAAATATACGGAACTTGTAAAATCTAAGATTATTGCATTGTGTCATTGATTTGTATTTCAATTTTACCGCTACGAATCGTAAAGCTTCTTTGCAATTTTAACCTGATATGTCACTAATTTCACGATCTAAGAATAAGTTAAGCAACTATGTATTTTGACTGAAAATTTTGTTCCCTTTTCGCTGTCTTAGAGTAGAACAACACTTTTGATTTTGATCAACGTTTCATATCACATGAGTACGCAAGTCTTTGCTTACGGAATTCTATCGGAATACATATGCGAACACTAATGTATTATGTGTAAATCCCTACTGGACAAAAAGAGGGCTAGAGTAAACGAGCCTAGTTTACATCAGTTTGACCTTGTGGTCCAACTGATCAGCGTCCAGTTTCTTGGTCAGCAGCAAAGGTGATGAGGAGGCCAGCGCAACGGTTTGCTTGGCCAAGAACCGCTCGTGCATTTTGTTGGCCGTGTGCTGAAACTCGCCATCCTCGTCGAAAAGCGCCTTGCTGAAGTATTCGGTAAACAGGCGGCCCATGTACTGGTCCTTGGTGGACGGCCACCAGCCCTCGAGGAAGCCGATGTGTCCGCCTCGAGCAGTGATCACGATAGCCACATGAGTGCACTGGTTGGCCGCCTTGATGGGAATGGCCTCCAGCGGTTGGAACGGATCATCGGCGGCACTTAGGCAAAGCAGCGGAACCGAGATGTGGTCCAGCTTATTGTGCAGTGTGGCATCCGAGTAGTAATCGTTGACATGGGCATAGCCGAACTGCTTGGCCGTGAACAGTTCATCGAACTCTTTGATGGTCTTGCAGCGCAGAATCCGCTGGATGTCGATGTCAGAGTCCTGGTAAATATCCCTGTAGATGTCCAGATGGTTGCGCAAAGTGCGACAAAGACTGCCGGCCAAGTGGCGGCCAAGTAAGCTGTTAATAACCGGCTTTTCGATGCTGGCACTGCCCTTGTGCACGTCCCACGGCACCGATATTATCTTTGCCGCAGACAGGAAACTCCTGGCCTCATCGCTTTTGCGGGCCAAATAGTTTCCCAGAATTAAGCCTCCCATTGAAATCCCTGTCGCTCCCAACTTGCAGTGCTCGGGCAAGGTGCGGCGCACATGCTGGATGACCTCGCACAGATCCTCACAGTTGGCGGCGCAGTAAAGACGAGGGGTCTTTAGCTCAATGCCACCGAGGCCACGGTTGTTGAACACCACCACTCGCATTCCAGCCTGCTGTGCGGCGAAGACCAGGCACTTTATGTATTCCGCCTGCGATTCACCAGTAAGTCCGGGTAAGATGAGGACGCAGGGAGCGTTTGCATCGCAGCCCTCTTCCATCCAGTCCAGCGCCACCTCGCCGCCATCCTTCAGCGAAAGAATCTCGCGACGGTAGTTGACGTGCGGCAGACTCTTGGAGCGCAGCAGGCTCGCAAGGACGGTCTGGGCACGGCTCTCCACGCACCAGAAAGTGGGCCAGTACTTGTTCTCCAACGTCGGCACCTTCCGGATCAGATACTGTTTGAACGGCCCGTCCGAGCAGGCGATAATCGGTCGCTGTAATTACAACAATAGCGATTACACCCGCGCCGAATGTGATGCAATCGCTGGCGTTACACTCACCTTGACAACCTGGATTAGGTAATAAACGACATAGGCCACCATCGCCATTCCCAAGACGTGGAGGCGTGGCAAGTTGGACAGGTAGGCGTACATCGAGTAGAACATTGCGCCGTGTTCTGAATGAAGTTTCCTCACTGATAATTTGGAACTCTCTGCCAGCCGGGAATGCGAGCTGAAAGAGCGAACAGATCGCAAATGAAATGATTTACAGCACAGCGCTACTTGCCAGCGGTATGAATGGGTTATTTTGGGCTAATAAGTTGAAGGAGGCATATCTAATCGCGCCGCGCGGTAATGTATACACATGGATTCTAATTGAACGAGTGGTCGTTCGTATTAAAGGCAGTCTACACACGCCCCGAGTGGGTGCAGGCGGGGCGTTAGGGTTTAGTTCAGGTACACTTGACTCGTTTACGGCGCTTATCGCTCACTCACAGCAGATCTTGACGTTGGACGGGGTTCTGGAGCTGTGGCTGCCGCTGATAGACGCCTCTTCCGGCCGAAAGGCAGCGGATATTGTGAGCCAAGCCAAGAAGCTCCGGCACGGAGCGGTACAGGGACATTCTGTGGCCGGAGGGTGGACCACGGATAAGAGCACACAGCATGGCAATTCTAAACTATCTAAACTTCTGTGCAGGTGTTTTAAAACGGAAGGATTTAGTGTCCGGGGGCTCTGCCAATTGTGTTGCCTGGCATTACGTTCCAGAATTTATGGGTGCTTACCTTAAAAAAGAGGGCGAAACAAAAGAATAAATACAAATTTAGGCAAAGCGACTTCAAAAAACCTGTGACGACGTTGTGACACAAATCGAAAATATGTGCGTAGACTGATAGTATCTATAATTATTGGATTGACCCCTGTGTTTCAGGGGGTTTCACGTTTCTCATCGGCGTCATCACGTGCAGCTACAAAATAGTGGGTGGTTTGGGTGGCGGGTGGCATGAAAGGTTTTCTATTGATTTAAATAGTCTAAAAGGTGCAGGTAATTACCGTGCCAAGTATGACGGAATCAAACTATTTATAATATTTAATTCTCACTAGCCGCTAATATACAGGAACTTTTTAGAGGCAAACTGTTTTGTTACACGCACTTATGTAACTATATAAAAAATATTATGCATTTTTTGTTCGGCTGCAGAAAGAGGAACCTTGAACGAAACGTCTGGGATGCAAAGAAAGTCTGAAAAATAATGAAGGGCGCACACAACCAAAATATAAACACAACCGTGGGACGCTAAATTAAATTCTGTGCGGCAGTGTGCCCGAGCTAAATGTAAGCTAAATCTATGATAAATAACTTTAGTTCTGGCGATAGTTTTTATAGTATTTTTCCGTTAAAGCTAAATTTGACGCTTGTCTCTTTGAAAATAAAGAAGAATAAGGTTAAAATTGTTCATTTGTTAAATTATTCGAATTGGTTAACCCACTGTCTTAGAAATTGCCAACTTGCAAGTAGGTTTGTGAACCCTTGGAAGAGTTTTCTATATTTTTCTTAGAAGAAAAAGCTTATAATATTTGGATAAATTCAGATCATGGTCAAACATTTTTGAAATTTAAGAACACAATAACGCATTTTATTGAAAAACTTAAATTTTCATTCAGTTCAAAAAGCCGCGAACGTCTGGCAGCTGGAATACAATCGATTATCGCGGGGAATATATCGATAAATTCGAAGTACCGAACTATCCAAATACATCGATTTAGTTCCATCTCTTAAAGTCGCGATTTTTGTTGTAAAAAGTGTTTTGTTCAATTTGCTTGCATAAAACTGCAGGTTCCAAGTGAATAATCAATTGTTGCGGTATTAAAATGCCAGATAACTAGTGAGCAGTGGTCCCCTTTGCAAGTCCAGGGCAAGCTGATGCGAAAACAACGCGAACGGCGAAAACAAACTAATGACGTCGCGAATGTGAAAAAGCAAAGAGCACAAAGCAGAAGGAGAAAAGTAGGGGCCATACACCCGTATTGAATAGTATCGTACTGTGTCAGCATAATCAGTATTAGCAGCAGATTGAACACAAGTCAAACGTACATCCCCCACTGACCGAAACATGTGCTAGACCCTCTCGAAATGGGATCGCGTATCAAGTGAGTATGCCGCCCAGTTCCAGTTCCACTTGGTGGCTGCAGTGGGCGTTCCGCTCCACTGGCCACTTTTACTCCCACGAGTCATCACGATTCCCCCGTTACTCCTCCCCTTCAGAGACGATGTAAAGAAGCTCTTCGAGTTCTGGTGCGAGGTCTCGCCAACGCCGGGTTTGGAGAGGGGCACGAGTCCCAGGAGCGGTGGACCCGCCACGCCAGCTGGCGTCATCGTGGAGAGCTTTCCCGATGGTTTCCGCGACCAGGAGGTGCTTACCGGCATCCCGTCGTTTGCCTTTCCCTGCGATCCAACAAGGTGCGTATGTAGTCGGTGATTACTTTTCGATAATCCGCCCACATCCGGTCAGTTGTTTTAAAGCAGTTTCAAATTTATAAAATTTTTATTGACTTACTAAAGGCATGTTTAAGTTATACTATAGAACCGCAAATATATGCGTACTCTTAAAGTCATTTAAAATAGACATCCCCATTTATGTACATTTGAATTGAGTTGCCAATTTTGTTTCTGAAAACTTCAAAATCCATCGAAAAGCTTTTAAATAGTCCGGCTATCGATGCTGCTCAGCCTTAAATTCTCCCTATAAATTCGAAAAAAAGCATTAGTCAGTCCGTTTTATAAATAATATGCAGCACCACCAGACGCAAACGCAATCGCAAGACCTGCGATCGTCCATATACAGACGGACAAGGGGTTCCGCCGATGACTCATCACTCGACCCAACCACTTCCACCAACTAACAACAGATAGCTTGTCCATGAAACGAATAACCTGTTGTGCCGTTTTTTTGTTTCTGTTGCTGTTTCGCTTTCGGTGTTTGTTTACACAGCGAGTTCGCGTAATGAACTGTATTATTCAATGGGCATTGTTCGACGCAGTTCGCTTAGCGTTTCCTGGAGCGCCTGGAACTGTATCAATTGGCTTCTTCGCCACCTGGTTAGTCATCCAGTCTGACTCCAGACTCATCCCGTTCGCTTATCGGCACAGTTGTCCGTGTAACTCCGCTAACTCAGCGCTTGATAAACCATCGGGAAGGCAACATTGCCGATTAATTAATTGCAATTTCAAAGTTTGTCTAGCAGATTGCCTTTTTTCAAACAAAAATGGTTTGACCTCATAGCTTATCGGCGTTTACCTAAAAAATTTCGCCGAGTACCGTTGATAATATTGAGCAGAGATTTTATTTATTTATGTACAGCGGCGGTTGAAGTAATATAACTGTATATAGAATACATAAAAATGATGGTACAATAGTGTTAGTCGACAGTACTAACTAAACTCAGTTTTATTTATTAAAAATTTAATTTATAAATAAACTGAAGGTATAACTCAGATTTATGAATTAGTCTATAAATATTATGGTTTATAGTTTCCTCTATACATTTTTAAATTAAATTTGAATACAACATTTGTTGTTGGTTTTTAAGCAATTTCTAGTCTCGCATTATTTAGGCTTCTTTCCTAAAGTCACTGTATTTTTGACACAAAGCCGCGATAACGAAAATCAAGTCGAAGTCAAAGTCCCAACCGCTCAAGATAGCCTTCCCTTCCCCTTTCCATTCCGCCTTCATTTCCGCGGGCTGTTGGAGCACCCGTATCAACTGCGGATTCGGCGTTGTACGACGCCTGACTTTGCATATTAAATTGAGTAATGACACGATCCGAAACACTTAGATCTAACGGCTTTTATGTAACTCGGCGCGAAGAGAAAAAGAGCGGCAGTCGAAGCTGAGGCCGAACAATATGCAAAACGGCGGACAATGGGAAACGTGCCCGGGTAATGAGACTGCGCCGTCGTTGTTGCAAAACTGCGATTTATTTAATTTGCTAAATGCGATTTCAACACAATAATTAATGCGAACAACGCGTCGCTTGAAAAGGAAAAGAAATAAATCAAAGAAAGGAAAGAAAGCAAAAACTAGACATGGCAACATGAAAAACAGTCAAAAACATTTCGCTCTTTTCAAAATTCCCACCATAAATGTAAAACAACTGTTGAATCACCAATGAGTGGAAGCATACTCTGTAACTTTTTTGACGGAGTGGACAACTAAAATAATATTTTGAAACCAGGAGATCAAAACAAGTTTGTTTACTATAGGTTCGGTTACTACAGCATTTGTTAGGGTATTTCACAACCAGGCATAAGAAAAATTCGCAGAAAGTGGAGCGGAAAGAATAATAAAAATCGTAATGATTTGTATGCTTTTATAATTAACCCTGAATTCATTAGGCAAGTCGGTTAGCAACTTGTTTCGTCACTTGGTAACTTATAAGTCGTGCGAGAAATCACATTGATTTGGGTTAAGAGTTGAAAATAAAGACGAACTCGCAGCATTACTCATTGAATTTTGCTCTTGGGGGAACTCGCAGTTTATCATCCACAGTAATGAACGAAAAAATAGTTCAGGTATTAAAACATTTATTAATTGAGAAATTTGAACAAACTTTCAGCATTACCCACTGAAAGTTGTTTCCTAGAAACTATTTTATTGCTATTAAAATTGAATTTAAAAAATTCTTGATAAAGTCAAATACGTCAGTACGTTTTTTCAATGGAATTATTGTCGAGTAATTACAATTATTAAGCTATAGATAATTGTATTCCGTATATAGATGTTTTATTATTTGCGGTAAAATTTACTTTTTTTAACTCACTCATAAATATACTTATTTTTGTCCGGTGCCTCATCAAACATCACAACTGCTTATTTATGACGAACAAGGTCGTCTAATGCGTCGCCAAAGCAAATGTTACTCTGAACGAACCTCGGATAGTACAGAGTCCCAATGTCTTATATTACTTTTACTTTTGCAAACATCTTTGAATTTAACACAGTGTTTTCCCCTTTATCACAAACAGTACCTCCGTGCAAACGTATTCCTTTGTGCATACCACCGGCGACTCGAAATGGCGCTTCGGCTTTTGTCGGCAGGATCCCAAGACAAATACGGCCATGGTGCTGATCACCTACTTGCCGTGGCACGACACCTTCCTCAAACTGCTGCCCATTCTTGCGGAGCTGAAGCGAACGGATGCCAATGGGTTCCGTGTTTTCCTGTCCGAGGCGTACAACCAGGGAATTCCCGATTGCGGAGGCAACTTGAAGGTTTACTACAACGCTGGACAGAGTGTAAGAATAAGATATCGCTTTATTTAAATGTGAAATTAATAATCATTTTTTTCAACAGCAATTTATCTTTGAGCGTCCACTACAATTCCAGTTGCCCAGCATGCCAGAAAACGTGAGTCTAAGGAAGATAAACCCCAGCCGGAAGCGTAACTTTATCGACAACTTTTCCCTTAGCACAACTTAAACTTGTACTACAACTTTGTGGAGCCCAAGGAGATGATTGCCGTATTTGCCGCAATGCTAGCGGAGCGTCGAATTATCTTTACCTCGCGGCACTTGGACAGGCTATCCTCTTGCATTCAGGCGGCGAACGCATTCCTATATCCCATGGTCTGGCAGCACATCTTTATACCGGTGCTGCCTTGGGAGTTCAAAGACTATTTGGGGGCGCCCATGCCATATTTGATTGGTGTGCCAGAACCAGTGCTCGAAACTGTAAGCCAAAGTAGATGCTTCAATGGACAAGGCTAACAAAAAACGTATGTTTTCGTTTCTCCATCAGGTGACCAGCGATGAGCTGGGTGAAGTTGTGATCTTGAACTGTGATACGAAAATATTCGAAAGCCCCTTCGACGATGTGCACAATCTGCCGACGGAGATTGTCTCACAGCTGAAGAAGCAGCTGAATCACACGCATGACCACATCGGCGACCGGATCTCGAAGATCTTCCTAAACGCACTGGTGCAGCTAATTGGTGGCTATCGGGACGCGGTCGAGTACCACGAGACCAGTAAGACCTTCAACTCGCAAAAATTCATCGAATCTCGACCGACACACCTGCGTCCGTTCCTTGCCAAAATGATGGATCTGCAAATCTTTGCGCAGTTCATCGACGATCGCCTAAAGATGCTCAACAGCGGACTCGGCTTCTCCGACGAGTTCGAACTCGAGACTGTGCGCTATGCGGAAAAGAAAAAGCGTGGTCGCAACTACACCATCATGAAGAACCTGAAGGACAAGGTGAGCCGAGGAGGTTGTGGCCGCCCACTGGTTGCCAACGCTGTTAACCTAACCCTAATGGTGACACATCCGCCCCACACCACCACCATTATCGCCTCAGTTGCCTGGCTTGGAGGGAATATGGGAACAGGGCTTGCATTTCGTTACCGCCTCTCTTTGATCTGACCCGCTAACCCACTGTACTTTTAAGTTACTCTTACCACCTGCCCACCTTACGATGTTCTTTTATCTGATTTGATTTAATCTATTCCACAGTATTTGGGAAAGCGCAGTTTGTCGCGATTGTTTGCCAAGAACAATATTTAGACTGCCAACCATGCCAAATCCACAAAATCCAAATACCAATGTATAAACGAGTAGAATGTAAATTCCCACACACCTTATTTGCAATGTTAGTTCCAATGATTTCTTATCTTTATGCAAACAATTTATTTAACGTCCTAACAAGCAACTGCACCAAATAATTAATGTTGCCAAAAACTAAAAAGAAACCTGTAAATGTTTGTTAATGCAATATCATTTATTAACTGATTACGTTTGAGTTAATTGTTTTAGTTAGTTAAATGTTCAGTACTCTTCCTCTTTGTTTTGTGGCAATCAAGCAAAGCTTTAAAATCTTTTAATCTTTTTAAAATTGATCTATTCAGGGTGAACTAATCAGTAACCTTGATAAGTTGGTAATGGAGACATGTATTTGAACTGAAAACAAGCTTCTTTACTAATACATTGGCTTAATCTTTTGACTAAATGGGAGTAAATGGTAATTTCCATAATTTTTCCTATACTTTGTAATCTATTTCTACAAATAATCTACACAAACATTTATTTCTGGTCTATAGAAGGTAACATGAAATTTTATAAAAAAAAAAAAAAAAGTAGTATTCACTTTAGGACTAATTTATTAACATACTAACATACCTATTTTCTATTAATAGCCTTCGGCTATGATACCGTTTAGAACGCACCCTTTGAACGCAGATTTAAATCACCGCCTCGACATGTCAAGCCCCATTGCCCCAGTGATCCCCATTACCCATTAGCCAAACCGCCATTGTCATCGTAGCCATTAAGTGTAGTTAGCCGTAGCTTAAATAACCCGCTGCTCGTTCTGCGCATCTCATTCACACCGTATCTCGCCCGTATCTTGTGTGTCTCTCTTCCATATGCCGCTTGGATCGCTCATCCTACACTCCTCTGTGCTTTCTGCTCTCGCTGCGGTTGTGACCAATCGTTTTTTTGATCCAAAACATGCGTCTGTCTAACCATTGCAGACTAATCCGGCTGTAAAGTCTGCCGTCAAATCGGTGAGTGGTCTAGTTCCCCCGTTAAAAGCCCGTATATGTGTTCTTTTCCCGTGCGCTTTTGTGAATCTGTCCAGATTGTGATAGAGTCCGTACTTATTCGATTTTCAATCCCCTCGATTCAGGTGAAGGAGGGCTCGCGGGGCATGAAAACCGCCTACAAGGGATTCAAGACAAAGCTGCGCGAGAACGGCAACCAGTTCGGCGGCACGCACTTCCACTTCGGACTAGGATCGCCGAACCATTCGGATCGCCCGGACGGCGCTAGCGGAGGATACGTGCGTGGCGGCAAGGCCATTGGTGCGGCCCACCACTCGGCACCGAGTTCACCCGTGACCAGCAAGCGGCTCGATGGGATCGCCTCCGTTACGGGTAGCAGCGTCAGCAGCAGCGCATCTGGCGCCAGAGAGTCGCGCGAGTTCCAGCGACGCGGCCCCATCCCGCTGGCCATGTCTAGCTCGAGCAGCCACATTCAGCCGAACGGTCATGCGTACGGCTCGGCTGCTGGTGCTCATTACGGTCATCACCTCTCTGCGTCTCCTGCTGTTAGCTCGGCGAGCTCGCTCTGCTCATCTTCGGAGATGAACCTGTCGCAGGAGCTGCAGAACCATCCGCTCTTCAAGACGCCAGCCGTGGACCGCAGTGTAAGTAGTCTGGTGCGGGCGTACGAGCTTCGGCTGCAGCAGCTCCAGTAGTTGCAGTGCTCCAATGCAGCCGTTCACATGCTTGCCGCTAAGCTAATCGACCACTCATCTTGATGTGCTGTGAATTTATGTTGTTCTCATGCTCTTCTTGTTTTTTGTTTCCTTGTCTGTGTCGTGTCTGTGTCCAACTGTGTTTGTTGTCATCGATCGATCGTCTGTCCCATATCACGCCCTCGAACTCCACAAATCACACCCCACACACACACTACACACCGATATAACCGATCACACTCGACTCACATTTGCACCCACCCCCATTCCTGTCATCGCCCATCGGCCCACGCAGCTTAAGCCGAACGCAGAGCACAGGCGAGGAGGAGCACCGCCAGCCCGCCCACCGCCGCCGCAGTCCACGCCCGCCTCCTACTACAACCACCCGTATGCGGCCCATCCGCACGTTGAGGCGAAGCCGCCGCGGCACACCTCCACGCCCACCAGACCGCGCCAGGCCCTGCCCACCGCCGATACCAACAGCTTTGACAGTCCGCCGGACGTGCAATCGCCACCGATTCCGCCAAGAAGGCAGGGCAGCTCCAATGCCCTGGTGGCGGCCACCGCCGCAGCCGTTCGAGCTGAGATCAGCAAGCTGGAGCGCAACTGCTGGCGGGACGAGCCCACCGGAAACGATTCAGTACGCAACTCGAACGCATCCTCGTCGTCGGCCACCTCATCATGCTCCTCGGCCGCCTCCTTTGTGACGGCGGCATCGACGTTTTCGCACCTAAATGTCTCCGATCCGCCTGTTCCTACGCCAAGGGCCAAGAGAGAGGTACACCAGCTGCGTCGTTAGTTTACTAAGTCCATCCTGGTTGTGGTCTCCCAGTCAAAAGCACACTAACACACATCAAGGGTCCTCATGTAGACATCCCTGAATCACTTACAAGTTAAAGGTCTTTCTTCACCGAATGACATTACTCATTTCTTGCATTAACGTTAGTTCATTACTTCCTAACATTAATTTCCTCTGCAACTCATTAGATAATGATAGCGTTCACTAAAGCGTTTCATTTTGTAAATCAAATCTATAAACTAAGATGCTAATACAATATTTGTAAGGGTTTGTAGCTTAGCCAATTTTAAAATTACATTTGAGGGCAAGTCCGATTTACGTTTCATCAAATCACCGTTTATTCATTTATCTACTGCACCCATTATAGTTTTCCACCGTATTTAGCCGCTTGTAACTGCTATAAAGTAACTCGAGTTATATGTATATTTGTGTTTGTTGCATAGGCACAGTAGTACCCATAAAACTCACAACCAAAGCTTTCTAACAACCCCAACCTCTGTACCCCCTAACCCGCAGCAGCACCAGCCGCTGGAGGACAGCATGAACGATCTGATATCGCTGGACGATAGCAACAACACCAGCTTCGACCTGGAGGACTTCGATCCGCTGAATCAGAACGCTCGTCCGCTGCCGCCGCTGAGCAAGGCGTTCGGCAAGAAGTCGAGCACACTGCCCGCTGGCGTGAACAGCAGTGTGGTGGCCAGCAGCGTCAGCAATCCTCTGTACCCGTACTTCGCGCCTAAACACATGGCCACAGTTGCAGCGGTGACGGGGAGAACACCTCCAATGCATCCTCCTCTACCGAATCAGCGCAGCACTATTGCCGCCAAGCCGGACGACGATTTCGAGCTGCTCCGCAAGTATGGATTGGATCAGTTTACGTTGAACGCCAACGCGACGGACAACGCACCGCAGCTCACCACCGGAAAGGGCATGAACAACTGGACAACGTTCGATTAGAGGGTCTGTACTGGACACAAAACGCTTCAAATATGATACCAAAATAAGTGTGATTGATACATTGTGTTGTAAATAGCTAGGAGACATAGGCAGAATCTAGGAGAGGAAACCGATGACAGTAAAGTAACCCCTAAATACCCAATATTGTATGTTTACCGTAGTCAGCAAGTTATGTTCAGTGGGCCATTCAGCAAATGGATCAAACTAAAACGCCCGTTTGTGTAAATAACTGTTAGATGGCAAGTTTTGGACATTTGTATGAATCGGAACTCTCGCTAACTACATTCACATACATTTGTACACTGGACTTCCAAATCAAAAGACACCAGAATCTAGAATAGCATGAATTTAAGCCAATTAGCCTAACAAATTATCAATAAAACGCAAATAAACTCGAGTTCAATTATTAAAAGGTTTATTAAAAGAAAAGAAATATCTTTATATTGATTTGATTTTAAATTTATTTTGCACTAAAAAAGTAATGTTTAACTATACTTTTACTTTTTTTTTAAATATAGATAATTGAGAATTGCCATTTCAATAAAATCGGGATCTATGATATTATTTTTTAAAGCAAAAAGGGTAAAAGGCTCTCAAAAGTACACAAAACGGATTCTCTGCAAGCATTTCGCGCCGATAAAAACAGGGATCTATTGATTCTTGGCTTTGTTTTCGGCCATGCAATTAAGGATGCGAGTCTGCAGAGCCCGTGCTCCGCTGAGATTGATATCTTCGTTATCTGGCAGCAGTTTTCCCATGCGATCCATCCAGGTGGTAATCTGCGGATACTTTTTCTGCTCCACTGGTATGAGCAAATCCAAGGTCACCAGTGTGGTGTGGATAGAAACATCGGCCACACTTAGTTCATTTCCTACCACAAAAGTTCCATTCTGCAGAAAGTGCTCTAAGTCAGCGTATGCGTTGTGGCAAAGGGTCAGAGATCGGGGATTGAACTCTCCCTCTCCGCCGTAAATGTTCCGCGCCACAATGTCCTTGATCACCTGAAAAAGTACTCCGTTCTCGTAGTGCAAGCGATGGTCGATGTGAGCCCGTCTTTTCAACTCCTGCGGATAGAGCTTGTCATTTACGGCGTACTTGGCCACCAGGAAGCATATGATGGCATGACTGTCCACGTAAACCTCGCCATCGCTGTCAACCAGCACAGGAATTTGATGCTGGGGGTTCAGCTGTATCGGACCAAGGTCAACAATGAATAAAGACTATTTAGCGAAAGGCAGTACAAACATACCTTAATAAACTCTTCGCTTAGGTGTTCCTTTTTGGAAAAATCTACGAGTCTGTATATGTGAAAGGAGCATCCATTAGCTTCTTTGGATTTGTGGATGCTGTTTACTTACTTGAGGTCTAGGTCCAGTCCAATTAACTTGGCTATTAGGATGCAAGCTCTGGCCGGAGGGCTAAAAAGGGCGTAATACAGCGTTGGCTTCGACATTCTCCCAATAAAATCACACAGCAAATAGCGATCAAAGGCGAACCAGAAACCAAAACCATAAGCGCAACAAGGGGGACCATTGGTTAAGATGACCTTGACTACATGTTCGAATATTATTTAAAGTATTCGTTTGTTTAATTTTGAATTTAATATTATGCTTAAATATTTGTATTGAATCGTCGATAATTGGAGAGCTCCCATTATTATGAACAGTTCCAATAACTCATGAACAGCTTCTTAAAGCTATCGCAGAATGAATATTTACGACTGCATTTCTTATAAAAAAAAAAAAAAAATTTTTTGATTTGAAAAATTGTTTTTTTTTTAATAAAAATAAATTTTTATTGTTCACCTGACCCCCGGATATATTTGAACTACGCCATTGGTCAAAAGTAAAAGTACAACTGGAACTGCCAACCTGCGTCGATTCCAAAAACAGCTGATGCGCGGAAAATTCAAAAAAGCACATATTGATGGATGTAACTTTATTGGTGCAGTGCTTAAGTCTAGCCATTTATTCGCAGATTGGTCTTAACTTAACGAATACTTTTGTTACATGAACTACGTGAAAAACTAACATACTTAGGTTGCTAACAGATGTTTAACGGATTGTGACGTAAAAAGAATACGTTTAACATGCCGAGTCTATTCTTTGGGTTCGACTATGGTTAACAAACAAAGATCTTACTTGTAAGATCGCACTGCTAGCAGGCTAGGGCGAATCTAAAAGTTCAATTACGGAATCCTCTTTGACCTTAGCCGAAATGTTTTCGTCAATATCCTCTGCAAGTAAAGAAAAGGGTTCGGGTGGGCTCAATTAAAAACGGGATGCCAAATAAAAATCAGTAAAAACTTAAGAGAAAGTGACCCCCGCTGCCAAATAAAAAACAACAGGCCTTGGTTGAAAATTGTTTAATAATATAGTTAAAGTACACATCTCCTTGTACACAGTTTTCATATTTGTTCGATCAGATATTTAATGGTGTTTGATATCAAATCAAAATGAAAGCAATATTGAATTTAAAATCTTAACATATAAATCCGTGTTCGCACGGTTTGAGCTTGAATAAACGTCAAAGGTCAGGGGCCTTAGCTTGATTGAGTGCCTATCTTGATTTCCATCAATAAAAACGCATTCGTTTGTTTTCCAATACACTAAGGCATTTTATGTAGTTTCGCCCTGACTTGCAACACAATATAAATACAATCTTGGGGGGCAGCACCCTGCACTCCACTCCACGCCACTCCGCCTCTCCGTTTAGTATCCGTTTAGCTATAGTATCTTAACTAACCTAAATGTCGGTGTCGCGGCTGGCTGCCGCCTGGCCTGTCTCCTCTCGCCTCGTGCATAGGAATATAAATACGACCAACTTGCATTGGCGGACTTATGATTAACATCTGGTTTAGGTGTACGCTTAGTTATAATGTTAGTAATGCGTAGGGCGTTTAATTTTCTTCTTCACCGCTTCGAAATAAATTAATTGCGTGGCCTATGGTAATTGCTAATGAATGCTGGTGCTACTTTGTGTAATTGTAATATCTAGGAATAATTCAGTTGGTGTATGGGGTGAGTGTGTGTTGCTGAGAGCCCTGGGGAAACTTAGTAACACAACAACAACTCGAGACGACACAGAAACGAAGGAAACAGGTCATAACCAAAGTGGGTGAACCCCCTGCATAAGGGCAGCGACAATCTGGCTGACGGGGAAGTAGTCACTAGGAACCCCTGGACCCGCTCCTATAAAGCCTGTCTGTTCTGCCTGCGTCCTGCAACACAAAAATTACAAGCATCAGTTGATAAGTCGCGACTGAGAGCGTGTGAATGCGATGAGGTGACTGCGAATGGAACGCTGAAGAATAGCCTCTGAGGTGTGATTCTGGCCTGATGCCACCGGGACAAGGAAGAAAAACAGAAATTGGCCAAGCCGAATCAGGGATCATGAGAGTGAGGTGCGAGCCGTGAGTGTGCGATGGATGTGTATGTGGCCCTGCCTACGGAGCGGCGTTCTGACCCTGCCCGGATGACGCCGTGGCAGCTGCAGCAGCCGCAACCGCAGCTAGATCCAACAGTTGGAAGTGCTTTTGATCCGCGACCGCAGCAGCCAGGGACTCCAGGAGCGAGGCATGGACGGCTGCCGTCGCTGGCTGATCATGCTGTTGCTGCTGCTGCTGCAGCTGCTGCAGTTGCTGGTCTAAGACTGGCTGCATCTCTGGCGATTGGCGACGGACCTGCTGTTCTGGGGACTCTACGTGTTTCATCGGCGGCAGCATGGACGGGTCACACAAAAATATCAGGGTAAGAAGAGAAAGAGAGTGGGAGAAAGAGAAAAGATAAAGAAATGCACAAGTTACTTCAATTAGTTCAGTTATTATCATATCAACAACAACAATCGAAAAAGAGGTTCTCAAAAAAAAAAAACCTCGACTAACGATCTACTATGATTTATTTAAATATCACTTAAAGTAAGAGTACATTTCGAGGAATAATTTGGGATCGGTGACAACAGAAAATACATATCAAATGGGAAAGGACAATAATTGGTGGTTGTTAAGACAAATAAGCTTGAAACTGCTTATCCCACGTTTGGGCGCCTGGAGTTGTCCGGCTTGGGTTTTCTGTAAGATTATACAGATTAAAGTATGGGATTCTTGATCCTTTAAACCATGTCACGATCGATTAATGGGAAAACCTACCGTTGGCGCAGCCAATTTTGCAAATTAACACGCCGATAAAGCTCCGCTGTCTTTGCAGGTTTCTTAAAAACGTTATCATCTACAATAAAAGCAACGAAAGCGGAGACAATCAAATACTCAAATTTTGTTCTATACCTTCTCTGCAGTGAAGCTCGACTTCTTTTTCTACTTAATCTAAAAAGTCTTCGCTAAAGGATTGACTGATATCTGATATCTGAGTTTTCATAGGTGCAGGCCTGGATTCTCTATCATTGTATTACAGCTTCTGAACCTAAATCAGCGCCTAGCAATAACTTCACAGAGTTTTGAAAATATGAAAGTGAAGCCTTAAACTTTGTAAATGCAATTACAAATTAAGAACAGTTAGTTTCAACTGGGAACTCCTATTTAAATAATGTGGGAAACCTAACTTATAAGACAGTGGGGACCTTAGAATATTATACTATCCATATAATTCCGAAAAACCCTTATGCAAGTTTCGCTCAAATATTGGCCTTATTTGGTTTCCACTTAAAAGTTATGCGTTTAGCAAATAAAATATATTCGAATAGTTTCCCAGAATTTGTGGCCCGAATGGAGTACCTAAACGTTCAATTAGATCTTGCTCTTTTGCGACATAAAATGTTATATACATAGTAAAGTGAAGCGAATTTTTCTCGAACTGAAACTTGAACATAGGAGGAATTCCATCCCCCTTACAAATATGCTTGATGCGTGTGTGAGTCTGTGTGGATGTAAATGGGATGTGTATGGATTCTTATATCTACTTTAACCTATGGTAAAGGTTAATAAATTTTTTTTTCGACTATACAGAATTATAATTGGTATACTGTCTTATTGCAAAAATGGATCCAACGTACCGGATTGCTGGGCCTGCTGTGCCGGCGTGTAGGCACGTTGGACGCTACCGCTGCCGTTCGACGTTGAACTGGCTACGGCTTGCTTGGCGGGTGGACGACGTTTGGCCAACGGCATGTCGTCGTCGGAATCGCTCAACGTAAGGTCAACCTGTTGCGCCGGCAAAAGACAAACACGTTGCAGTTATTTTTTTTACAGGGGCATTTCATAGCTTACGGTTTCACTGTTTGACGTGGATGTTGGCTGGTCGTCCGGTGCTGGGGACAAGTCGCTCTTTACTGGCTTGGCATCGTCCGAGATAAGCTCTGAAACAGCAAACGAATACGGTTACCATCAAGTGAATAACGGATAGAGTAAAGAGTGCTCACCAATATCGTCCGATATAACCTCAACCTTTTGAACTGGCTTTGAGGGTGTATCCAGGATCTGCGCCTCGCTCCGCAAGCCTGGTGTGCTCCATGAGCCATCCTGGTGAAGCTGAATCTCGGTGTCATCGCTTTTTAGCAGCTGTGAGCCTAACACCTCTTGAAAGTAGCTGTGGTAAATAGTTTCAATCAGTTTCCTGAAGGTGCTGTATAATTTGACATCCTCTTACCCATCTATGACCAGATTGTCGTAAATGGCTGGCTTGTCGCAGACTGGGCAGTTCCAAGTGGGCTTGCGCTCGTTCATTTGCAGGTAGAGACTGGCGTCGAAGCATTGCAGGTGTGAGCAGGTTGATGCTCGACACGGTAACAACATTTTCATCTTGCCCAGAGGACAATTAAGTGACACTTTAAGCATAGTGGTGGCTATCTCGCAGTCGGCATCCTCCGTCAGTTTTTCCTTAACTGCAAGGTGGGTGTATATTAGCAAGGGAATACCGGTTAAACAAAGGAATCTTACTTAAGCCGCGCGTGTAATCGGCCGGCTTCACTCCCTTGGTTTTCATGCGCTGCAATAGCTGTGCGGAGGTGAGCTTTTTCACCAGGTAAACGGCTAGGCAGTAGCTGCGCGTATAGTCTGGACACCACTGCACCATTATGGTGTTTGTGACCGTTGGCGACAGCTTTACGTTGGAGGTGACGTTGACAGGACGCGGCGGACGCTTGGGCTCCACATTTGGTCGGTTTGTTGGAATGACATTCTGCAAATGTATTAAGATGTTACTCTGTCCTGGCTTTGCTATCGGTGGATACTCACTGGCAGCTGGCACAGCTTGTTGTTCACCTTGACGTTAACGTTCGGCGGAAAACAATCTTCCTGGTCGCATGAGGTTTCCACTAGGCAGAAGCGAAGTTGCACCTGAATGGCATGCTCCACCTTGGAGCTGTTTCGGATGTCGCGATTGGAGGCAATCTCGGTGGCCTGCTGGGGGGTGAGTGTGAAGTAAAAAGGCACCTCTTGGACGCGCTGGGTGTTGCGAGGCACCAGGGTCGATGGCTTAATCAGTGTGCCGAGGACGTCATAGAAGGCTAGCTTCTTAAGCCGAACGTCTGGGTGGATAGGCAGCTGATTGTTGATACTGTGCGTGTGAAGAAAGGGTGTGCCACCGACCACGTTCATCTGACCCCCAGGCACCTGGACGCCTGGTCCGCCGCCGAGGCCCACCGGATTCGGCTGCACGGTGGGAGGCAGCTGGATGTGTGAATACATCCTGGTTGGGTCGATGTACTGCAGCGTGGCGCTTTGCTCCTGAACGGACTGGGCGTAGACTTCTTGTACCTTCGGGGCAAGCAGTTCCAAGTTGGTGCGCAGGAACGAGAGGATACGGCTCTGCAGGTCGGTTTTTCGGCCAGCGAAGGAGATGTTCAGAAACGACAGGATTTTTTGCAGCTCGACCACTCGGAGCATCTGCACCATTTGCTCACACTCCTGTAAAAACGGGAAATTAAATCACAGGTTAGTTAACATTGGCAAAACATATCTGGCCAAATAGCGGGACTTCACACCAAGCGCCCGCACTCACAGACGCACGCACACACAAGCGCATACTATGTGCAAAATCGCGTTTTTGCACATATGTACACATGTGTATGTACCCGTGCGGCTTGGTACATGAATATTGCGGATGTTCGTTTAGCCAAGACTTCTCAGCAAATATATGAAAATTCTCCAAAGAGCTAAGATCTCAATTTTTGTATCTGTCCAAAACTCTCGCATGCCACCAAATCATTACCTAGCTGCTCAAACATGGCGTTCAAAAGAAGAAACCTAATTTTGTAGAACCAATCCGCTTTTGATGAGTAATAAAGAAGGTCAGGAGACAAAAACGCTCAACAGAAATACAGGTGCAGCAGGAAGGCTTTCTACTTTTCACAAATTGCTTTAAAACAAACGACCGCACGAATGCCCTTTTTTGTCACACAAATTTTGTTTTGTCCGCACGGTCTGAAGAAATATGGCGGATGGCAGTGTTGCATAGCGATGAGAGCGGCTGGGTTGCCTCCCCTCTCGACGTGGGGCAGCCACACTATAAGCCTGCGGTCACTCTGCTTATCAATCTATCCCATATTTGTGGAAAATTCTTTTATCTGAATTAAAGGGGGCTGCCGAGGACGTACCTTGTACTTGGCCACATCAAAGGGATTCACTGCTATTGGCGCTGATGACGACGATTGGTGCCCGGGGCTCGAGGATGTTGCGGCATTTTCCGCCTGCGTGCGAGCCGTCTGCGAGCGGGTCTTTCGCATTACTGGTATTTTCTGTCTTCGGCGGTTTTAGGCGGTCAGCAATTGCAGTCGCAGACTTGGTTGCATTTGCCTGGGACGCGCACCACACATAAAAACAAGCACTTTTGGCAGTTTTTCAACGAATGCGGGGCAAACAAAATTATTTTACGCGGCGTCGACGCGATTGACCGACTAGAGTTGACACTATCGATCGACACCAGAAAATTCCCTATCGCCTCGACACCCCCTGCTCACGCAATTATGAAACACCCTAACGCGTGTTTTGTTTACAGTCTAGATTTATACGTTACTTTTCATAGTCCTAATTCGCTAGGCATTTATTTAATTGTACAAATATGGGTCTATCTATGCAAGAGTGGTATAAAAGGGGCCCGTCGCTTGGCGTGGGCCTAGAAGAAGTCCATATCCCCGCAATTGACGTCCAAAAAGTCGTCGTCGTAACTTATTAATTCCTTCAGTGGGGTTCCTTGAGCCGCTGCTGCTGCTTTGGATGTGGAGGGCAGTTCGGCGTTATCCACCAGGTTTATGTTGATCTCATGTGTCTTGTACTCCGGACTATCTTGTTCTTGCCCAGCGCCAACGGGCGAAGGTGGCGGGTTCGACACTTTTGAAACAAACATATAAATACTTTAGAGGAAAATAAGAAATATTGATAAGATTATCTTACAATTGGCAGGCTGACTCTCCGCCCTCAGCTCGTCGCTCTGCATGTAGAGCTCCTTACGCTGGATCAACGTAGGCAATTCCGTGACCTGCTTGCTGAGACACTTTTTCAACTCCTCCACCTTGCGGTCCCGCATCAGCGTCTCGATCTGCTTGCGCGACTTGTTTAGATTCTGTCGATCCTCGCTGAATATGGACTTTTGCTGCTCCTGGGTAATTTTGTCGTGATGCTTTAGCAGGAACAAAAATACACCGCCCGGTGTACGTCTTCGATTGCCGTTCTATGTGCACATTCGTATTTTAATAATCAAGTAATAATAAGTATTTAGGCATCTTACTTTGATCATCATGCCGCCATCGGCTTCAATGCGCTGAGTTTCTTTATATAGCTCCAGGGGCAAATCCATGCCAAGGACTTCCACCACTCGAACTGGGAAAATAATTGTGTACTTGATGCGAATGCAATGGTTTATTTTACAAGCTTACCTAGTAATTCGTCCTTCTCCTCATATAGTTTGCTAGCCATTTCGGTGGCCACATCAGAAGGGTCTCGTCCGGCAACTTCGTTGAGGTCCAAAATGTGCCTGGGCTCGCAGGAGTCGGAGGAACCGCTGGCCGAGGATGTTCCCCGTCGCGAACGGTGACCCAGCCGGCTTTTGACCGCCCCGCGCTGTGGATATTCGTCCGTAGGTCGACTAGAAGGTCTTCCCCGTTTGTGGGCCGGATGTGAGGAGTCGCCGCCCTCTTCAGAGGAGTTAGAGAGCCGACGCTTCAGGCTATTTTCCCCGTTGAGTCGGTACCGCAGTGAAAAGTCGTAGTTCTCTACGTTCCGATCCCGACCACTTCGAGTAACGTCGCAGCCACGCATATTCTCGCTGAGGGCGTCCTCTTGCAGAGCGGAGGCCCACACGTTGTACTTTTTGAAGCGGGCACGATTGGGCTGCATCTCGGCATCCGTGGGTGGAATGCGTCGCATCACTGTGCGTCGGATGCGCTTTTTCCTCTTCTTGTGGCTTCCGTGTTCGCTGGAATCCGTGCGTAATTTTTTGATGCACCCGTCCTCGGAGGACTCTGCCGACGAGGAGTCGCTGTTACTCTGTGACTCGTCTTCCAACGCTGTCTGAATCTGGTGGCAGGTGGTGAGGGGACTAGCCACCTTCTCTGCACCCGCAGGTCGTTGCAACGGCGTGTAAACGCCATCGTCGTCGCTATCCGACAGCTAAAAAATCATCAAAAATGGTCACTGGTGGCTTTTTAGAGTGGGCGGTGGTAGTTACCTCGCCGTCCTCCAGGTCAACGTCGTTCGAGTGCAGCTCCATCATTTTTCCAGGCAAGAAAATGAACTCGATGGTAGTTGCCGCGTGGTGCTGGAAAACGCCCAAAGTGCAGCGCCCACCAGCTGTTTGTGCAACACTGAGTGTTCAGAGTGGCCGCGAATTGTTTGTTCAGGAATGTTGAACAGCATTAGGGTGGTCGGTTCAAAATAAATTCTTAAGTATGTAAATGGTTATTAAACACCCTCAATTTTTTTTTCTAAAGACTGTTAAACATGATTTTCCAATGTGTCATAATACATCTAATTATCCCGTATATTCGTATCCCGTTTTGATACGAACTTCGAATAAAATGTTAATACCTAACAACTTTCTTTTAAAAAGAGATTGAAAATCTTAGTTTGAGTACATATCTAAATATTCTGAAATTGTATAGTATGAGAAATACCCGAATTGAAAGTTAATAAATAGAAAAACAGTTATTTAATATAAAGTTCTTAAATTTCAAATACAATTAATTTTCACTGATCAATTTTTGTTACTACTACCTTATAAAAGAATTCCGTTTTAGCAACGATTGGTCACACACCACACGTGCATCTACTTTACTAGCACGGAACGTGGTTGAATAAGAACGTAGTATTTATACAGATTTTACGGCTCACCATGGTGCGGCCCAACAACAACCAGCTGCCGGAGAACCTGCCTCAGCTGCAGAACCTGATCAAGAGGGACCCGGAGTCGTACAGCGATGAGTTTCACATCCAGTACCAACACTTTCTCAGCCTGCTGGAGGTTTTCGCTTTGAATCCAAGTGAGGAGAACAAATCCCTCGATGACATCGTCATGTTTATTGCCCAGGTGGCTCAGTGCTATCCGGCAGTGTGCGAGGAGTTCCCAAAACGGCTTTCTGATCTGCTGAGGAACTACGCCACCGTTTTGGACCCTGCCATGAGGAATTGTTTTGTAAAGGCTTTGATCCTGCTGAGAAACAAGAACCTCGTGCCCGCATTGGACATACTGGAGTTGTTTTTTCAGCTCCTCCGATGTCCTGACAAGAATCTGCGCACTTTCCTGCAGACTCACATCGTGACCGACATAAAGAACATGAACGCTAAGCACAAGGATATGAAGTTAAATTCGGTAAGCTACAGAAACGACATGATAGTAAAAGACCTAAAATGTAACTTTTTATTCTAATACAGAGCCTTCAAGCTTTTATGTACTCCATGCTTAAGGATGCAAATCCCAAGGCGGCTAAGATGTCGGTTGATATTATGATTGAGCTGTACAAGAAGAACATCTGGAACGACGCCAAGACGGTTAATGTAATAGCCACCGTTGGCTGCTTCTCGAAGGTGACGAAGGTGCTGGTCACATCGCTAAAGTTCTTTCTCGGCCACGACGAAGAGGACGAAGAAGAGGACTCGGACAGCGAGAACGAGGTGGACCTCAAGGGTGCTTTAATGGCCAATCGCGTCAATAAGAAAACCAAGAAGAGGACAAAACAGTTAGCGCAAATTAAGAAGCAGGCGGTGAAGGCGCAGAAGAAGAAAAAGAATGCGCCTGCCTTCAACTTTTCGGGCATTCACTTGGTGCACAATCCACAGGGTATGGCCGAGGGCCTTTTCAAACAGTTGCAAGCCACTAATGAGCGGTTTGAGGTTAAGCTCATGCATTTGGACGTGATTTCGCGCCTGATCGGTATCCACGAGCTGTTTCTATTTGGCTTTTATCCATACATAACTCGCTTTCTGCAGCCCCACCAGCGCCAGGTGACCCGTGTACTCCAGTTTGCCGCTCAGGCTTCCCACGAATTGGTCCCTGGAGACATCATCGAACCCATCCTAAAGACGATTGCCAACAACTTTATCACTGAGCGCAACTCCAGCGACGTGATGGCCATTGGCCTGAATGCCACGCGTGAGATTTGCATGCGCTGTCCCCTGGCCATGGGCGAGGATCTGCTCCAGGATCTAGCCATGTACAAAACCTACAAGGAGAAGTCAGTAATGATGGCAGCACGGTCGCTAATTACTTTATACCGAGAACAACTTCCAGCCCTTCTGCACAAGAAGGATCGAGGCAGACAGACGGAAGCCCAAGCTGAACGCAAGGTTCGAGCATACGGAGAACGCGAAGTCCATGATACGGTGCTGGGCGCCGAAGCTCTGCTCAAGGACTCTAAAACCATCGATATTGAGAGTGATGAGGATACGGACTCAAACGATGGAGAGTGGGTTAATGTAACGCACAGCGATGGCGAAGGAGGAGCGGCCGATGAGGATGACGACGAAGAGGACGAAGATGATGATGAAGACGAGGAGGATGAGGACAACAGTGACGAGGAAGATGAGGAGGGAGAGAACTCTGATGAGGGCGTGGAAAGTGGAGAAGAATCCGTCAAGACGAAGAAAGAAAAAAAGGATATCAAAATCCTGAGCCAGAAGGAAGCCGCTCAGGAACTGGCTCTAACGCGCATATTCACGGACGAGGACTTCAAGCGCATCAATGCGGCTAATCTCAAGAAAACCGTGACCAGTGCCCGCAAGAGGCCACTGGAACAGGATCGTGCAGAATTTGTCAAGCTAAATAGCATCGAGATGATCTACAAGAAGCGCAAACACGACAAGGAGTCACGCCTGGAGACTGTGCAGGCTGGCCGGCAGGATCGTGAGCGTTTCGGCTGGAAGGACGGACGTGTGAACGAGCACTGCTCAAAGACAAACCGCGAGAAGCGAAAGACCAAGAACTTTGGCATGTTGCGGCACAAGGCGCGCTCTAAGGTCAAGAAGAGCTTCAAGGACAAACAGCAGGCGCTCAGGAAACATTTACTTCACCAGAAGAAGATGAAGTAGTAGCCGATGTCGCCCACTACTTTGTAGTTTAAAAAAAAAAGTGCTAAAATAAGAGCTTTTTTTTGACAATTTGTAACCAATAGATTGTGTAAAAGTTAGTTTAGTAATCTTTTTTATTTTTTATCATATAGACTTTTTACGGTTGCATATGCATTAAACTATTAAAAAAGGTATTTGCGTATTCGGGATAAATTTATCTGCGACGCTTGTCGGACTTTTTTACGCGCTTTGGTCCCTTAACAAAACACCAGTCTACTTGGATGGTCTGTCCCATTATTTCGGCACCGTTCAGTGCCTCCTTGGCGGCGAGCGCTTGCTTGTGAGTTTCGTACTCGACGAGGGCATAACCCTTGGAGAACCCAGTGCGCCGGTCAAGGTTCAGGTGGATGTTTTTAATCTCGCCGTAGTCGCAGAACTTCTCCTGGATCTCATCCTCCTGCGCCTCCTCGTGAATAGAGGTCACGAACAGGATCCAGCCCTCAACAGATCGTTGTGGTCCCGGCTCCAGCTCATCATCGTCCTCGTTACGCACCCGCTCATAACTGTGAATCGCCTCCCGGGTGTTGCTGTCGCTGCCAAACCCTCTTCCCTTGCGGTGCTTCGCTTTCTCCTTCAGGCGCACAATGCCCTCTTTTTTTTGCAGTGTACGGTGTGCAAAGCACGGTGCAGCGTGGGAACAAAATTATAGCATAAGATCAGTGGAAAACAAATTTTATTCAGACTACTTACGGTCACCGTCCTCGTCCACCTCGAACTCCTCTGCATTGTCAATATCTAATACATCGGCCATTTTATTTATTACTCATACAAACCGAATCAAATGTTGTATTTTCTTTCGGTTCGCGTCCGTCCAATCGCAAAAAATTATCTAGAGATGGTATACGAGTCGGTGTTGGTTAATGCCGAAGGAGCTTACAATCGGAGTGACGTTCCGAAAAATTTTAGCCGTCCAGAAAAATATTTATAGCTAAAATTAACCAAAAATTCGAGTGGGACAGTTTTTTCTGTCCGCACATACGACTTGTACCTATGTATGTTTAAAGCGCTTATTAGAATCGTAAGCTGAAAAAAATATATATGTATTTATGAAATATATATAAAAATTGAGGATATGTTATGACTCGCATCACTAAAAATTTCACTATCGGCCAGGCACGCTGACATCTCTAAACAGCGGCTTCCACGAATTTTTTGTGGGCGCTTTGGTTATATTTACTGTATAAAAGGGGCGTGGCAGATTAAGTCCATGTATGTGGCCGCATCGGTGAACTATATCAGTTGAAAGCATTCGTTCCAGTTGTTCGTCGATCGCTGTTCTCATCGGCAGCGCAGTGTGCTTTTCTTTGTTCCCGGACTGTGACATCACTGTCAGGAAGCGTTTGCTGTCTTTTTCTTCTTCCGTTCGGCAGTCTTTGAAATTAAACTTGAAAATATAAAACGGTTTTCCCCCCTGAGGTCTTTCGGTTAACAACACTCAGCCACCATGTGTCAAGCCACGGGGATGATGCAGTGCGAGATCAAGAACATGGCGCTATCGGGCGATCCGGAGCTGGACGACCAAATCCGCAAGTGGATTCGGTGGGACAAATGCGCCAGCACCGCTTGCCAAATTATGGACGCCGTTCGGGCTCAGGATTGGGATACGTAAGAGCGATCGCAATTAAACCAATCTTAGTTAAATTAAGTTTTATCCCTTGGCAGGCTGCGGAAAAGACTGTGCACTCGGATCAGCTTTGGCACGGCAGGTCTGCGGGCATGCATGCGTGCGGGCTTCGACTCCATGAACGAACTAGTGGTCATCCAGTAAGGAAGCCTTTGTCTATCTCAAATAAGTTATTGATAAAATGAATCTGTTTTTAGAACGGCGCAGGGCTTGTGCGAGTACATAAAGGAGCAGTTTCCAAATCCGGAGGACTGGTCTCAAAGGGGCATCGTGTTCGGGTACGACGGTCGCTACAACAGCCACCGATTCGCCGAGCTCTCGGCCATTGTGTTCTTGAACAACGATTTTAAGGTGTGGCTGTACAAGCGGTACGTGGCCACTCCCATGGTGCCCTACGCCATCTTAAGGCTTCAGTGCTTGTGCGGCGTTATGGTGACTGCCTCGCACAATCCCAAAGAGGACAATGGCTACAAGGTGTACTGGGATAATGGGGCCCAAATCATCCCGCCACACGACGAGGGCATCCAGGAGGCAATCATGAATAACCTTGAACCTAAGGCCTCTTCGTGGGACGACTCGGCCATGTGTTCGAACCCTATGCTAGAGGATCCCTACGACATTGTAGTTCCGCCCTACTTTGATGCTCTGAAGAAGAGCCTTCCCTGCACCTTGCTGGAGGTCAACGGAAAATGTTCGATTTCGTTCACCTACACGGCCATGCACGGCGTGGGCTATGAATTTGTGAAGCAGGCTTTTGCTCGGATCAACCTGAAGCCATTCGTTTCGGTGTGCGAGCAACAGGAGCCAGACCCGGAGTTCCCTACCACACCTATGCCAAATCCGGAGGAGGGCAAGACCTCGCTGGACTTATCCATTCGGACTGCAAAGGCCAACGGTTCCCAAATCATTTTGGCTAACGACCCCGACGCCGATCGCCTGGCAGTGGCTGAAAAACGCGAGGATGGCTGCTACAAGCTGTTCACCGGCAACGAGGTGGGCGCGCTTCTGGGATGGTGGGCTTTGGAGCTGCATAAGATGCGTGAGCCCGGCTGCGACGTAAGCAATTGCGTAATGATAGCCAGCACGGTCAGCTCAAAGATACTCAGGGCCATGGCCGAACAGGAGGGTTTCCAGTTCTTTGAAACGCTGACCGGGTTCAAGTGGATGGGCAACAAGGCCATCGAACAGCAACAGGCCGGCAAGCAAGTACTTTTTGCGTTCGAGGAGGCCATCGGCTTTATGGTGGGCACGGCTGTGCTGGACAAGGATGGAATCAGTGCCGCTGCCCATGTGGCCACCATGGCATGCTACCTGCGTTGCAAGCTGTGCATGACGTTGCAGGAGAAACTGCGCGACATCTACGAGACTTATGGGTTCCATACGACCATCTGCTCGTATGTCATCTGCCGCTGTCCACCAGTGATCGCGCAGATCTTCGAGCGGCTTCGCACATGGGACGAGGGCAAGGCGGACACCTACCCTACCAGCATCCTCAACGGCGAGTACGAGATTGAAAACGTGCGCGACCTTACCACCGGCTTCGACAGCAGCACCGGCGACAAGAAGCCGACACTGCCGACCAGCTCCAGCTCCCAGATGATCACGTTCACCTTCAAGAACGGCCTGGTGGTCACCTTGCGAACCAGCGGAACGGAGCCCAAGATGAAGTACTACGCCGAGATGTGCGGCAAGCCGGAGGAGAAGAACTGGGCGAAACTGACTAACACAATGAATACTATGGTGGAGGCCATTGTAGAGGAGTTTTACGAGCCACAAAAGAACGGGCTGCAGCGGAAGAAGGACTAATCTGGAAGACCTTTTCGGGGAATCGAATTTTACCATACATTTTTAAACTTGACCTGGCTAAAATTTTTAGTTTCGAAACCAACAGCACTGATGCACAAGCCAAAAAGCAACAGCTGCGCAAGCTGCTCACTATTAGTATTTAAGGAATATTTAATATGCTAGTATTCCATTTACACTAGGCGATTATTTATGAAAACTTGTAAATAAAAGCGAACGCTACCAACCACCAGGCACAACCAAAATCGTACGAGCTAAACAATTCTGATATTTGAGCTAAACAAGCCTTATGCCCCCCGACCGCTTGTTTTCCTAATCTTAATAATGTGAATATGAGACCACCCGGTCTCAATACACTTGAACTAATGGCACTTATAAGTGTTATCATGACCACTTGACAGAAAGTATCAAGAACTGATTGCTCTCTGATTAAATCGAATCCTCATTTATTACACTTATGTGCAATATGGTAAACGAGCAGGCTCATTTATCAATATAGGAACTTGTTGGTAATCTTTTCCTGATAAGGTAGATTTCAGGCATTATTGAACAGCCTTGAGGAATAAATTACCGGGGTATCTCTGTAATTGGCGTCATTGCACAGCAAAAAAAACAATTTGGTTAAAGCTGTTAAAAAAGTGGGTTCGATTTATTTTACGGTATGTGGTTTCATAAGCTAATTACAGTTACAACAGTTACAGTTTGAAAGTTAATATGTAAATGGTATGTATGCTTAGGGTTTCCAATTGCTTTAAGTAATTGCTAGAGAATTACAATATAATCGATTGCCTCAAGATAGGGCATTTAGCTAGAAAACGAAAATAAAATAAAACCACAAGCAAAAGTTCTCTAAGTAGTTTTGTAAATAGGTATGTATATACTATTATGCATTGATTGGGTTCACTGGAAAGTTCGAATACGAATTCGGGTCCTTATCACTATAATTTTGTCTCTAAAAATACACGAGTTTCTGTATATAAGTAAGTGGTTGCTATGCACAGGTTGGTATATACACCTGTTAGTGGCTGTTGGCAATTTGTGTGTATAAAATGCATATTCAGGCAGTCTTCGCTTAAATTATGTATTTGTCATCAGTTGCATTCGAGTTATAGTTTTGTTATTTCTAACCTTTGTGGCAGAAGAGTTAGGACCTTTCGGTTTCGGCATAAAATGTGCGTCTGTAAAATTCTAACGAGTCGCGCTAAGAGTGGCTTCTCCACTTTTGGCGCAAGTCCAGGTCTTAGCTTAAAATTCATGTGTGTTCGCCCTGGTTCACTTAATATTTTCTTAAGGCTAGCGATTGGGCTTAAACGGCACAAATATCGGGTATATAATAAGATATTCCGAGACGTTAAAGCCCAACTTTATTCTAAACATATTATCTAAAATAAAAATGTGTATAAAAGAGCTGCGTTGAAGAGTGGATATCTTTAGATTGCGGTTCTGCAAGCCGATCATTCTTATAATTAATACTTTGGGAACTTGTAAGTCATGTTTTGCTTAATAAAGGGTCGCGTGATATGTTCGAGTCGGATTAGGATGATACACTGGGCTTTTGAGCATTGATTGTTGATATTTGGGTTTAAGGTTTAAGTTCATAGCTGATAAGTAAGTACACAATCTCCTCACCTTATCTGTAGGTGAGGTGTAGGGCCCGATTCATTTTAGTTTTCACTGATTTCGTTTGGCTTTAACTTACCGAATATTTGTTCGATTTAAAAGTATTTTCAGAACACAGTCATTAATAATTAATTTTGATTGCTTAATTTGATTGATTATGATTATGTTTCTGGCGTATAAAGATGAATTACTTTTCCAAAGGCCTTTTAAATCAAAGCACCCAAGTGAATACAAAATCAGGCTGAAAAATATTGGGTAAAGGGATTGGGAAGAAAAAGTTTTAGATTATTAGACAAACACGTGCAGATAGGAAGATTGTGTCTGATTGCTGTGTGTGGGCGTGATAATCGGCGGGGCGTTATGGTGCTGTCATACGGACGTCTCTGAGTTGAGCTTCAGTACAAATTTGTTGCTTTTGGGATCCACCACCTCTTCGGCCAGGTTAAAGTGCGGCAACTTGTGTACAGTAACCATGAGGGATACATCGTTCTGAATCAACTGAAATGTGCACTCGTTACCAATCGGCCGAGAAACGATATCGTCGCAGATCAGCGACCATGACTGAACCCAACGACGTTCTTTCTCGCTCTGCATCACCGGCGACTCGGTCAAATACGGTTCCAAAAAGGCGCGCGGCGAAAGATCGTGCTTTAGGCAGTGTGCCAGGTGTTTCAGGATGCTTTCGAAAGTATGTCTCGGTTGCTGACGCGTAACCCGCAAGTATTTCTGAAGCGCTCTGGCCATTGAGGGAAACACCGCCGAGGCAGCCTCCTGGGGGTCGAGCGGAAGTGCTGGAGCGGGTTCGTTATGAATGCGCTTTATATGGGTGAAGGCCTCCTCCGCGGCGGTAATTAAACGGGCACGTCGCTTTTTGACGCGTCTCTCATACTCATGTTCCTCGTAGAAACGCTCGTTGTGCGAGGAGTCACGCCTTCGGGCATTGGCCGCCAGAACTGCCCGACTCTGGCTTTGCTGCTGCGAATTGCTTACCCCGTCCACTTCGTAGTACTTAAAGCTGTTCGATATTTTGTTGCGCTGCGACTTGGAGACCGAAATGGGGATGCGTTCCAGGTACGGGTTGAAGATGGGAAAATCCACGTAGTAGTGCTGCAGAACCCAGACGGCCGCTCGCTGTATGCTGAGTTGGCCCAGCATGTAAGAGCGTGAAACGCCGTCGGGGGATCGGATAATCTTTACATAGTAGCAAGGCTGCTGGTGGCGCAACTCAAGCAGCACCACGGCCACGTAATGGATGAACAGCAGCGTGTCCACAAAGTTGGTGGCATAGCCCACCAAAGACTTGTAATCCACAGCATCGCCTCCCGTCTCCACCACGATTTTAGCCCCGTTCGTGACTTGCACAATGTAGAAGAGCCAATAGGCGAACGTACAGATGGTGACCAGCAGAAGGACCAAAGCCCGGTAGAGGAAAATCCTTGGCATGCTAGCCGAGGTACGTCGCATAAACACAGCCCACAGGCCAATTGCTAGGAGCAGCAGTCGGGCGGCCAGCGATACCAGTTGTCCCTTGCACTGCTCACTGCAGGCCAAAAGCTGCGTGCGCACCGTCTGCGTCAACTCCGGATGATCGAAGGCTGAGGGAAAGAAGCCCACATAGGGCATAACGACCATAGCCACTGGCGAGAAGAAGGCGCCGCATCCCAGCAAAAAGTAGAAGCTGGATTCCATGTAACGACGGCAGGCGAAGCCGAAGCCCTTATCGTTTTCGCGGTGCCACATGTTGTTGATGTCCTCCATGGATATGCTCTGCTCAGAAGTGTTGCCTGTGACGGCGGTGGTGTTCTCGCCCCAGTTCTCGTCCTGCGGCAGGATCTGGACCTCGATTACCTCCTGACCATCGTGACTACCGTCACCTTTTAAGAGAATCAGGTTAAGTATATGTTTTTAACTAGTATTGTCTTAGATGTCACCTGTCATATTAACGCTGGTTTGGTAGGGCGCCATATCGCCCCGCTGGAACCCCTTGCCCGATTTGGAGGAGTGGGTGCTGCGATGCGAGTGCCTTGAACGATCTCGCTCTCTGTGATAGCCGTTATTTACACTGCCTCCCCCGCCTCCACCACCAATTCCTCCACCTCCCCCTCCGCCGTTGTTGTTGTGATTCCGCGAGCGTCTGGAGCGTCCACTGTGTTCCGACTTGACGGATTCGTTTTCCATTGCAATTGGGCTAGCGTGCGTGGGCTGTACCCGATCCCGAGTCCCCTTCTTGCCAAGCTCAGTTCCACAAAATTACTTTGCAACCCGACCGTGCAGCTATTTTAGTGTCTAACTGTAATTACGGCCGCGGCAGCAGGTTTTTCATACATATGCAGGTATGCAGGGCGCAGTGCATGCCCCTCACAGCGATCTATGAGTATATCTATGGCTATATACACAGCGCGTTGTCACTTTGGGCACCACGCATTGTTATTTTGCCAGCATTTTTACTATTTCATAAACATTTTACGATTTTTATTCACTCTTTTTTTTCATGGACTTGGCTTCATCCCCGACACGGTGTGACCGTCTCAAAAAAGTCCGTTGAGCGGTAACACTAGTCCATGGTGTTTCGCAACACTTTCATCTGTGAGTGCAAATTAAAACTTTTAAATGGCGGGCTTTATAAACTTTTATTTTGTATTATAATTAATGAGCAGTAATGGCGGAAAGAAGTTGCCTGGCGCGCTGGTCTGTCGGGTTTAGTCGAATGGCGCGCTGCACCAACTTAAGTGAGTAATTCTTGTCCACTTGACTCACAGCCTGACTGGCGTAGATTGTTGTTTGCGCCTCCTCACTGGCCAAAATGCTGAATATAAACAAAAGTTAGTTCATACAATTTTGCTTAATTCACGGCTAACAATCATCTTACCCGTTTTGCTGGTTGGTATGACCAAGTTTAAGGCCTATTAAAGCCATATTAGAGGTCACTAACTGGTAGGATCGATCTTCGAGGAAATTGTCAAGAAGAAACTTGAGAAGTACTTTGCGAAGAGCTGCTGAATGGGGAAACATCCTGACACGAGACTGTAGATAACACAACGCCTTGCGTACACCCTCCTATAACGATAACTTGATAAGTTTCTAACATCCATCATAATCGACCTCTGCAACTGACATTTATGAGGATATAGTGCGCCGTAAGATAGGAGACATCAGAGCAGTATTCCTCCTTGTAAACGTACGCATTCAGCTCTATCATTATTGTCCGGCTCAACTCGTTATCCTTATGAATAATGCCCAAGGCGAATGCCGAGTACAAGGCCTGGATGGGCACATCTTTCAACAGGACACTTATAAAATTAGATCATTAGAAAAGTAGAAACAAAAACATTGGTAATATGATACCAACCACTGATAGAGTAAGGTTTTGGTGTCCGCCTCCCCTTGGAGGGCGTACAGCATAGAGGCCATCGCTACCAAGATAGTAGCCGCCTTGTCATCCTGCCCCACCACATTGCTAAGCACTGATTTGTAAATCGAATAGGATTCCTGAAGCTGACCAGATCGGTAATATGCCAGGGCTAGACCGATAATTGGCTTAAATGTGGCATGAGCCACAGTGTTCAGCGCGTTCACCGCCAGCTTAGGTTGGCCAAGCTTCAGGTAAAGGTATCCCAGATTTGTGTACAGTTTGTCTCGATCGGCACCAGGCTCGCACAGCTTACAGGCGCGCGTAAAGGCTTCAATTGCTTGACTGTACAGCTTTTGTCGGGCATAAAGAAATCCTTGAAAAGACAGCGATGCAATGCTGGCATCAGCCTCCTCATTTTGTACATACCTAAAAATATAAACATTTGTAAAGGCGGATTTATAAGTAATTTTTAAAGAAGAATTACCAATTAATGGCATCCAGTGCAAAGACATCCGCGTACATGTGATCAATTGCGTGACTGATGTGCGGTTTGCTTCGCGACTCCGGATCCGATAGCATCTTGCACACCCAGTGGGCGAAACCCAGCGCCGCCTCCGGATGATAATCAAATTGCTGGCAGTGACGAAACAGGTCAAAAGCCTCCTCTCGGTCACCAATCGCCTCGGCCACCAAGGCTTGTCCAATCCAAGCGTTCGGATAAACGGGACTCGCTTGTTGGGCTCGTGTGAAGGCCTCGTTGGCCAACCGATTTTCGTTCAACTTGAGGTATAGAACCCCAAGATTGGTCCATGCTGTGAAACATTTCCTTTCCAGCTCCACCGCCTGGATCAAACAGTGCTGAGCCAGTGGCAGGTTCTCATATTCTGGGTGCATGTTTATCACCCCAAGTAGATTCCAATTCTGCCATCGATTGCCACGTTCCTTTATGGCCATTTTGCAAACTTTAGCTGCTGTTTCTAAATGGCTCTTGGCCTCCTCGGGAATAAAGATGGCACTGTAATAGCTGGCTAACGACAATTCATACCACAGGTAAGTGTTCTGCTTCAACTTTAAAGCGCACAAATAAAAGCGCTGGGCCAGCTGCAGGAGATCCTTGCGGGACAAATACGCAATGGACTCATCGCGCTTGGCCAGACTGCCGGCTACATCCAAGTTGGCTAATGAGGGCGGTAGCTGTGCAGTTTGAACGAACACGTTCGCCGAAAGTCGCCACAACCAAACCATTCCTTGAGCCTGTGTCTGAAGAAAGGCACTGTAAAAATAGGAGAATTGGTTTCAAATTAAAGTGCCTGAAGATAGGGTTTGAAGATTAACCTTTGAAGGTGTCCCAAAGCTAATTGAAAATGCTCCTTAGACCTGCCGTATAGATTCTGACTCTTAAGATTGTTAGCCAGGCCAATATGCGCTTCAGCGGCTCCTCGAAGTCCTGGCAGGTAACTGGGATTCAGCTTCAGCAGCGTATTGTAATCTTCAATAGCCTCGGAATACATACGAATTGTCTATTAAATATGTTGGGAATTATTTCTGAATTTCTTATTTTGCAATCTCGCACCGTTTTGATGGAAGCTATTTGTAGCAAAGCATAGCTGTTATTCGCGGAAAACTCGAGAATCTTCTGAAAGACTCGAATCGCCGAATTGTAAGATCCACGGCCTGCGTAAGCATCGCCCAAAGACTCCCAGTAGACCATGCACCGTGCTTCGTGCTTGATGGCAATGCGAAAGCATTGGATCGCCTGCGACAAAAGTGTTGAAGAAGAAATTTTAGGGATAACAATTCACTCACATTGTCCCACTTTTTTCCTTGCAGGAAATGTAGTCCCAGCTTGTACTGCAGTCGAATTGACTCGTCACTGCCCATGTGCCGCAAAGTGTTCAAAAGCAACGTCTCGTTAAGTTCCTCCTCCCCCTGTTCCTGGTAAATAAAACTGAGGGCATCCACTGCTTCCTCAGCCAGGGCGTTGAGGCTGATGCACTTTTCATAGCACTTGCGGGCTCGTGCCAAGTCTCCAGTGGCCAGCGGGTAAAGTCTGCCCAAATAGTCGAAGCACTCGGCAAAGTGCGGTCTCAGGCGAGTGGCCTTCAGCATGCTGTTCAGAGAGTCTGAATAGTTTCTAAGCTCCATGTGCAGCTTTCCACAAAGAAGCTGAGCCTCAAAGGACTCTTGATTACCAATTTCCTTAAGAGCTTCAACTGGGCATCTGGTGGAAGTAGGAAAAAAGGAAAAGTATTTCATATTCCAAATATGTATTGTGACATTACTTACAAAATAAATTCTGCTCTGGAGATTTCATCTAAGGGCAAATCTTTCAACAACTGCAGCTCACCCAGTTTATAGTAGCAGCTATAAAATAATAGTTCTGTTATGCATACAATTTTTCAGATTGTCTTGAAAGCTTACCGAGCCAAGGTCCTGACATTGCTGCCCGATTTCTCAACCGTTTGCAGAATCCTGACAGCCTCTTTCAGTTTGGTTTCGTCCTTTTCGTGGGACAAACATAGAGCACAAGCTTTGTTTTCCTGGCCAAGCTGCTGCCAAAGCTGAAGTGCCAGCCGATATGCCCCCAATTCCATGTGGATTCGGGCCAGCAGCTCTAGCGTCACCTTATATGCGGGATGACTTTGCTGCGCCTGGAGCACCAACTGCCTGGATGCGACAAACTGACCTTCAGCGTAAAGATCTATGGCCTTGATCAACAGACCCAAGTTGGAGTTTGGGTTCAGATTTAACAGCTGCTCTGCGTACACCTGAATGGGATGCCCCAGCTCTTGCCGCCAAAGATCACTATTGGGTTGATCGTGGTTTTCGCAGTATGTCTTACATATCCACTCGTAGCCGTAAACATCTTTGGGGTGGGATACGGTCATGTGGCAAGCGTGTCTCACACAAGCCAAAAAGTCCTTTTCCTTGTAGAGCCATTTCAGATATCGCTTGTAGACGATATTCACAGCACTCGAATCCGAGGTATTCAGCAGAGCTTCCATAGTGGTTTTGTACTAAGTGAAAATGATAGTAGTTAATTGGTACTAAATGATATTATCTAACTTATAAACGGACGTACAAGTTGAGTATCTTCTGGCGTTATTTCAAAATCGTTAGCAAACCAAATGCGCCCCAGGTATTCTTGAATTTTTGTATAGTTTTGGTCCTGTGGATTCTTAGCTCTTCTTTTAAATACAGCAAAACAATCGGGTGCCACATTCGTGTCCGACGCCAAGTTGTAAACCTTTTCCCAATATTTCAAAGATTGTTCTCTATATTTTGAGAATTATTAAAGGGTTATTAAAATAGTAAATAACGAAATTAAGTACCAAGTACCTAATTATATCTAACTTGCTTTGATTTCAATAATTTAAAACCTACTTGGGTCTCTTTCATGATTCTACTTTTTTTGTTTTACACTATTATATTTTTTTATACAGGATACAATAAATTAATAGTAAAGTTTTGAAAAGAGATATGATTCTCTATGTAGCAGCTTTTTCCGACTTAATTGCTTCTTAAGTGCAGAAACATATTTTGATTTACTTGATATAATTAAATTACTCTTCATATTTAAAATATATATAAGATTAAAGTTTTAGTAAATGGATAAAACAGAATTCACCAAGACTGGTGGAATATTTCTTACGGTTGCAAATCAGCCAGCTGATCATATATCTCCGGCAGTTCGTTGCTGGGCGCGCAATTGGCTAACCCTAGGAGCGCGGCGGTGGCTGGTCCCTCAGTGAATTGGATGCACTGCCTCAAGTTCTTGGCCGCCTCCGCTTTATCTAGATTTTGGTAGGCGGCCCCGAGCAACAAGTATCCCATTGCATTTTTTGGATCCGATTTTAGCAAGCGCTGGAATAAATGTCAGTAGGATATCGCGCGAAGAAACTCTGCAACGGTGACTCACTTGGCACTTGGGTATAGCCTCGGCATGCTTTCCCAGCTTGATGGTCTCCCTGATGTCCTTGATCAATGCTTTTAATTCTTTTTCGCCACTCATTGTGAATGTAAATGTTTATATTATTACTACGCCGACGTGTGCTGTTTAACATCAATGGAAAACTAGTGTTGGTCAGTGGAAGAAAGAGCGCAACAGCTGGGTTTTTATAAAATCGTGTTGTATGTACATGTGAGTTAATATGCCTATTAACTGCAAGTCCCAATGCGGCAATCGTGCTGCTTTAAAGGTAAGTACTCCAACGGTAAGACTGTAGTCTATTTGCTAATTTTGTATTCTCCTAGCGCCCAAAAACAGGCGACGCCCTGTGCAAGGAATGCTTCTTTGCCGCCTTCGAAGCGGAGATCCATCACACGATCTCTTCCAGCAATTTGTTCAGGCGCGGCGAGAAGGTGGCCGTGGCTGCCAGTGGTGGCAAGGATTCCACTGTACTGGCGCATGTGTACGTAGTTTTCTCCCCATTATCCTACCTCCCTAATTCTTGCCATGCCTTAAAGCTTGAAGCTGCTAAATGAACGCCATGATTATGGCCTGCAACTGGTGCTCCTTTCCATCGACGAGGGCATTACTGGCTATCGAGACGACAGTTTGGAGACGGTTAAACAGAACCGCGACGACTATCAGATGCCCTTGAAGATTCTGTCCTACGAGGAGCTCTACGGCTGGACTATGGACCGCATTGTCGGGCAAATCGGTCGTTCCAACAACTGCACCTTTTGCGGGGTCTTCCGTCGACAGGCCTTGGATCGTGGGGCCAAATTGCTAGGCGTGGACAGCATAGCCACTGGCCACAATGCCGATGATATTGCGGAGACGGTACTAATGAACGTGCTCCGAGGAGACACGGCTCGTCTGCGTCGCTGCACAGATATCCGGACTGGCGGGGGTGAAGACTCTATCCCACGTGTGAAACCCCTAAAATACAGCTACGAGAAGGAGATCGTCATGTATGCGCACTACAAAAAGCTTGTTTACTTCTCCACGGAGTGCGTATTCGCTCCCAATGCATATCGCGGACATGCCCGAGCCTTTCTTAAGGATCTGGAGAAGGTGCGGCCCTCAGTTATCATGGACATCATCTACTCTGGCGAGCAGCTACGTTTCAAGGACACCGTAAAGAAACCTGTGCGCGGCATATGCACTCGCTGCGGCTTCGTCTCCTCACAACAACCCTGCAAGGCATGCGTCCTCCTTGAAGGATTGAATAGAGGATTGCCTAAGCTGGGGATAGGCAAAAAGTCCAAGGGCGAACGAATGATTGCCAAGCAAGACCAGGAACTGGCCCTTCGGGAGCGTGCAAATTTAGTAAAAAACGATTTTTAACATTTCAAAAGGCTCTTTTTATTCATTGTAAGGCTTTACAAATATTTTATCGGGTTTCCGCAGAGGCTGCATGCTGCAACGATAAGAAGAGTCAACATTAGTTATAGCTCGTAGGTGGCACTGACAAATTTTAAAAAAATTGTAAAATTCAGTGCCAATTTTTTAACCAGGGCCCATAACCAGCCAAGCAAGACTCCCTATCTCCAAAAAAATATTGGAAAAGCTTGTCACCGCCCGACCTTTATATGTTGTCTGTGAATGGTTTAAGTGATCATCATCTAAGTCCTAATATTATTTAAAGTGGCTCTCAACTAACCTTAGATGGCTTTTCAAAAATTTGGTGCTTCCATTGGAGTAAGCGTCTCTGTTTGGTATCCTGTAAAATAAATCAGAAAATAGTTTAGTAAAAAAAAAAATCGCATGCAAATAATGCACATGTTTGAAAACTATCAGTAATTAAAAAAAAAATTTTGAATCACAATGGTTCATTAGAGATGTCAGAAAATGTAAAAGCATCATATAATTTTATTTGGGTTTTATAAGATAATTTAAGTTTACCTTAAAGCATCAATTTTTTGTTAGTCATCACGTCAGAAGTCCAGTGCCTTTCTGCAATGCAAAATAAAAGAAAAGGAATAGATTTATAATAGAAGCTGGAATCTTTTTTTTGTTTAAAAAAATGTTATTTTAATATGAAATCAGTGATAACTTGTATAGCATCAATACATTTTCAGTCGAAAGATGGTGTAAGTTTCATTCATCACAATATTAAATGTTATTACAGACTATTTTATAACTCGAAGACTCTATGAGCCAAACTAGTTTTCTTATTGTAAGATAAAGTTAAAGCCAATAATAAATACATATACATATATCAAATTAATTACGACAGGAAATGGTGACTCGATTTTTTAAAGCTTGTCTGAGATTATGAAGAATACCCATTTAGATTTTGGATTGTTCAATATAAATTACCTTTTCCAAAATTTTTTTGACATTAATATGTTTTTTATCACACGCCTAAGTCCATGATATAAACCTTCTGCAAGTAAACAATAAAAATAATATTAATAAAAAAACCTCATTTTACAAATATTAAAATTTTTAATGAGTGCGAAAGTCAGTGAAAACTTGTATAGCATCAATACGTTTTTCAGTCGAAAGATGGTGTAAGTTTCATTCATCAGGAATTTATGTGAATGATAAAAAATCAAAATGAAAGTTCATAATTACCATTTCAGCATGTGAACATAGGACCCCAAGATGACGGCTGTCAAAATCAACCTGAAGATTACTGCAGAAATCTGTAAAAAAAAAAGGAAACTCTTTCAATAACTGTGGCTTTATGACAATAAATAAAATTTTTATCAAAAACTTCAGAGTAAGTTATAACTGATTTGAATCACAACGGTTCATAAGAGATGTCAGAAAATAAAATAATAAATCATCATAGACATTCGATTATTTAAGAGTTACATATTTTACATATGTATAATTACCTGCCATTTTGATTTTTTCACCAGAAAACACGTGTTGATGGAAAAATGTATTGTTTCTGAAAAAAAAAAACAAATCACACAATTAGTAACATGGAACATACACTACAGATGAAGAGTCAAAATATAGGTAATTTAGGGGGAGGGAAGTGTCGGCTTTACGAAAAAAATATGCACCGCAAATTCAGGTAACACAAATTTGGGTTATGCTTGGGCAAAGCAGTTTTATTCTACGAACAAGTAAAAAGCACTAGCTAAAGTTGAAATTCTTTACACCAGCGACTCATGTTCGCAATAAAGTGTTTGAGGAAAACTGTTAAAGGTACATTTTAACTTACCAATTTAATTAGCCAGCGTTAAAACGCAGCTATCCAAAGTTGGTTGATCACCTGGAATCAAACAAAATCCGGGTTATAATTCAGTTTCTTTTTGTTTTAATGTTTGTTGAGACTGCAAAGAATCCTTGACCACGTGACTGCATTTTGACAAGCAATCGGAAAAGTGCATTTCCCTGCATATCCCAAAATAATCTTGCAACATTGAGTTCTGCAAACAAGTCAGTCAAACTCTATCCGCAGTTATATTCGCTGCAATCTCAGGTTATTTAATTTATCTTTATTACTCACATTTTAATAGGTGTTGCTCCTTCCACGTTCTTTGAAAAAGTGAAGTGGTTGAAGTTGGCTGCGATAGAACTGCAAAATCATCGGGCCTGAGAACGATAGTATCAATGCTTCGATATTTTCCAGCTTAAATTTTTCAATTTTGAAATCGATGTTTGGCCGGTGGGCCAAATTGGTGCTTAATAAATATTTGGCGCCACACACAATTACTTTAAAAATGATTATCGATATATAAATATTTGATATGTGTTAACAACCCTAGCTTCTAACTGTTTTATTTGCAGACCGACGCGGCGCTAAACGTTTCGTGCTAATATTTTTCTACGTATTTTTCAGATTCAATCTGGGGTTAAAAAAACCAAAATGACGAGCTTCAATGCGTCCTCGGCCTTGTTACCTTTGGGTGGGTATAAATTGTTACCCATACCCCTTTTTCTTTTTAAAAACTTTTATTTTTGATTCTACAGATGAGTACTACGAACAGTGCGTAGTGCCGAAGCCTGTTGTACCTGCCCGGTACTCAAGCAACCCGATCCCGTATAAGGCCAAACGTCAGGCAGGGCGCTTGCGATCCTACAAGGAGCAGGGTCAAGAGGATGACGATAATAATGATGATGAGGATGAGGACTTTAAGGGTATTGAGGAGAAGAGGTTTTGCCAGGAAAAATCAACAGAGGGGTTCGACACCACTTTAAGCTTTGAGCTGAACGACTTCAACCAGATATACGGGGAGGAGGAGGCTTCTTCAAACTCGGAACTTCCTCGCACTTCTGCCCAGTGGCGAATCTACGGCAACAACATGAACCGACCCCCGGGAGCAGCTCCATTTGTGCCCAATACTTCGACACGTGGAAATGTCAAGTCGCGTCTTGACCTCAGAAGCGGCTCTCGTTTCCAAAATAACAAGAATCAAAGGCAATATAACAACAATTTTGAAAACCGAAACAATTTCTATCGCGGCCAACAGCACGCACAGAATGCCATCGAGCAGCGCATGCGCACCTCTTATAATGCGTTTGGCAACCAAGCAAGCCAAGGGAACCAATCAACAGATGTACTAATGAACCTAAACAATAATTTCCAGTATTCTCACCAGGATCCCAGTGACCTGCTTAGCAACACCAACGTGATGGGAATCGATCAACAGGACTTTGCTAGCTCCAGTACTATCACCTCTTTAATCAATTCAGTGTCCAATATTCCGGAGAATCGGGTTAAGAACCGTTTTCCATGTGAAACCGTATTACATACGCCGACCTCCTCAGTGAATGATACATTCGCTAGAAGAGCCCATGATTTCCCTTTTCCGGTGCCGGACCTGGATGACGCGAATACTCCCGAGAGTGTAAAAGTCAGTAAAATTGCAAAAAATGTGCTGCTGTTGCTAATGGGTGTCGCGCAGAAGAATGGCCAAGGACCATCCTCCGACTTAAGTCAGGTAGTGGCCAAATTCCTAATCATTTAATATTAGCAAGGGGAAACAAGCATCACTGAGCTGTTAATAACTTCTTTTTGGGTAAAGCATGTGTGTATTTAAATTGCTATTCAAAACAATACAGTTTTAAATTGACAAATGGGAGCTTAAGAAAAATTGTAGAATTATCTTATTATTAAAATTAAAACTTTCTTAGCTAAATAGTATATAAAGGATTGTACAAAAGATGATATCAAACTTATTCAATTCATACTTTTAGTTAATAACCCATTTTATTAATGTTTGATTTCTTGTTCTAGAACATCGACTGGATGAACGGATTAGCAGAGAAGCCACAAAGTGACGCCATGCCAGGGCTGGACGGACACTTTTAGCAGTTTAACTAGACAACAGACAGCAAGTTAGACAGAGAAGGCCAAGCTATACTAAGTTAAATTTAAGACCGAACACTTGATGTTAAGTTTAAATTAATAGGATTGGCGGGCCTTTTCCGTGTGAATTGTGACCAGAGCAGATTAAGAAGAAGACTAAGTGAGGGCCTGTGAATGGCAGGGAGTGAATAGTCGCCGACGAGATTTTTTTTATATACAATACATATTTTGGCTGATAAGAACAGGCTGGGCCGCTTATCAGCAATGCACAACAAGAAGTACACACGGACGGGCGAGATGTGAGAAGCGAAAGCAGACGAAAATAGAAACAAACGGCGATAAATTTACAGCGAAGGCGAATTTTCATACATAAGCGATGTGCCGAGGAGGAATAGAGTAATAATCAATCAGTTAATCTACCAAACAGCCGGAAAGTGGACGTGAAAATGATCAGCGGGAACGGATAGCGGGATAGTGAGCAGTGATCGTTACTCCGGATAGTGTTAAACGTTAACCTCAACATATGTATTGTGTTTTGCCGAATGAAAAACGGCACCTTAGTTATATTGTGTTTTGGTCAAATGGTGCCAGACTCAGCGCATGGAACAAAGAGCGCTAATTTTTTTCATTTAAAATTTGGTAGAGCGTAGTTTTTGCAGCATTACTGAAGTCGGCTACACCATATTTTCCCAAGAATTTGAAATAAAGTTAAATCAGTACCCTAAATGTTCGTTGTTCGTTCTCTTCAAAGCCCAGTATGTTGAAATCGAAGCAGTTGCTCCAGCAGTTTTCCAAAGGTAAGGATCACCCCGAATTTGGAGCTAAAATGGCGCAATTTTACTTATAATATTACACACATCAGCTACTTATCTGTATTTTCGTTGCTGCTTTTATTATCAGCGTTCGGCATGTGCTGAAATAAACATAATACTATATTATCGACTCGTAGGCTCGCCTTGACAGGCATTAATCGCATATAACTTTGACCAAGCCGAAGATTATCAGTAAACACCTTATTGCTAAATTCATTGCCATGGCAAACTTTCCCTTCGTAAACTGATGGGCGGATTATTTAAATTAAATTATTTGGATTAACTCTAAATATTCGTACTCAAAAACCTTCCTGTTTTATCAAATAATAAAAATGTATATTATTAACACGATTCTTTACAATTCCTATATTGGTAGTTATAATCCGGAACTAAAGATACATATCACAAATATAAAATGAATGAACTTTTTTATGATAAGCAATGGTACTCCATATACCCTTCAAATATAAAATGAATAAATATTTTTATGATAATCTTGATCAACATACATACTTACGTACATACACAAATTAAACATTTTTTGTTACAAATCTAAAGTAGAACATAAATACACTTTCGCAACCCACTGTCCGTTGGGCTAATCAGCTGTTCTGAGACATTCCAATCGAAATCGAATTTTTGGATTTTGGGTTGTGGGCTTGCGATGCTCGCGGGTGCCAAGAAGATTGTACCAGAGGGGTTGAGTAAATTATCAATTACCGACCAATGATAAAAAAGGAATTACAAGTCACCATTTTGCTGCTGCCCACTTTTCAGAGTACGCCAAGTTCACGCCGGCTAACTTTAAGCTGAAACGGGCCCTGGTGGTCACGAAGCTATCGCGTTATGAGTTTGAGCAACTACGTCACCCGGAACTCTCACCGGATCAGCTGCAGCAGAAGCTCCGGGACCGGGGAACCGACGTGGAGATGGTTCTTTATTTGCATAAGGTACACAAGGATTTCGAACGCAAGGTCGTGCAGAGCTTCCAGGATGTGGGTTGCGAGGTGAAGCTGTCCAGCAGGTGCGTACATCCAGTCCCACTTTGTCCTTCTAATAAGTGATTGGAATGTTTTTTTTTGGGTAAAGTGCCAGATACATGTCAACCCATGTTAAAATATATATATTTTTTTCATATATGTACATCAGGGGTGCTCAAGATCGTCTTATGGCAGTGCGTTTACTAACACATCCACAAGAAAACGTGTACATATGTAGCGGCGCGTTTGTGTTGGGGCGCAGCTGTGCACTGAGAGAAAAAAAAAGTTTTAAATATTTATTTTTGGCTTTTTTTTATTTATTACGCATTGTATTTCGCATTTAAAGTTTATGTTAAAAAAACTGCTCTCTAATTCATCACTCATTTTGATCCGCCAAAAAATTTAACATAACACATACGATGGTCCACCACGAAATAAATCAAAAGCCAACGCAGACAGAAAAATAAGTTTCAGTGCATGTGCTCGAGGAAAAAACAAAAACAAAATACATTGCGATCAGATAAGCGTGACGACGGATAGAGATGTAATGAAGAAACAAGCAAAATTGTTTTTGTTTCGCATGCAAATCGAAGCCCATATGCACGGTGCTTATGGGCGCACTATCCATAAGCACAGAGCTCTACAAAAACAAAAGTGCACTCGGTGCATAGGCGTTGAGCACCCCTGATGTACATAATGCATACTTTTGTTTTTGTTTAGAGATTGGTCCTTAACACAATTTTGAATTAATTTATGGGTAATTTTTAATTGCCGATAAACAAAGTTATTATAGATTATTGAATATCTACCTACATTTTTTAACTTTTCTTTTTGGTAGACTGTAAAATGTTCAGTCCCCGGTATAATTGATATGTACCTAAAGTATATTTGCCTCCAATCACTGCTCCCAATGTTGTCCTATGTGTCTCGTCACCTCGTCATACTCTACTTTATATGTATCTTTGATTCGTGACTACTATCCACTACAATTGATCTCCATCCACACACTTCGTGTCTCCCATGCGGCCCCTCGACTTGTGTGTTGACTTTACTAAACGAGCAGACTTGAATTTAGAAGCTCGTTGAGCAAGGATGTCATGAGCTGGGCAGACGTCATCGTGCCGGTGGGTGGCGATGGAACCTTCCTTCTCTCCGCTGGCCGCGCCAGTCCACTTTTCGCACTCAGCCAGCAGAAGACTCCCATCGTGGGCTTTAACTCGGATCCGCTCCGCTCGGAGGGTCGACTTATGCTGCCCAAGCATTACTCGGACAATCCAGCCGATGCCGTTGGTCGCATCAAAAGCGTAAGTCTTGGAATAAGCAGGATCGTTTGCCTATCTTAAAAAGTATTCTTATTCTTAAAAGGGCGACTTCAAGTGGATGCATCGCTCGAGGGTTAGAACCACGCTGCTGGGCAGCAACGGTAAGATCCCGGAGTCGACGGACCTCTTCCGGCACACAGAGGTCAAGATGGAGCAGGTGACGACGGCACCCGAATTGCTTGACAAGGATATGGCTTGCAAGTATAAGGCCAAAATGAAACGCATTCTTCCTTATTTGGCTCTCAATGAGGTGTGGAAAATGATATTTTAGTTAGTGACATAGAATTCCATTTAAAAATGTTGTTCCGCTACAGGTATTTATCGGCGAACACCTCTCAGCCCGAGTGTCCCACTTGCAGCTGGTGCTGGACCATCAGGATGTGGTGAACAAGACGAAGTGCTCAGGACTGTGTGTCAGCACGGGCACCGGCTCAACATCTTGGCACACCAGCATTAATCGCATCACCAGCCGGGATGTCGATGACCTGTTGCGCTCGTTACCAAATAGCAGTTCAAAGGAGGTAATGGTGTTGCGCCAGAATGCGGAAGAGATCGCCCAAAGGTACAACCAGGGATTACTCTTTGCCCCAGATGACCCGCGTCTTTGCTACTCCATCCGTGAGCAGATCTGCGTGGGCGTGTGGCCCTCGCCAAAAACCTTCAAGGAGCGGGACTTTGTGCAGACTGTGTTTGTGAAGTCCCATTGCATCGATGCCAGTAAGTAGTTAGAAGTCCAGATACGAAAAAAGTCACAAGCTTATAATGATAATTTACTCCCTACAGACTTGGTTATAGACGGAAGCATTTCGTTCCCGTTTAACGATGGGGCCAAGGCTTTGCTGGAGGTCCATCCCGAGGATGCTCTCCTGACAATAGCTTTAGACTGAACCCAGTGATGCGACCCAAGTGCCTGGTTATCTAGCCGTAGCATGTCTGAATTTTGAAATTATTTAAGTATGCATTTTGCAACTACTTAGCAGTGTAAGCTCAAAAGTTATTTGTTATTGAATAAACATATATTTAAACATCACTATTTAGCCTTCTTTTGAATTTTTTGATTCTTTGTTTTTCCCTTTTGATGAGCAGCCGGCTTGGCATTTTTAAGCCTTTTTAAAGGTTTTTGGCTGGTGCCCTCTTTGGGACCCTGAAGACGTCCTTTTCCTTTTTTTTCAAATCGAGCACTGTCTACAGATTTGAAGCGTTCATCATGAAGAAGAGCTTTGCCCTCTTCGCTAGCAGCCGATTCTTCCTGCTGTAGTTTCCTCTTACGACGTATTTCCTTTAATTTATCCTTTTGCTTTTTGCGATAGCTGCATTTGGAAGTAAAAAAATCTGGTATACTTTGTGCCATAAAATATGTTTATAGCTTACAGCGCTTCCATTTGATCTGGATCCTTGCCCTCCATTATCCATGTTTTACGCCTGTAATTTTGGGCTCTTTCATCAAAATCGTTGTTATCCAATTGCATCTCTGATTCCCGGCGGGTAACATTAACTTGCATGAAAATGCGTTCCACCATGCGCTCTGAAATGATGGTTATATCAAAAGTTGGCTTAATAACTAAATTCAATTAATAGCATACGATCGATGGGATGCTCGGTCATTTTGGTGTTGATCTCTTCTTCTATGGCGCCCAACAGCTCCAAGTCGCGGGGAAAACGGAATATGGAGATAGACATGCCTTTGCGTCCCGCTCTCGCTGTTCTGCCCACTCGATGTATGTACTCCTTCGGTGTCCGGGGAAGCATATGATTCATGACCAACTGGACACTGGGTATGTCCAGACCTCTGGCAGCGACATCTGTAGCAATTAGTGTGCGAATGTGGTTGGATTTAAAGCGACTAAGGGCAGCTACCCGCTCCTTTTGCCGCATGAATCCATGTAGGCAAACATTGTCGATATCCATATTTTTTAGGGTCATCGAGAGAAGCTGGCAGTACCTGAAATTAATCTATTTAATAGCTCAATGTTTTGAACTTATTTTTTCTTACTTTTTCGTATTAGTAAAAATCATGACATTGGCGTTTTCGTTCTCCTCGCGGTACTTCCTCAGTGCCTCGATTAAAACCATGTCTCGATCGTAGTCGGCGCACAGCAGATACCTCTGGTCTAGAGTGTCCACAGTGGCAACGTCAGAGTCTTGCGACCACTCGAAGCACTAAAAAAAAGAACAAAGCCATATAACAAAACGACTCCACCGTATTATTAACAAACTCACATTGCTGGAAATAGGAAATATGCTAGACTCCTTCATGAAATCCTTCATGGTGGCAGAGAAAAAGAGGTTCTGCCTGGTCTTCGGTAGGCACCTTTCGATGATGGCCAGGCTCTCGTCAAAATCACCGTTTAACATGCGATCCGCCTCGTCCACTACCAGGTACTTAAGATTGTCGAAGGAGAAGGTATCACAGCCGGTGAGGTGATCTGCCAAGCGACCGGGCATGGCAACCACGATGTGCGGCCGCTGCATCAGCTTTTGGCTCTCGATCATTTGGTCGGTGCCGCCGGACACGACGCATACGCGAACGCCCATCGCTTGACCGGCCACCAGGAACTGCTCGGATATCTGGTAGGCCAGCTCGTGGGTGGGTGTCAGTACCAGGGCAAAATGGCTCACTGGCTCTTCGCTCAGCCGCTCTAGGATAGGCAAAGCAAAGGCGAAGGTCTTGCCTGATCCCGTCTTAGCTGCACCGATGCAATCCTGCCCCGACAATATCGCCGGAATGCAGTTTTGTTGGATGGGTGTTGCTCCTTTGAGACCTAAAAATCTTCAAGGCTTAATTACTAGTTTAAAGCCTTGACGGTTTTGACATTACCCAATTTGGTTAGTTGCTTTACCAACCAAGGACGAAGGCCCAGCACCTGGAAGGGATTCGCCTCCTTCCGTTGCATTTTGGTAAATAAAAGTACAACGAAATGAAAAACGAAAACAACGTGCGCGAGTATTAGTGATGGAAAAAGGCTTACAATCGTCTCGAAAACTATCGGTGGATGTGAATTTTGGGACATGGTTTTCGGACTTGTCCTTTTAAAATAATAAAAATAATTGTTGTGTGTAAAAGAAGCAATGCTTTGATAACTACTGACGATTGGCATTAAAAGTCAAATTTTTGGTAGCAAAATCTGATCTGCAGAGATATTGCAAAAAATATTTGACTAAATAAATACAAGCTATCGATAAGTTTATATTCACATCTCTATTACTCTTTTGTATTGGCGCGAGCGTTTTGTAAACATACAGATATTTGGATTTGGGTTCTACCTCAACACAAAATGTCCGGGGAATCTGAGAATTTGGTTATAACTCCAACATATAGCGAACTGCAAGCAATAGACCAGGAAGATATCATATTGTTAATCGACGTGGAGTCGGCAGTAAATGTATGTAATGAGTGTATCACAGAGAAATCCGCGAATCCTTCAGATGTCTTGACATTGTGGTTCAGTAAATTATTGAGGGCATACATAAGTGAATCGGTTGACTGCGTCAAGGCAGTGAAGGAAATGTGCAAATGGTTCCAACTTGTAAGTTATCTAATATATTTTTCTGGTTCAGTAAAGTCAGTTTTATTCATAGGAATGTGACTCTTGCAAGGAAATCTGCAGCGCTCATATTAAACTTTTCAAAGAGGCCCTAGCTTTTATAACCGCATACAGGGATAATTTGCTAAAAGCAGGCGAGCGTCTGGTTCAAATCTTTACCTATCTTCAATTATCATTGATTGATTTATTTGTGAAAACAAGGTAATACCTTTACAGGGTTATTTCTTTAAATAATTTAACATCGTTTATCCAGCAACAGAACAGAAGATCATCAGCTTCTTAAAGATCTTCAGTTTTCTGTGCTTTTCCTGCTGAAAGAGATTACCTCTAAATCAAAAAAAGTTCACCCTCGAAACATTCTCTGTAAGTTAGAACAGCTTAACAAATAAAGTTGAAAATTTGCTTAACCTTGTTTAATTATTCTTTAATTTTAGTGATGCAAAAGGTAATGGAAATTGCAGATCACGAAAGAGAAAAATTTAGGGATTTCGAGTTACCTGCAAAGACAAGCGAGACCATTACTCAAATGTGCGTGCATTACATGTCATGCGTTGATCTCAATGAAGAACCAATACCTGAATGGCTTAAGGAAACGGTATCTCATCTTTGCGAAATGGTACTCAGTTATTTGGAGGATCTTAACAAAAGGCTTAATTTCACCGCAAATGAATTAGAAGAGCTCTTTAAGGTTTTGCCAAGTTACTTGTTAATGTTGAAACAGATTTTTAAAAATGGTGTAATAAAAATTGATCAAGAAGTAGCTGCTTACCTTATGGATTTAATCATGTGTCAAGAAACGTAAGTTGTATAAAATCTATTAATATTGTTGTAAACCATTTTTTCTTTTAGGAGGCCATCACATTATTCTATCAAAAATCTTCAAAATCTCATTACTACATATGTAAGACCAAATATAATGAAACTTTTTCAGTTGGCTTACTGTTTCTGCGAATGTCAAAAGGCAAGATAAAGCAGACATATATAATAATTTTTGTTAAAGAAGTTTTTATTTCAGTATTTTTTAACTTGCGTTTTGGTTCAACAAGAAGGAGATTATTTTGACGCCTGTATTGATTTTGTAAGTGTTGTGTCTACAGACGATTCGGATATCCTTCCTTTTACCTGTCGAACTCTGCAAAAAGTATTTGAATATTTTTTTAAAGGTAATCCATAATCCATAACAAGATTAATTTAATTGCTAATTGTTTGAAGCGCAGATGTCAACATATTTGTGAATGATGAGCGCTATGAGCAAGTAATAGATGCCTTTGGTTCTCTATTGTACATGGTGGCTAAGAAGGAACTACATAGCTATTTCCTTGCTGGTTTATTTCAAAAGGATATTATAAAATCTCAAGTGTGTGCTGACATACTTATGCTGTGCTTTCGGTATGAACTTGGATTACGTAAACCTTTTAAATTAATAAACTAATTTATATTTTAGTCTTAAAGAGGTTAATAATTTTTGGACACCCAACACTGTAGAACAGGCTATTAATTTTTGGCAAAGGTGCAACAATCTATATGCCATGTTCTCACAAAATCCTAGTCAATTGCATGTGCAGCGTTTTCTAAAGTATTTTCAAAGTTTGGGAAGACAAGGAATCCCTGCCTTGAGCATTCAAAACTTCCGTCAACTCTCGACCGTATTAACTGCTGATGCTCAAATCGGAATTAAACTATTGAAACGCTTAGATGAAATCACATCTGCGTTGCCCACACAAGTTAATGTGTACTACGAGATAGTAAGTTAAATTTATTTATTTACAAATTTTACGTTGTTATCACATGTTCACTTTCAGGCTAGTCTTCTAGAATTATTGGTGAGTCAAGACACAGATTGTTCTCAGTGGTTTCAGCGAACATCCGAAATGTCCAAGGATTTGATGAGCATTGCAAGTTGTAATTCTTTTACAAGTGCCTATTTCAAGTTGCTAGTTCGTGCCAATAAGGCCACACAGTTGCTGGTATTACGAGGACTGGCCCCAACCAATGGATGCACAAACTGGCACCAACAAAAATTCATCGAGGCTTGCAAGATCAGCGATGATGCCCAACTCAGAGCCTTTAGTGTCCACCACACTATACCGTCAGATTTTCAGCAACTTTTACAGGTTTTGCGACAGAAACCCGAAGATCTGGATTCATCAGTAGATGTTTCGCTTGATGATTTCAGCATGATCAGTCAATGGGTCTACACACGTGACTCGGAACACAAGTGCCAAGGTTCTAGTTTGAAGCGAAAGCGCGAGGAAGTTTCACACAAGCAGATCCTTCACGACATCTATGAGGGAACGCTTCAGTTGAGCAAGCTCAGTGGGAACTTTGATGCCGCCGATTGGGATCTGCATAAAAGAGTGCTGACACATTTAGGTAGTATTTTACCAGGACTCTGATTTTGTCTCACATCGCCGAAATGGTAAATATTATAATGAAATTTGGGTTCAAACTGGCTTAAATATTCAACATAACGTGATCTACATGTTGCTCAACATCCTGTAACATTAGAAGTTTTTCGATATCAGGCCGGCCCATATAGTGGTCCTGTATAAGAATACCTAGTAAAGTCCAAATTTTTTTTTTAAATCGTAGTCAGACACATATATGTAAATATACAAACTTACCCGCAAGAGAAGCAGATGTGAAACTAACAAAACTGCCAGCAAAAAAGGCCCGAGAAGCCACTCCGGTGATGTCTTGTCTTCGGGATGGGGCCATTGCACTTAACGCTGCGATCATGATGCCAAGAGATCCTGGGTTGGCAAATCCACAGAGCGCAAACGTGGCAATGGCACTACTCCGAGCCTATAAATATGCAAGTAATAAAAACTTTAAAATTTGCTGAAGCTACCAACTTTTTTTTACCCGAATTAAAGAAAAACAAGTGTATTTTGTTTCTATGCTCTATCTTATAAAAAGTGTATTTAAAGGAAAGATTCTTACCGTTTGCGCCTAATTATTAACTTAAAAAAATGTGTGGATAAAAAAGTTAATGTAAAAAGCTTTTGAGAAGCTTTAACTTTATCTCACAAAATAGTAAATGTATTTATACGTACGTCGATCTTGTCCTCTTTCACTAACGTGCCCAGATGCTTATAGGCTACAAACTCGTTAATAATCGTCTTTTCGGCTACAACTAGTCCAACCTCTTGACAGTCATACCACGGAACTCCCATCACAAACACCACCGGGACAAAAGCCTGAGAGAGCAGGAAGGTCAGTGTGATATTATTCAGTCCAATTAGCTCGAAAAGCCACTCGGTCACGGCGTTAAGAAAGAACACAATGGCCAGAAAGGCAATAATGTTGGCCACGATTCCAAGTACAATCAACATTGCCGCTGCGGCTCCATTGGCTGCTGCATCCAAAATCGATGTGTCCGGCCTGTAACAGGTAGTTTTTTTTTATAGATGAAATGGGAAAAGCTACGTAAAGGATACATACGATTTTTCCAACTCAATGTTGTCGGATCGGGTGAGCGATTCTTCGGTCTCTGGGTAGAACAGCTTGGAGAAGGCCAAGGCGCCTGGTGCAGCCATCACGCTGGCCGTGATCAGGAAGGCGGGAGAGGCACCAAAGGACACGTAAGCCCCCAGCACGGTTCCCGCCACCGTTGCGTAGCCAGAGGTGCAGATTGTGTGCAACTCGCTGGAGGTCAAGATCTCGATGTAGGGCCGTATGAGCAGAGGACTCTCGGACATGCCCAGAAAAATGTTGCCCGCCGCGTTCACGCTTTCGCAGACCGTGGTGCCCACCGTGGCCTGGAGCAGAAACCCCAAGCCCTGCAGGATGAACTGCATCCAGCCCAGGTAGTACATAATGCTAGTGACTACGCTAAAGAAGAACACCGTTGCCAGAATGGCAAAGGCGAAGACAAACTCGTCGCAGATGCGATCTCCGTAGACGAAGCGTGCTCCGTACTGAGCGTAGCCCAGGAACATGGTCACCTTCTCCCCGAGACAGTCGAAGATGGAGCGGCCCAAGGGTATGCGCAGGCAGATGATGGCCATTAGCAACTGGCCAAGGAGGCCGTGCGTTACGATCCGCCACGGAACTCTTTTGTGGTGCTTGGACATGGCAAACCCCAGCAGGATGAAGCTTAAGGGTCCCAGCAGTCCGATCGCCTTGTTCATATCCGATCGGCACTCGTATCCGAGGTAGGCCACCACCACTGCGAGCACAATCGCCAGCATTATTCCGGACACTATCCTAATTTAGGGAAAACCTTGTCAATTACTTATTATTTGAAACAAGATGGTGTTAGAATTATGTTTTGCTTCCATAACTAATTAAATACTATTTGCTCTTAATCATTGATTTATATTGCATAGTTAACATACTACCTCAGCAACCCATCACAAGAAAACATAAAAATAATAATTGAATTCCTTAAAATTACCAAACTACATATATAACATCATATAACACTTAAATAAAAAAAAATTGTAAAATGTAAAATAACGATGTAAACAATAATGTAAATGTAATTGTAATTGTAAATTGTAAACCATTATATCACATAATATAAGTACAGACAGTCGATGGCCTCAGCAGCTAGTACTGCAACTTTCATTAGTTAGTTTTAGTTTTTATAAGCTATTCTAACTACAATATAAATAAAAAAACAAAATATTGCATAGTTGTGAAATAAAAACCTGATAATTTTTCACAATAAAAACATATTGAAATCGGATTTTGATCATCTGGAATTGATTTAGAGCAACAGCGCAATGCAAAATTTATTATACCCTTGCAGAGCAAAGGGTATTATAATTTCAGTCAGAAGTTTGCAACGCAGTGAAGGAGACACCTCAGACCCCATAAAGTATATATATTCTTGATCAGCATCACGATCTGAATCGAAATCCGTCTGTACGTCTGTCCGTCTGTCCGTCTGTCCGTCTGTCCGTCTGTCTGTCTGTCCGTCTGTCCTCCTGTCGGTTTCTATGTAAACTAGTCTCTCAGTTTTAAAGCTATCCCGCTGAAACTTTCCCAAAAGTTGTGTAGTTGTTGCACGCAGTATATATGTCGGAACGAGCCGGATCGGGCGACTATATCGGATAGCTCCCATACAAGAGAATAAAATACAAAATTTTTACACCGTTGTTTTTGATCGGATCGACTTGATTCCTTCCAGATGGCGTTTTCTAACTGCTTTTGAATTTCGGATTAAATTTTATCAAAATCGGATAACTCTATCATATAGCTGCCATAGGAGAGATCAAAATATATATACATAAATAATGGAAAAAAAATTATAATGTCGTTGTTTTTAATGCCACGAGCATGATTTTTGGAACATAAAGTTTTTTAAATACTCTTAAGTTGAGAAAAAAATTTCATAAAAATCGGAGTACTTTATCATTTAGCTGCCATAGGAAAGATCGAAAAATCTATATAGAAATAACGGAAATATAATTATAACCTCGTTGTTTTTCATCAGACAATAATGATTTTTGGAATATAGAGTTTTCTAATGAGTCTTGAGTTACAAATTAAATTTCATTAAAATCGGACGACTATATCATATAGCTGTCATATGAACAATATGGAAAATGAATAGAAAAATCGTCATAGCTTCGATGCTTTTTAGCTTTTATGTATTTTGTTCGACATATTTAGTAACTGCAAGGGTATATAAGCTTCGGCTTGCCGAAGCTAGCTTCCTTTCTTGTTTTTAGATTATTTTAGCAAAAAAAGAAACCAAATCTTTTTCTTAGACTACGATGGTTTAAGGGTAAATAATTTAAATTCGGGAATCAACAAAATAGACTGCATAATGAAATAAACGAAGATTTCTTTCTTCCAAGTTTTCACTCACAACTTGCGACTGAATTCCATCCATTTGTCGATTGCAGGCTCAAGGTAATTGTTATAGAGCTTGATTCCAAGAAATGGTTTGAACACCCAGTAGTACAGCCAAAATATATAAAATATGACAAACAAGATGATAAGAAAGCCGTATCCATGGCACCAGTTGATGCTGCATAGAATAAATGGCTTAACCTCCGACTCCTTTTTCCCAGGAGTACTTTCGGTGGTGGCTTCACTAGTGGTTGTGTTTGTAAGGTTTCCTATCGGTTCCGCTATTTCTTCGGCTTCGTTACGCGGAAAACATTTAGCCGAATTTTTGTCTAAATTCGTTTTTAGCTCATTTTATTTGATTTTTTATTCAGACGTTGAATACTTACCATAAAGTATGTAACTGACGGTTGCTGCAACGAAGTACAATATAAACAAAAAGTGAAACAGTACGTGGAGGATTAAGTAGACTATTCGCCTCGCCTTCGATCGAGGAGGCTTTTCCTCAGGATTTTGTTGTTCTGGCGCCAGATTGTCCATCATCAAAAGTTTACGAGTGTTTTGACAAATAAACTTAAAAAAATAAAAATTTGATTCACATTCCAAAGCCTTCTTATACTTGGTTACACTCTTAGCAACAACATTTATTTAATAAATAAGAACTATGTTTATTTTTCTTAATTTGATCAGCTAATTATCACGATCGAAAACGGGAAGGAACTAAAACTGTGTGGCATTTCTCCGTCCCAATTTCTGGAATATCCTGCTGTAGTTGGCCCTCTCGTCGGCCTCTTGTATAAGGATGCCTGGAAAAATAAATAAATAATTGTCAATATTTCGATTAGATTGGAATAAGGATAAGGCACGAACCTGCAAAGCTGGCTGAAATGAAGCAGACGATGCTGCCCACCACAAAGGCTCGGAAAGCCACCGCTGTGATGGTGGAGCGGCGATGGGGAGCCATGGCACTGAGGGATCCGATGAGGATGCCCAGAGAACTGGGATTGGCGAAGCCGCAGATCGCAAAAGTGGCAATTCCTGCACTTCGGGCCTGTGGTAATTCAATGGGTTTACTTTCCAGATATTAGGTTCTATCTAAACCAAAGCAGAACTTACAGTGATATCGTCATTTTCAATATATTGACCCAGACGCTCGTAGGCCACAAACTCGTTGATAATGGTTTTGGTGGCCACCACCTTGGCAATGATGTCGCAGTCCTCCCACGGCACTCCCATCGCCCAGACCAGTGGGATGAACAGCTTGGAAAAGATCCACTCAAAGTCGATTTGGTCCAGACCCACTAAAAATCCAAACCAGTTAACGACGCCGTTCAGGAAGGTGATGAAGGCCACAAAGGCCACTATGTTGGCAATTATTCCGAGGACAATCGGCACGGCGTTGGTGGCTCCACTAGCCGCTGCATCCAGAATGGAAGAGTCCTGCCTATAAGAAGAAAAATTAAGGCATATTTTACTTTTTCTTGATATTTTTAATTTGTTTTTTAACTGAAGCCAATATACAATTGTTCTATGTCAAAGTAAAATGTACTAAAGAAATTCCTACCTTATGGAGGGAAAAATTTCTAAAACCATTCATCTCAAAACTATAAAAATACAAAAAAAAAATGTGTTTAAATTTCATTCGGAATATGGAAATGTCATTAGGTCCTTCGGTACATTTGTACCTTCTTGAAGTATTCAAACTACGTTGAATTTTTACGATGGTTTTGATAGTTTTAATCTTTAAGTACTGACGCTATCACTCGCGATAATAAACTTCAAACGTCTTTTTTAACCATAAATCTGGGCAATACTTTACCGCAAATTATTTAAAGGTATTTAAAAGTTTAATGATTTAGCTTAAAAAATAGTGCAATGATTTTTGTTAAAAAAAAAACATTTTTAAAACTGATTTTGCATATGAATTGCTGAAAGTTTTGTTAATATTATTCCTTGGCTTAAGGTAATTAATGCATAAATAAATGTTTGTTCTTCTGTAAGACTTACGATTTCTCCAGCGCGATGGAGTCCGAGGAGGTCTGGCTCACCTCGGTCTCCGGCATGTAGAGCTTCGAGATGGCCAGCGTGGCGGGGGCTGCCATCACCGAGGAGCTGATCAAGTGGGCGGCGGAGGCACCAAAGGAGAGGTAGGCCGCCAGGACCGATCCGGATACCGTTGCAAAGCCTGAGACCATGATGCTGTGGATCTCGCTCTTGGTCAGCTTGTTGATGTACGGCCGGATGAGCAGCGGGCTCTCGGACATGCCGAGGAATATGTTGGCCGCCGCCGTCACGCTCTCGCAGACCGTGGTGCCCAGGAGCGACTGCAGGATCCAGCCCAGCTTGATCACCACCCACTGCATCGTGCCCATGTAGTACAGGATAGAGATGAAGAAGCTGAAGAAGAAGATCACCGGCAGGACAGCGAAGGCGAACACATTGTTCTCCACTAGGAAGTCGCCGAACACGAAGACGGCTCCGTCGGTGGCGTAGCCCAGGAAGGTGGCCACCTTGTTGCCCAAGCACTCGAAGATTTTCCGGCCCACCTCCCAGCGGATGCAGAAGATGCCGAGCAGGAACTGGCACGTGATCCCGGTGATCACGATCCTCCACTTGATGGCACTGCGCTTCGTGGAGAACACGTAGCCGCACAGGATGAAGAAGCACGGAGCCACCAGGGAAGCCAGCTTTTGCGGATCGTCCCGCGTCTCGAAGTACACGAAGATGGCCAAAAGGGCCAGCAGCACTGCGATGGTCGACAGCGACACAATCCTTAATTTAAAAAATAATAAATGAGAATTACAAGAAATGTTATATTTGACTAAATAATAGAAAAATTATCGGTGCCCTTACGGATATTCATAATATATATTTATATGATATATGTACATATATTCATAAATAAAAAAATGATCTTTGATTTATACCCTGAATAGCATCGCTTTCCATTAAATATTTTCCTGATAAGTAATTATAATAAATAATTTTTGAAGTGGTTGGGAACATACAATTTGGGAAAAATATTGTGTTTTTTTCTGGCATAGAAACTGAAGTAAATGTTTAATGACTCACAATTTTCTTGATAAAAAGTAAAGTAATTTCGTGCAATTTTCAGTTAAGTTTGAATTATGAATATATAACAAGAATATATATAAACAAAAGTCTTACTTTGTTCTGGTGATTCTGTGCCATTTCTTGGACCAGGGCCTTATGAAGTTCCTGTGCAGGCTGTGTCCTACGAATGGCTTGAAAATGTAGAAGTAAAATAGACCAATATAGATGAAGCCCAAGAGCAGCAGAAGCATTCCATAGCCGGTGCAGAAGTTGATTCCACACAGCTTGTTTGTGCTTGACCAGGTGCACTCATAATTGGCTAAAAGTAGGTTCAAATTATCTTCTGAATAGATATTCTTCAGTTGAATACTCACAAATATCGTGATAGTGGTAGGTGGCATATGAAAAGTAGCCCACAACAACGAGATGCAGGAGAATATAAAGCGAGATCCTCACTAAACGAGCAACTTTCGGATTGTCATCGAAATATCCCCCTTTCTTTGACACCTCCTTAATGTTTTCCAGCGGAAGTTCCTTGAATTCCTCAGAATCGTGAATTTCCAGCTGTTTCTGAAAAATGTGTCATGTTGGAATCCCTTTTCATCATGATTAGTGTTTTTTAAACTCACATGATCCAGTTCGTAGCCATTGTTAATAGCTCCCTTTGAAGAGTCCTCTGACATCTACAACGAAAAATTCCAATCGATAAGCAAATGGCAATCTGGCATAATCTGTATCAAATTATTTGAGCCATCGAGTGGGCAGATTGCCAAGTGTCCGTTGACAGAAGATAAGTTTCTTTTGGCCATCTAAATCAAGACCCGACAAGTTGGAGGACTCATGCCCACTCAAAAGAAAGCGATAACTCCTACAAAGCCGATTTCTAAAGTCGCTCGTGGGCAGAAACTCTTTCAATTCCCTCGGCACTTGCTTTCCCAAAGTCAATGGCTTTACTGCAGCACGTGGATCGGCACTCATATAACTTCCGCTGATTAATAGCAAAAGCACGAGGGCGGGAATTGTTAGTACACACAGCTCAGGTTCTAAATAAGCCACTTTAACTTGTATTCGTGATATATGCCGGTTGTAAATCCCATTCAATATAGTATATATACCCGTTAGGAGGTCTTTCGTTACGATTTTCCGTTGAAACTAATCGCGTTGATAGCATTATCTGAGTGGAATTTGGCAAACTCGTAAAGTTAATACACCACTCAATTATAATCACGCCTATGAAAACATGACAATTTATCCTATGTTTTATGCACTTTGATAACTTGCCACCATTGCACACTTGATTGCGTCGAATAATGTTTTATTTAAACAAAAGTAAATTATACTGATATACACTTGTGTAAATACCACAATTATTCACTTTATTTATAAATTCTAAAAAATTGCAACGCCTTCATTTCGTGCAACGCCAGTTAATTCACCTTTAGTACTATTTGTTTTCGTTTTGTATCTAGTGAGTGATATCGGTTTGTTGTTCCCAAAACGGGTTTTCAATGTCGTTACTCTCGAAGCGTGCTGGCCGAATACTAATGACTGATTAGTTCATCTGCTTAGCGGCACTAAAACCTCTGGCTAACTGCCATCGTTGCTCGTTGAAACTCGCGGCAAGACTAAATTCGAATAACTCCGTCAGGGCGACTTTAATACGATCGCCAGTACACGGTATTTGATAAGGGAATATATGGTTCGGCTAAGTGAGGTTTTTACTTTCGTATCAACTGATTTATAATATCTCGGTGGCATTCGGCCTTGCCAATAAAAAAATATACAACTTGAAAGGCCTGCCTTAGGCTTAAATTTAAAAAAGAAAAATATTTATTCTGCCTCGTAATAATTTTAAAAAGGTTTTCTCAATTATAAGTTTCAATGGGAACTATATAGCCTAATTTACTTTTGCTAATTTTTGAAGTCCAACACACTTTTTGGTAGGCTCTAATTCGTTTTAAATACACAGAGAAATTATCAAACAAATATCAGTTTGATTGTGCCAACTAGTTTTCACAAATTAAGTTTTAAATTTAGGAAAGGAATAGAAGGTGTGTGAATTTAATTGAAAGATTAATTTAGATATATGTATATAAAATAAATGATTCTCAATTTGACTCATTCATATTAATTTCTTACCAAGCAGTATAAAAATTTGTTTCCACCTCACCTCATTTAGGGGAAATATAATTATTTCAGTTATTTTCTTACCATGCATCTTACAATTTTGTTTCCACCTCACCTCAGTTAAACGGAATACACCTGCAAAGCAGTGCTGTAGCAAATAGCCAATTGGGATGACATGTTTACTGTTTTATCAGCTGGTTGTTAAAATCGAGAGGTGCCCGGTGAGCGTTCTGTGCTGATATTGCGAGATAACTTCCAGGGGGCCATAAACTTCCCCGTAGATTGCCGGTGATAGCGATGACGTTTGAGGAATCTGATTGCGATAGAGGGGGTTTCAACCTAGTATGAGCCGCACTCCCGCCCATTGATAGAGGTCTGGGGCATCGTTACTGGTGGTCAAGTCAAACGCGATTAAATAAAAGGCACAATTGATTGGCCAATCGGTGGTTATCGTAAATAAGTGCCAAGTGCAAAGTTGAAGCGATTTCTAATCGTAAACCCGGTGGTTTTTATTAGGAAAAATAAACATATCTTATCGCCGAGCCCCTCGTGTGACAATCTGATCAAAATACGGATAACCCAAGAAATCGGTAGTCAACTGGCTTCTTACTTGATTCGCAACTTGACACGCTTGCGATTTATGTTTATTAATATAATCATTTTCCATATGTTATTCATACTTGCAATCGACTTACAAATTCACTTAGTTAGGATGGAGGTGAGGGGTTAAGCATCGATAGCTGTTTGAATTAATGAAAATGTGGTTGTTATAAAATCTTAAAAACAAAACAGAACATTGGGCCACAAACTGGGGAATTTCGAGATTAAGGGATGCACTTGGTGCTCTCTTTCTAGCAGGCAGAAAGACACTTTAACCTAGTGACTTACTTATATAACAAAACTGTGTTCCGGGACAGTAATCGCTTATCAATTAAATCGAAAATGCTTGATTTGGTTCGTCCTTGGCTTGCTGGTTTTCGAGTGGATTGTGCAGAAGTCTGGGATTGTAATGCTCGATAAGGCATTGATTAATTTAGTTTACCACCTAAAATATATTACTTAAATTCGTATTAAATGTTTTCCGCGTTGGCTTTCCTTCGTGAGGTTCTTACAAATTTAGTTAGCAAAAAGAGTGCGAATTCGACCACATCTAAATCACAGGCTTCTAATATAAGAGAGATTTTAAAATTAAAATCGAAATTTGACCAAAAACTGGCTCAGCTTACAACGAAATTTAAAGTATAATTTAAATAAAGTATGCGGTAGAGGACACCGATCAACTAAAAACTAATTAAGTCAACTGGCCCTAAAGTTACAAATACAAAACAAGAAATAATCGTAAGACCAGCATGAGTGGTGGTGAGAGAGGATGGTGGTTGGATGGGCGGTTGGGTGGTTTGGTGGTGTGGTGGTCGCGACGCCTACTCCTGCTTATGGGTCGAAATCCTATGGTGCTTGGGGTGGTGGCGCTGGTGGTGGTGGTGCTGGTGCAGCTGGTGCGGATGGTGGTGTCCAGTCCTATGTCGATGGTGGTTCGAGACGGGCTCCACCTGCTGTTCGCTGTTGCTGTTGCTGGCTGAGGACAGCAGCTCCTCCGCCTCGATTTCTGCCTCGACCTGGGCGGACTCCGAGTCCAATTGGTGGCTGTGGTGGTGGCGAAGGTGGTGCAGGTGGCTCTTTTCCCGCTGCTGGCTCTCGTAATCGCCGCTATCGTCCAGCTGGTTGTCGATCGTGGGTGAGTTGGATGTGGTGGATTCGATGTAAGCTTTGCTCTTGGGTGTGTTGTAGATGTCCTTCATGGAGTTAGCGCCGTTGAAGAGAATGTCTAACCTTGGTTTTCTGCGGAAATGGAAAATAGAAATATAAATAAATTAACTTGAAAATACACCTGAAACACAGAAAAAAAAGATTCTTTTGTTTTTTATGTTTACAGCATCATAAACATTTTCTTAAAACATTTAGTTTCATTATTATTTTAGATTCTTTTTTTGTAAACAACATATTTATAATCGCTTACAAATATAATCAAAGTATCTTATAAAATAAATTATAAAGTAGTATAAAATTTATGAACCCGAAGAAGTTCATGTCTTTGATAAGTATTAAAGCTTTTAAGCAGTCAACAAGCAGTGCTCACTTCCAAAGTTGATCAGGTTTTTAAAGCAGTGCTCGAAACGATTTCAAAGGTTCGAAAGAAAAACAAAAATATAAAGTTTAATACGACTGTCGACACTTACCTTGGCAATGTCCAACTCGCCAGATGAGACTTAAACGGTTCTGTTCGGTAAACGCTCCATGGGACAGCAATCTCTGCAAAATACACGCAGCCAAAGAAACCATTAAAACCTGCATAAAACATATCGTAGGTCATGCAGTGCGAATTGGAAATGGCGCAAATGAAGGGCATGCAAAATAACAACAGCAACAAGAACAACGACAAACACTTCGCGCAGCAAAAAGCGCTTAAACTGAACAACAAACAAAGCCGAGCAATGCGCACAACGGTGCGTATGAGCAACATCGGTTAGTAGCACCTTGAGCTGAATTCGCGTCTGCGGTTTTGTATCTTACCAATCCAGGGCGGTAACTTTCAATGAATGAATTCCAAACGAATCTCTAGACTTTCGTTACTTCCGCTCCACTTTGGGCAACCATCCCAACCTCATGAATTTTTAAAAAATACGGACGGAAGCATTTTTGTGAGGGAAAACGTGCTGGGTACAAATTGTAAATTGAGCCTTAGAATCTGCTGACTTGGCTTTACAATCAGACGACTAGGAATTCTTTTTTTCGAATTACGTCTACCGCTATTCGAATTCGGTCTGGAATTAATTATTTCAGTTTTTTTCGTCTTTTTTTTCTTCGGTTGGCTCAATTTACGCTGTCGTGTCTGGTCTGCCTGCTGTCCGGCCCCCGAAATTGCCTGAGTAATGACCTTTTCGGCAATGTAAATACATTCGAGTCCCCGCGATGGTGGGAAAGGGGCCTGTCGCTACCGAGATGAATGGTATATGTACTTGGGGGGAGTGAGAGATGGAGATAGAGAGTGACTGGTGGGAGGACTGAGGCGTCTCCGCTCCGTTCCGCGGGGCAGTTAGTTAGCCATGGCAAACAACACGCTTACCTGCCTGATCGCAAGTGGGCGGCCCGAAAAAGAGCCCAGGCTTCAGCGGGTTCTCCTCGTCGTCGTGCACCTCGATCATCAGGATCCCCACCACGCTGGAGGTCAGCTGCGGCTGCAGTGGCTGCTGCTGGCGGAGCTGCTGGCGGTGCTGCTGCTCCCAGTAGGCCAAAGCGCACTTCACGTCGATCTCCACCCAGCCGGTGGCGGAGCTGCTCAGCATGGCAGTGTTGCAGGTGCGCTTCTTGCGCTCTGTAAACGGAAAATTGTTTTGCACGGTTAGTCTCCCCATTTACTGTCTATTTCTTATTATCGGAGAATTGTATTTAGGGCGAAAAACAACAAAAAGCTGACTGTCACTTTTAATATTTTATGTAATATATGTATTCATATTTGTAACTGAAAAATAATTGCTTATGGAGCGTAAAGTTGTTATTTTAGTACGAAATAAACATTTAGTACGAATTCAAACATAACAACAAAATAAAACTACGAAAATAATATATCATTATATTGTAATAAATTTAATTATTATAAAAAATAAAATTTTAAAGTAAACTGCAATATTGTTAAAATATGTATTATAAAAATAAACTAAATAACAGTCCCTCTTTTTATATTCTGCGTTCATCAAATTATTTTTGGATATTAAATTTCTTTTCATCTGTGTATTTATAAAACTGTCTTGAGGTGTATTTAAATAATTTAAAGAAACGCTTATATTTCCACTTCATCCTACCTAACTTACGTTTCTTCCTCTGCTGGTGGACGATGGAGACGGTGACCCGAATCTGGGGACCCACTGGCGGCTGCTCTGCGCAGTTTGGAGACGTGTTGCCCGGGGTCTCGGTGCTCACCGGTTGAGCGGTTATTTGGCCGGGATTTTGCTCGCGATTCTGGCCGGGATTGATCTTATAGAGGCGGAGCAGGGCGCTGCTCAAACGGTCGTCGCTGTTGGACATGAAAACGCTGCTGGCAAACTGGAGAGTCACGTTGTCGCCCTGCTGCCAATCTTCCGGACTTGTAGTCTCCGCATTGCAGATGGGAAATCCGGCCTTTTCCTTGGAAACACCGCCATTGGGCTCGTTTGAAATGGCCTTTTGGAGATGCTTGAAAATGTCGTTGAGACTGAAAAAAATATATATCAAAATATTTGATTAGACTATAATATACCCCATAAAAGCAACATTATTTCAATTATTGTAAAAATAATCAATTTAATATGTTAAAAGTTAACTTTAAATACTTTGTTTTAAAGTAAAGTAAAGTAACTAACATACAATAATTCAATTCATTTATTTTTTTAACCTACAAAATATTCCAATATACCCTGGTAGCTCCTGGTTGCTGGGAACTGAAAACTGCCATCATTTCTTGGCTCATCTCACAACTATTTGTATGCCCAAGTCGTCCCACCCAGCAAATTTAGTTCAAGTGTTTATGTAAGGCTCACTTAATTGACATTAGAGCGCGGTCGTGGTTACAGACACTCACAATAGAAAAGTCAGGAGATGGGCCGCGTGGAAATCGTGCTCGCATCCATTTGGCGAGATTTTATAAGTTTGATTCAATTTAGGCGGACAACAGTCGCAGCAAATAAACTAGTTCTTATCGCCGGACTGGTAAAACAGTCGTCTAACGGAGGGCAAAGTATTTGGGAAGCACTCAGAATGAAGATAACTATTTTTATTGCGTAATAGTCAGAGTTCAGTGCACTGCTTTGCCATAAAACTAATCCCCGATACCGATTATGATTTATTTTAGGCTTTAATCTATTGATAGGGAGCAAGTAAAGATTTGAGATTGCAGGAGCTCTTGAAATAGTTAGTTTTTCGCTTTCGAGGGCAATTATGCTTGTTAAGTGAACTTAGGTTCTTGCTATTAAAAAACAACTTGAAAAACGAGTTGGTCACGCAGATTAGTGGCCAGCTAACTACCAGCGGCAGATAGTTGCAATCACTAAACTATTTTTCTTCCTTATAGTAAACAGACTGGCCAAACTGACTTGCGCTGATTAAATGCCTTCACATGATTTTCGTTCGAGACATTTCCAAAACTTTATTATGAGCTAAGTGCGCATAGTAGTGGAGCGAGTGACAGACCCGTGTCACTTAAAAACCCATTCAGATCGAGACAGATCTTTGTGTGTAAGTGTGTCAGTACACAGAGAAAAATGACTGGCATTCAGAATTGTATTTTAATACGGATTATTAGCTTATTACCAAAATATTTCAGATATTAGTAATTGACAATATAGGACTGATTATAATCGAAGATGTTAATAGAACCACTTCAGATAGCCCTAAGTATTTAAATTTGAGAAGTGATTTGATTGAAGGGTTTAATAAGTGGTAATCAGTTATTAAGCAACTCAATAAAAACTGTTTAAAGAAATGTACATGTTTAAAGTATAATACATTTTTATTTACATGAATTAAGAGATTTACTTAAAAAAACGTCCATAACTAAATATGGAAACGATCGATTCGCATGACATTTCTCCAAGTGCACTATCATCGGGAGCCGGACAGACAACAATAGTTAGTTAGCTATGATCTAATCTGGACACACTCACTCGCTACAAAATTGGACAATTGTATGCGTCTGGATCGGTAATTGAGACATGCTTGACGTCTCGTCTTATTTCCCCTCGCACGAAATGCACAAAAAGATCAAGAAAATAACTGATTAATTGTTTTGGCTTTTGGTGTGGCCCGCGGCGCAGTTTGTCTAGCCAAAAAATAATTATGAAACACGGTCGTCGGCTGTCTGTCTGTTAGTCAGTAAGTCCTCCAGACTCTGGGTATTTTGGTCTGTTTGGTCTCTGTTCCGAAAGTGAGACAACTCGAGTCGCGAATCGAGACGAACTGAATCGCCCGTGGCTGAATATCGGCTCTTGTTTATGTTTATGTTTACGTTGTGATCGCATCGAATCGAATCGAATCTGTCTGGCTAGCTGGCTGAATGGCTAAATGGCTGAATGGCTAAATAGCTAAACGGCTAACTGGCCAACTGGCTAGCTGGGCCGGCCAAGGAATGCCAGAATGCGGAGTCGTCTGGAGTTGGCTGATGGCTGATGGCTGTTGGCTGTTGGCTGTGCGGCATGAACTTGAAAACTCGTTGAGTCGGGCCGTCTGTCTGGCCACCGTCTAGACGGATTGGATTGTCAGTCTGTCAGACAGACGGTCTTTCCGTCCGCGCCTTGTTTGCTCGCTCTGCTCGCTCTGCTCGTTCTCTGCCTGGTCTGTCTGCCGGCCTAGATGCTGCACCGAAAAAAATCACACGGAATCGAGGTCAATCGGCTCTGATCTGCTACGCATTCGAGCTGGACGAACCTAAAGGGCTGCCGTTGTAATTTAAATTCATTTTCATCCGGTTTTGTTTTATAAACATACCATACCTACGTATGTATGCGTTATAATTAAAAAGTTGCCTTTAAGTTCCTTTTTTTGATTGCTGTAGGGCTTAAGACTGTTTTTGTTTAGCGTTCGTGCATCTGAATATTAACTTTTAGAATTCCCTCCTTTTTCGAGCTTTAGGCTATGTTTTGGTAATGCTACATCAGAATCAGTTAGTTAGAATTTATTCTTCTAATATTAAAAACCATGTATGCTTTAAATGATATGGTGTTTAGTTTTCCCAAAGACTGAAAGAGGAAAAGACTTGCTGTTTTAGTTAAATAAAGACCTCTAACTGACGGAGAAAGGCAATCCTAATATTAATTTTGAAAGAATTTTGGTACAGGCAACCAGCCTAGTACAAGTGTTTTTTTCTCGGTGCGTTGTGGATGCTACCGGACACATTCTGTTCGCTGCAAATAGTATTTCTCGTCATGCGTGAGTCACGCATGCGCAGAGGAGCACATGCGACCCTTTTTGGGGGCAGGTGCCTTGGGGGCTGGCGGAAATTTGCATTGGCCTCCATTTGCTCGGGGCAGACATCTCTGAATGCATCGCCTCAGTGTCTGCGTCTGCGGTTTCGCCGACCCGTCCTTTGCCTCTGGCCACAGCAGCAGCAGCAGCAACACCGACAGCAACGGCAACACTAGTAGCAACAGCAACAGCAACAGTGGCAACAACAGCAACAGTGGCAACAACGGCTAGACAGTGTCTCGCCGGTTGCACTTCATTATCATGCAACCAACAGCAACAGCAACACCGACAGCAACACCGACAGCAACAGCAACAGCAAAAGCAACAGCAAACTGCAGTCGGTGGAAATGCACACGCCTACAACTGTTTGCATTGCACCATTGCGCCAGTTGCTGGGGGCAGACATGTCTGGCGTCCCGATATTACTCATACGTCATAAGTTTTGCCTTTTCGCCTTTTTGTGTGTTTTGTTTTTTGTTTCATCTTGTTTTTTTTTTTTTTTTTTTGCACAGTCTGTGCGGAACTCTGCCAAAGCAATCAAATAAGATGAAACAATTTAGATATCAGCTGTTGGCCCCCACGAGTGCCCGCCGACTCGCATAGCAACGACCTACAAAAAGTTCATTACCGGAGAGCCGGAGTCGGAGTCGGAGCCGGATAGCTAGACGTGGCCCAGACTGTTCCCAGACATTTGCCAGACATCCGCGGGCACACCGACGGACACACTGAGATACAAAGCTTCAAAGCTACCAAGATACAGAGGTCGCCGCCGCCGCTGCCGCCAATGGAATTCGATGCAGCCTGCAGTTCAGTTCTGTGCGAGTGTGTCTGCCGCATTGTGCAGCGCGTCGCGACAGTTGCAGCACAGTACGTATATCTGATGGATACAACAGACTCCATTGACGGATCTGGGCTGCCGGGCCCTTGTCTCTTTGATCCATCTGATGTTGTGCGGTCGAAAGTTGGTTAAAAGGCTCTTTAAGTCTTCATTTGGGATCACTGCATTTTTGAATAAATCTCAATGCAATCAAGTAAGTCAGATTGACTTCTGGCCCATATCCCTATGAGCCGATTCATTTCGTGCAGTCATAGGATTGATTTAAAGGTTTTTGATCTGGGATCTAGTAAATTTATAAGTTATTTGGTAGGTATAATAATAAGAGAGCATCTGCTACCAAGGTAGGCTAAAGTATTAGAGAAAGTAATTATCTGGTAAAAAGTAGAATCAATTTTTTTTATAAAATTAGAACATTATTTAGCGCAAGGGATCACAACAAATTAAAAATAATTTGTATTGGCTTTAAAAAAACAATGGAATATTTACTTATTGAAAGGCAAGTTAAAGAAAGTTATTAATAAACGTTTCTTATCTATGCTTTATTAAAAATAGTTATATCCGTACTCAACATTTTTAAACTGTGCCTCTAATCATTCTAGTTTCTCCATAATCACAAACAAAAGACGCAATTTGTAGGCACGCTTTTCATGTATCGCTAAAATAATTTATTGGCCACAAGTTTCGGTCTGCTGAGCGAGGCCATTACATTTATGACTTTTTGTAAGAACGTCATGCATTTAGCGAAGCATTCAATCAATAAATAAATAATAATCGTGTGCACATGTGGAAAATCTCTTGGGAACATATTAATTTCCATAACTTATTTTTATTAATTCGCCGAATCGGTTTGCATGGGAGGAACTCGTGTTGAAGATTAACCAAAGCAAAGCATGTACAATGTACTTTTGAAAATAAACCCAAATAAGTACGGCGCTATAGATTTTTTTTCGGGGTGCTTGGCCACAATTGCGAGTTGCACAAATGTGTTTAGCCTTGAGTGGAATTGGCCGTGTTTGGACAAATCTCTCACTCAGCAAAAGTCGAATATTTTAAAAATTTGGCAGCGGTAATTTGTGTTTATATACAAAGTATTCTCGAAACTGATTGAGCGTTTTATTGCAGGGAGCACAGTTTAAAATGTATATAAACAATCAAGCAACTTTTTATTCTTTCTGGTTAAACATTTTCTTAGTCGGTCATTTGCACGCGTAGAATTCTTTTGTTTCTAATTATATTTCAGGAACGAGAAATCTATTCTAGTATTCTGGTGAACGACAGTGATTGACAGAAATTGTTGTGACAATTTGAACATGCTTGACACTTACCGGTGAGTAGCAACTTGCTGAAGGTATTGTTGATTGGAAGACTGGGCGGTGGTGTTCCTCATATTCGGATTGCTCCGGTTCTGGATGCTTATGATTTGCTCCTCGGTCAGATTGAAGCGGTTCAGGATGGTGCGGTTGAATGGGTTCACCACCTCCGATTGCACGCCCTCCATGAAGAAGGAAGGATCAAAAGGAGCGGCCCTCGACTCATCGGCCATGATGACCAATAAAAGGATCAGAATTAGCTCCCTGATGCGACTCCTCCCGCACTTCTCACTACGCACAGCACTTGCCATAATTCTGTTCTGTTTTTCTTGGCTAAAACCAAACTAAATGTTTTCACTGGGAAATATGTGTCTTTTCTTATTTAGCGCGCTCAGTAGATCGTTGGAGAAAGCGTTTGTGTTTATTTTGTGCACATTGTTCACTGCATCTCTGCCGCCACTTAAAATGTTTTTTTTTCCCACTTCAGCTGGAGACCGGCAGGCGAATTTGTATATATTTTTATAGCTGATTTGACTTTTGTTTCTGGCCTCAGTCTGTTTTTCAGCTTCTCGATGTGTTCGCTCTAAGAACCAAGTATGAAGTGATTTGCGCCAGTCGGTTTTTTAGTCTTAAATAAGAAAAAATTTGGTTGTGCCGGGCATATCTACTTTGTTATGGTCGTAAACGCTGCGTTGCTGCTGGCACTGCAAGAAAATGTAAACATCGAAGTCCCCCACGAATGCCTTTGCGTTCTTGTTTTCCCTTTTTAATATCATCATAAAATCATCATACTATTTTTTTTATTTGTATCTTGTTCTTAATTCGATTATATCTATTAAGTTTTAATATAAAATGAACTTATTTTTGACACTTTTATTAAATATTATTAGCCACTATTTTGAAATATGTAATACACTATGTATAATTATCACGACTTTAGAACAAATCATTTTTTGGGGTTTAAAAAATTCCAAATAAATAAAACAAATAAAAAAACAAATAGATTTTATTTTATAAATTTATAATTTTTGATAATTACAAGACTTTGACTTATTATAATAAAAAATATATACAACAAAAAATAAAAGATTTGATCAACTTAAGTTAATTTAATTGTTTATCTTTAATAAATTTATTAAATTAAATTGCGTTGACTAATAAAACATATTTATTATACAGCAAAGGCGAAAAAGTGCTGTATACTATTGGTATTTGTTTTGTATTTTAAATAATGAGTAACTTTATTCCCAACTTAATTTTGGTGCATAACCACTTTACGCTCGACCCAATTTCGCAGTGTAGCGTTCGGGCAATCGGATGGCGGTTCGGCTGGCGCTCGGCTCCGTCGCAGCCGACCAATCACCGCCGCCTGAGGATCTGCCGGCGCAGCTGACGTCGGCATAGGCATAGTGGCTGTGCGTGAAGTGCGGAATGCACTTGTGGCTGTGTGTTTGTGTGTCTGTGTGGGCGACGCGTGTGTGGGTGCATCTACGTCTGCGGCTGTGTGTGTGTGACTGCTTGCCCGAGATAGAGCTTATCTTACTGTCGCTTTGGGCCCGAAACCGACTCCTCTGTTCGAAACCCATGTTTGTTTGGGGACTCCTTCGAGCAAACGGCCATCCGATACAACTATCCGGTTGAAACGTGCTTATCTATCTATATATCTATCTATCCATCTCCGCACTTCAAACACTCCTCGAGTTGGGCAAACAGCCCGAGTTTCTGTCAATCTTTTGAATGACTTTGCACCCATCGAAGCCTGCGAGTGTCCGCAAACAGTAGTACTCGTAATTCCTATTAATACGTGCGTGGGCGATTAGATTTATTTGAAGTGAATTTCTCCATGTGACCGCACAATTAGCGTGACTTAATAGGATTGTTTTGATAGAGCAGTTCTGCCTGCTATCAGTTGGGGTTTTTCTGTTTTTTTTTTTTTTTGGCCCGAGATTCCAGATGCCTGCGCTCTTGACTTTCAGTTGTCGCCGGGATTTGTGCGTGTGAATTAATCAAATGACAACGAGATAGGCCCGAAAGTGCGTAGTCCGTCAATTGAAAGGTGAATTGGGCGGATATATCCTATTAGAGGTGCGTGCGGTGCCTGGTACGGAATTAACCCCAGAAAGCCCATCCTTTTGCCTGTTTTATCTCCGCATTTTACGCTCGACGAATACCAAACAGCTTTGGCGTTATCCCGTATTATTCATTCCATCCGCATACGGAAATCCAAACAGCCAGACTCCAAGGACGTTCTTGATTTATTTATTTATTTTCAGCATCTAAGCATCTTTCCCAGCATTTCGTCTGGACCAAAATTGAATTTCAAAACGATTGTATAATTCGCAGCACTTTATAAAGTCTGGATTCGACTAGGACCCGCTGTCCATTCATGCGATGATATGTCTACACACCGTTTAAGTTTTGAATAGAGTGACGGCGAGCGGGGGGAGCTGTCCAGACGTCGAGTGTTATGTAAAATTGCAATCGCATCAAATAATCATAATGCCAGTCGTGGATAAGGGGGAAAAATGAAAACAAGATATATGTAGAGCGCAATCAGCGCCTCTTGTCCCGAAGTTTATATAATAATGTTTGTTTATTTGAGCGCTCGCATAGAATTTGTCCCACTTTGTGGACAATGGGATGTCAGCAAGAATAACAACAACAAAAACAAGAGTAGAAAACGAGCCAGACATGTAGATATATCTAGACAATTGGAATGCCAAATGAGTCAAGTCAAGTCTCAGTTTTTGATTTTTCATTAACTTTTCAAGGCTGCTCAGTCGCGTGGACCTAAAATTGGCTAAGTTCTAAATACAATATCTAGATACTTCTGGGTTTCTTTTGATCTTGCGGGAAGTATTTGTTGTGCGGCATTTCAGCGCGGTTATTTTTGAAAGCAATTTTCTGACAAATCCGTATATGCCTCACGCTCGTGCCAATTTGTGCGGCTTAATTTTAAACGGTAGCCGGCAATTGCCGCCAATGAGCAACAATTCCGCAAAGTTGGGCATGGGCACGTATGTAAGAGCTTCTAAAGACCAGTAGCACCACCGGCACCACTATCACCACTTTATGGCCCGATGTAGTGCCACCTGGCTAAAAACATCTGGGCCCCTTTAGTGATTGGCCATTGCCTTTGAAGTGATTTTCTAGATGGTTACAAGTGCCAAACTCTGTTCTACATTTATTTGATTAAACCAGTCCGAAAAATAATTGGGCACAATAAACTGATATGGCCACGTTGTAGGTCCCAAAAACTTATCGTTTCAGCTTCAAAAACTATAATCTATAGATTAAATATGATCTAAAAACAGACTAGTAAAGCACAAACTAAAGAATCATATACCAATTTGATTCTGTTGTTGGAATAAAAACAATTGGCTTATCGAATTGATATGACGTTTTGAGAATTTACGAGTATAGTTCTCAGTGGTAATTTCCTATCGTACATCTGCTTTGGCGGTTGTAAGACTCCAACATAAACTTTATTGAGCAGTCTTTGCTAAACTAATCAGACTCTAAATACTTTCAGGGTGGTGCGTGATTTGACCTTCGAAACACGAAGACACTAAATGGATCGATAATTTCCTTCAGTATACTTAGATCGAAAATGTTAACATTATGGTACAATGATTGATTAGGCTTTTATGTGAATTTCCAGGCATATTAAATATGCAGGTACCGAGACGAAATTATTTAACCATCAACACGTAATTAACATAATTACCCCTTGCTCCAACATTAAGCGATGCAAGAGGAGGAGGCAATCTCCAAAGCGAAGAAGGCACTGAGCGAAATAGTATTACTTCTTATTACAAATTATATTTTGGCGAACAAACTAACATTTTAAATTAATTTTTGGTAAAGCGAAATCTTATATTACAAATAAATCCTTTTTGGCAATAAAAATGTTTTTGTTCGTTGAGTCAAAACAAAATCCTTGTTATATTAAAGTATTCCATTTCAAATTGTGCATATGTCATTATAATACACTTAATCCTAATACCTCTCGCTGATCAAACAATTTTTTTCAGTTTGAGCATATGCTAATGAGAAGAGCACTCAGTGGACGCGGGGCGGGAACAGCCTGCGGTGAGGTCCGGTGGGCTGGTGCAAGTCTATTAAAAATGCCCGATGTTCGTCAGCCGGCGAACCAGACGTGTCAAGTCACCACGGAGTGAGTCCGTCCAGTCCAGTCGCCGATCAAGAAGAAGCGTTTCCAGGCCCAGACTTGTGGCAAGGGTGCCAGTTAGTTGGCCGGGAGCTGGATGGTTGGACGGGCAGGCACCGAGGGTGTTACCATCTCTGGCTGACTGGCCGACTGGCTGACTGTCGATCTCGGCCAGCGGCTTTTGGCCACGGCCAGTGATGGCGACTCGAGACTGGCGACTGGCGACTGGTGCCGGTTGTCGAGTGCCGAGTGCTGAGTGCTGAGTGCAGGGTACAGATTGCCGGGTTGCCGGTGCAACCGCCGAATGCAGTTGTCGTGATTGCTGTCTCAGATTGCATGTGGAATGCAAAGACCAGAAGCCAATTTGTTATTGTGTTGTTTTCTGCCCTGCAGGCCGCTGCTACCGTTTATTTCCAGCCGCTTCTTGTGCTTCTGTTTCGGAAATACCCTTTTCTTAAGGTTTGGCTAACACTCATACGCCATGTATTTCAATCACTTCTTCTTATGGTAATTATTATTTTATTTTGGCTATATTGATAGTGCAAATGAATAGGAAAATTAATAACAATAATCTGCCTTTATAATCTATTTAATTTGAATGTTATTTACCTTAGTCTCATAAGTTTTTAGAAACAAGCTGAAATCTTGATCAATAGTTTTTGGAAGTGTCAACGAACTCTTTTCTCGTATTTATTAAAAATAAAGTGTATTTCGTGCTCACTATGAAGTCTTTACCTCCGGGCCTGATTGTTATTAATTTTTGCGCATTTTCATTTTCGGTTTTTAGGACTTTCGCGTGCCGTCGTTTGGCTTCTGTTGGTGTTTTGTATTTTGTTTGGGCCCAGCCCCTTCCAGCCATATCCAGATCTCGGCAGACGAAGATGCCGACCGAGACCGAGACCCCGAAAGCCAGACAGCCCGTCGCAGAGACGACTACTGGAAGTGATACACCGCAAAAAAAGCAAGTTCTACAAACGGTCGTATGGTTCGGAATTATATATGCAAGAACGTTTCAGTTATTTAAAGCTTAACGAGGTTAAATGTATAACATTTGAATATATTTGAGTCTTTGAAACTCACTTTAATTTTCTTAAGGCTTGTATTATTTCGATATTTTTGGGTTCTCTATAAATATCAGTTTTAATGCAACGAAATGTTTTCATTTTAAGAGTGTTTAAAATGGATTTTATTATATTAACAAAGATTCTTTTTGCTTCAAACGGAAGTAGCTACAATTTAAATTATTCGACTGTGTTGCTACTTGTAAGCAACATTTAATACGTTTGTATTAAAATAATGTATTTATTTGGAACAAGAAGCAAATCTAAGTTAAACTATATAATTAAATAACTATAAGAAACCCTAAAATAATATTATGTACTCCTCGAGCTGAAGGCCCATGTCGCCATTGCTCAACACCATTGCTAGCTCATAATTTAAATTATCTGCTAGCTCCTTAAAAATAAATAAATAAATAAGAAGCAAATTTTTTTTGCCTAGTGTACCAATGCTGTTGATGCAGGGGCATTTAGGCAGGCGTGTGTGTAGCCGCGTCTTGTTGATTGTCAAAATTGACAATGAATGCGTTCCCCGGAGGACGGTGCGAGGTGCTTGGGGGATGGGGAAGAGGAACGGGGATCGGGGTCGCAGAGGAACGAGGGGGAGGTGGAGTTGGAGGCTGACCCAGCCAGCCGGAGACAAGTGCATGTGTCTCGCGTCTGCAGTTTGTCTGGAGGCCGTAGCAGACACTCGCTGCTGCTGCTGCTGCTGCTTCTGTTACTTCTGTTGCTGCTGCTGCTGCTGCTGCTGCTGCTGCTGCTGCTGTCGAATGCTGTCCTTAAGTGATGCAGATGCGTCGCCGTTGTTGCATCCAAATATGGACCATGAGCTGGACTGGCAGATGCATGGACGGACGGCTGGACCGACTGATGGAGATGGTCGGCTCTGTTTCTCTGGAGCTCTGGAGCTCCTCGACGGCGGAGCAGGTGAGCCGGCGGCGGATAGTGGCTGCAGTTTCACACTTGTGCTACGCAGCGGAAAGTTATTTAAATGATATGCACATTGCAGTGCTCCTCCGTCGCGTCGCGTTGTCTGGTAGCTGTAAACTGAGACTTCGACTGATTCTCCGTCGTCTGCGATTTTGCCTGGGCCTCTGCTTCTGCCTCTGCCTCTGCCTCTGCCTCTGCCTCTGGTTTTCCCTCCACTTTTGCCACTGCCTTTGCCTTCGCCACTGCCAGCAATTATGAGCGTCTGGCCGTCTGGCATTTTACAATATTTTTAATTATCGCGTTTTTTCTAAGCAGAGATAAGCATCTGAGTGCTTGGAGCTGCTCTTCTTCCACTTTTCCACTGCTGCCACTACTGCCACTCTTCGAATTTCAATTTGAGGCCCCGATGGCGATGGCAGGCCGAATTGTCGCCGCTGTTAATTGCCTTTCCTTTGGTCAGCAGCATTGGCAGCCATCTTGATGACTAAGCGAGGGGCCCGTCTTGGACTCCCTGCTCTTGGACTCCCAACTCTTGGGCTCCCGGCTGTCTGCTGTCTTCTGTCTTCTGTCTGGTGTCTTCTGTCTGCTGTCTGCTGTCTTCTGTCTACTGTCTTCTGTCTTCTGTCTGCTTGCTGGCCGTCTGACCATCGCAGGCCGTAAATTAATGCAGATGCGAGCAGCTCCATGGCCAAAAGCGGAATCGGCAATCTTGGGGCCATGGCCAGGTAGTAAAAGTGAAAAATAACTCCCAGCCATTGGCTGTCGGTCGTCATTTGGTCTATTGATTGGGCACCTGTCGTCGCCCTTAGATGAGCAGCCCATTCAGACGCAGACGAAGCCATTGGGTTCGCTTTTGGCAGTGATGTTAAGAATAACTCATTTTGAAGCAGTTTGACATACCATCTCTTACCAACTTTCCCTATACATTAATCTCAATAATCATATTAATATTTTTTTTATTAATTTTAATACTGATACAAACTGTTTTTACTTTAACCCACTTTTTTTACTTCTTTCTTAAAATTTGTATTTGTAATACTCTTATAATAAATGACAAGTTAATTTATTCCAAAATAAATTAGAATAGTGTTTTAATTTATAGTATTTTAATAAAAACTTTTATATATTGTGTCAGTCTTAGATTAATTTATCAACAATTAAAACCAATAAATTAATAATGATTAATGAATACATTGTTTGGCAAACACCATTTTTTAAAGGGGAAAAGATAAGGTGTTGTATTTTTAAATTACCTTTAGATTATGGCTATTTTAACAGTTCACTAAGATTTCTGAATTTCTTACTACAAAATAGCTAAGTCGGCAACACTGTCCTTGAGTGATGCGTTCTTCAGTGCTAAAACTCGGCAAGGCAATCAAATAAATGAAGATGCAACCTGACCATAAATGACGCAAATACCACTCATACTCCTGCATTCCCCACTGGCTACGTGCAGCTCCTGTCCGATGTCAATATACAGAGATATGTCTACGAGTATATAGCTATATCGGTTTTGGGTTGCAGCTTATTTATAGGACAGGGACGACGCGTGCCGGCACGCCAGGATGCCAGTTCTTGGAGACCACGTGGTCGACAATGAGTTCCCATTGTGGAATAGGATACATAAATGAATGAAATGGCGTTTATGGTAATTCGCCTCGGCCAAGTTTGTGCCGTCAGTTCCCCACAAACTATGCTAATGAGACCGTGGATGCCTGCTGCTCCAAAAGTGGATTTCTTGCCAAGCTGCTCGCAGGAATATGACGAAAATGAGGAAGCATTCCGCTCTATTTAAGGTGGCCACACTTTAGACGTTCCCAAGAACTGCAAACAGACTTTTGATTATTTTTAATCGTGACCAAAAGTCTATAATGGCTATTTATAAAACTTATCAGAATTTACAACAACGTTTTTTATGAACTATTTTGGTTTCGGGACTCCATTGTGCCGTGCCAATAAAACTTTTTACCACGGTCTTTGATTACGACATTGTTAATTTAGTTATTGGCAGACGTTGGAAGCAGGCTTTAGTGTTCTCCAAGTCTTTGTCTGGGAATATAGGTTAGCGAAATAAATTACCAGAATATTCGTATATATATACTTCAAAACCTAGTAAAAACATATGTTTAAGTTCAATTTAAATCGAATAAAAATTATGTTGGCTTTGACCACATATGTATTAATATATTTTTACACAACCATAATAATAATTTTTAAAGCATATTTTTACACAACCCTAACAGTAATGTTTTAAAACTGTCAAATGTGTGTTTTATGTGTTTTGCTAAAAGATAACCTTTATTTTTAAAGTTTTAAGTTTTTTACACAAAAGCAATATAATATATAGGTAATATAAATATAATTCACAATAATATATTATATTTTAGCAAGAAAGTCAAACAAAAGCATCAATGCCGATTTTAGGTATACTCGTATACCTCATATTCCGGTTCAAAACATAAGTTTGACTATAGGCAATTAATATATATGAAATCAAAAAATTACTCTTTTGTTGTAACTTTGAAAATTTACTTTAAAGTAAATTACCAAGTGAAATACCATTCATTCCTAATGTAGTAATGAAGCTCGGTTTTTTACACGCTCCTTTTGTGCTCTCTGCTAAAAAGTATGCAGTAATTAGTTCCTAAAGGCAATTGATTCGTTCGCAATTTGCATCGACTAACCTGTCAAAAATTAACAATATTATTATAAATTACTTAACATTCAATTATTCTTACACTTACCATTTCAGGATGGACGACGAGGTCTTCCCATGCGAATACGATCCGAAGGCGTGTCCGAGTCCTCCGCCGCAGAAGAGCCGCCTGTTCACGATCCTGCTCCTTTACTGCTGGCAGCGGGAGTACGACAAGCGACCCTACAGGGCGTTCCAGTTCAGCCGGCTGAAGTTCGAGGAGCGGATGGGTCGGAAGTTCCACTGCATCCGCGACTTCCGGATCATCGTCAACTACCTCCTGCGACGCCCCCAGCTGTCGGTGAGCATTACTGGTGTGGTGGTCAGCAACTGGGATCCCGGCTTGCTGAAGGACTTTGTCCGCGCCCTAATTCCCGTGTGGTACGTCGAGCTGAAACTGATGCGTTTCCCCAATGAGTTCTTCGTGATGCTTTGTCTTAATGCGGCCAAAATGAATGTCAGCCATCTGAGCCTTGAAGGTAAGAATGTTTTTGGATTTAATCAATTTCAACTCAATTTAGGTGTTAAAATGGGGTAATAACATGATTTGCCATTGAAAAAACTAAAAGAACTAGTACGCATCGAGTGAAATAGATTTGTTGATAGATTCCTTTTCATTGAATCAACAATGTTCCTTGCTGTGGTAAATAATTCAGCAAAATCATACAGAAACGGCTAGAAATTAAAAGCAAATCTTAATGCACTCAACCAAGTTTACATACTGGCTGATTGCAGAATTGGAAGTCAAATGAATACTAGTAATTTAAATAGAGTAGTTTCAAAATTCGAAGTGAAAATCAAATAAAATAAAATTTATAAGCTTGTCTATATAGTTAGTAAATCAAATATAAACAAAACGTTCTAAATATAAATAAATAAAATATAGAGTAAATAGAGTTCAATTATGTTTAAAGGGACTATCTCCTCCTCGTTTTTTTTTAGGAACACCATTAACCGACGAGGATGTGCGGATCTTGCGGGAGTTCCTGCTGGTCAGCAAGACGCTCCGCCGGCTAAACGTGTCCAGCTGCAGCGTGACCCAGTACAACTTTGCCCTGATCGCCGACGGGGTCCACAAGTCGGCGGGAGTGCGGCGCCTATGCGCCTCCCGTTTGCTGGGAGGAGGTCTGACCTTGGACACGGAGAAGATCACCTCGGTGCTGGGATCGCTGCTGATGCAGAACTCGCTCTGGGGCCTGGCGCTAGAGCAATGCGAGCTGACCGCCCAGGACATGATTCCCATTGCCGACCACCTGGCCCTGACCAATTCGAATTTGAAACGTCTGCGGATCGCCTGCAACAAGATCGGTCCAGATGGAGCCTTTTTCCTGCTGCGCGGAATGTCCATTGGCGGTCGTCTGGAGCTGCTGGACATCAGCTGCAACTCCATCGGCACCCATGGTGGCGAGTGGGTGGCCAAGTTCCTAACCTCGTGCCGCAAACTGCAAAAACTCCATCTCAACTACAATGAAATGCAGCCGGAGGCGGTGAACCTCATCCTGCTGGCCATGAAAAAGCAGTGCAAGCTGGAGCGACTGACTTTGTATGGCAACACGTTCGACTCGCGAACCGCGATGATTGTGCGCCGCTTGCTGGACGCCCAGGTGGTCCTCCACTCCGAGATGGACATCAGTTACACCTACGACGAGCACCTGCAGGATTACCGGGTGGTGCCATGGAGATAGCATTGGGCTCTTAAATTGTTAGTTCTGTTTACGAGTGAATAAATAAACTTCCGTCATTATGAAATCAACATCTTATATGCATTCCATTTGTTCTAGCCTTGTTATTATTTAATTTAGTATTTTAAACTCTGTTTACTGTCTAGAAAATCTTCAGTTCTTAATTCAAGACCTGTATTGAGATAAGTACTTCATTTCATAGTATATCAAATAGTTTCACAAATCAGTTTTGTTAGTTCCTAGTCCTATCTACGCTTCAAAGTAGGCAACATATTTTTTCTTTATATTTAAATTCTGATAAAAACCAATTGACTTGGCCCACTGTGCAGTGGGAGCTTTGCAACCACGTGCTCGCTCTCCATTTCTTTCTCCCACTTTTCCGATGAATGAAGAGCCAGTGCTGCCAGACGGTCAGTGAGTGGGAGGCGAAGCTCGGCTTGAGAGCGAGCTTTCAGGGCCAAACAGCTGACCCGACAGTGTGGCAACTTTCGCTTTCGTTTCCGGCTTCTGTTTTGTTATTGTGAGAGCCCTGTTCGTGTGTGAGTGTGTGGGTGTGCTGGCGTATGTGTGGCGATTTCAAAGTCAGACAGCAACAACAACGAGAGCATAATGAGGGAAAGAGAAAACAGCTGCGACGCGCGGAGAGAGAGCACAGCGGGAGCAGAACTTCGGCAGCGAGGCGACGCGACAGGACAGCGCTAACGGTATCCTTGTTGAGAGTTTCGCAATATATTTTTATTGCAGCAGTCTCATCGAAAGCGTCGAAGCAACCAAATCGCATCGAACACCCGATAAATCGGTTAGACAATGCAAAACTCCATTGAAAAACACACAGCCCCCAAAACAACCTTCATAAATTCTAACAGCAAATACTGAAAAAGAAATCACGCAAAATAAGATAACAAGTTTGTTTATTGTTCGGTGACAGTGCTGAGATTTGTGCGCCAGTTCTTGTATAACTCTTCATAATTAACAAGAAAACTAAAACTGTGTTGAGCCTGCGGCCAAGTTGTGTTCTCCCCGTTGTTTTATCTTATTTCAGTTGAAAATTTGTTTGTTTGCTTGCAGGCGGCTGCTCGAAAAAATATATCCAGCTACTTCATATAGGCCAGCCAACTACCCACCTTAAACTAAACCGAAACTAAACTAAAGCTAAACTCGACTAAGTAAACGAAATAACTGAAACTGAGGCCAGAGGCTGTTACAACTTTTACTATTAGCCAAGTTAGACCAACAAAAATAGAGGGGCAAACCCAACCAGACCAAGCAAAATGAACGACAGTCGACGCAACACGGCCACGGAATTCAGCTACATACTGCAGCGCCAGGTGAGTCGCTTCGTAATTACATGCACTTAGTTCAGTTTGAGACGCGCCTGTTTTTCGAGTACCACCCCTAGCCTCCACCCCCCACCTACACCCCCTCCACTGCCCCCTGAAATCACTGAAAGCACCCGCCACTCGAGCACTTCCTCCGCGGAAACCTAATTGCACCCATCTCAGCCGCAGAACTCCGACTAATTGCACCCACGCCAACTGACTGATTGGCCAACTGGCCAACTGCAGAGTGCATAATGGCCGAGCATATGGCAAAAGTCGGGCTTCTCGGCACTAGCATTGTTGCCCCACAGCGAAGTAGTTCCGTTCTGAAGAATGCAGTAGCGCACCTGTTTCCGACTACCAAAATTACACTTCTGGCAAATGGCCCACTTTAGCATCACTTTCAATAATTGAAACTCATGGTAATGGTTAAACCTTTCCCAGCTTAGGTTGTATTTATCATAGAAAATAAGTTTTCGATTAACTATTTACCAATCCGATCATTGAATATCATACTGTATATTCTCATAAAAAAATCACAATTTTGGAACTTACTTTGTAATTGCGCCACATTTAAATTAAAAAAAGTTGTATTGCCTGATGAAAAGTCTTTATATTCATAATAGTCTCTGGCAAAAAAAAAAACAAAATGTCACAGTCAATTTGACATAATTCTGTAAAGTTTCCTCTTGTTGAATATAAAAAAGAGACTTTTATGCACCTTCGTTGATTAAAAGTTTTTCCTTCACTTCGCGTAGCTATTTCAAGGATTTCAAAAAATCCTTGTTAAATAATACCCACTGCAGATAGCCATTCACAAAAATAGTTTTAGGAATGTGATTCTTCTTGTTCGTTTTTTATTTCGTTTTGTACTTTACCTTATTGCAATTTTGAAATTTACATTTTTATAAATCCTCTGCTTTCCGTCAAAGAATATGCAATTATGCACTCTTCTCTCCCCTTCAATAAAACATTTTCACAATCACAATTTTTGTGTGCTAACATTTTTTGATTTTTGAAATTATTCTGCTAAGAGAAACACGTACCCGTCAAAAATGCTCTGGGAAATAATCAATTTCGAGCTTTGTCAACTTTGCTGGTAAAACAAATTAAATTTGCGAGCGGAAAGTCACAATAGATAAACGCATCCTGGGCTGCCCAATGAATTGTTAATAAACAAAATGCCCGTCGATCAATCATGGCTTAATAAATGCCCCGTCGACATTTGCATATGAATCTGGCCAAGGGGATTTGGCCTGGGATTTCGGTGGCCGGAGCTGCCGACGGGTTATGCCCGATAATCCCTTAAGCTCGTTATGAATTCCATTTCGCTCGACTGCTGGAATTGGCTTGCGTGTCTTGCTGCTCAGTCCGCACAAACGCAGGCACACACACTCGAAATCCATTGCCAACAGCCAACAGCCAACAGCCAGCAGCGAACAACCCACAACTCACAACCCGTAACCCGTAACTCGTACTGTGGGAAAAGACTGTTAAATCAATTTGTTTTCAGCACCCCGTGGCACTGAGGTTCCCGGGAATTTCCCAGCCCCAAAAACGAGAGCGAGACAATGACACATTAGAAGCATCGAATCGTGTCCTGATTGAGTGATTATCCAAAACACAATTCTCAACATGCTATGATTGATGACGGGCAATCGAATCAATCGAGTTTGGTGGGAAGGGGAAGGGGAAGGGGATGCCCCCAAGGATTCAGCTATTTATTGTCTAACCGATGACCTTTGACGGGCGTGAAAATTTGTCCGAGATCCTTCAAGATTTAATTAAGCTCTCCCAAGGGGGCGGTCGCCGAAAGTGCTTGAGATAACAAAATCAATAAGCGGCCGCTTCGACCTTTAATTACACAACACCAACGCAAGGATTTATGGGACCTGCTCCAAGTCTCTACATCTATATCTATTGTGTGTATATATCTGCCACATAGCCACAGCCACATCCACTTAATCGTCGCTTAGTATGCATGGCATGCGGTGGCATCGCCGCGCATCTGCTGTCTGGCCTTGGTCCTGCGGCTCCTCCTCCCGGTCCTTGGGCTCCCCCAGCGCCATTCCCCCCTGCCACCAAGTTGCAGCTGTGCCAGCTGAGGCATCAAATGGGAATGTCGACGGCAGCAGAACAGCCCCCCTCTGAGATAACAGAAATCAATGTCAACTGCAGCCTGAGCTCTTGGCCCTGGGGAAAGTAGTTCTCCGACACTCCGTGCCGACAATTAAGTTCGCATCGGAATTTCAAATGGCCCGCAAGCCAGTCTCTTCAATTGACCCAATTAAATCAAACATTGTTCGGGGGAAATGGCAAGTCGTAGACCGGAAAACCCAATTTAAATATAGAGTATTTCCAAAGGCACTCACTATCGATGGTGTTCAACAGAGTCCTGGAACAGCAGACGGAGTCCGTTCCACGTGGCGTATGGGTAACGGGCATCACGCATACGCCACCGCTAGCGTTATGCAATAACTGTTGCACGGCCCAGTGCTGCTCAGCCATTCCGATTCCGATTCCGACTCGCAGGCAATCAAGGTGAATCGCCAAATCCCTTTCGGCAGCCGGCTAAGTCCTTCCACTCCTGGTCCTCCAGTCGGAGGGTTCCTCCAGTTGGTAAGGGGAGGTGTCTGAAATCGTTTCGATTTCGGCGCCTCACGGATTCCGCCGCCGCCACTTCCCACTTTTCCCGCTTTTCCCACTTTTGTGGCAGCAGAACAATAAAGCCAAACACTGTTCGCGTCCGTATCTCGGAAATTGACGGCCAAAGCGATAAAAAAAGAAGGAAAACACAGAGAAGCACTGAACTCGCGAGCGCATTTCCCACAGCGAAATATAAAAACACGTGTTCCATAAAGATATGTGCACACCCCACTATATATATATATATATATATATATTTATATATATTATACGTATACCATGTACAGATAGAGCTCATGTATTCGGCATGCGAATAAATTGGAATTTTTTGCGGAATGATTCGCATGTGCATGCGATTTTGATTTGATATGTACTTTACGTTTATGTTTTAAGCGAATCATTCAACGCGCACTCGATTGTTGTGGAGTGAACTCGATTTAATGGCTTACCATTTGATTTTCATCAGGGCAGCGATGTGTCGGTCGCCGAGGCTTATGCATTCGATGACTTCAACAACATAATGAAGGTAAACTTTGACCCACATTCCCCTGCACCACATTCACTTGCACTGCGAACCGTGGTCGTCGTGTTCACATTCTAGTCCCCTTCACATTCATTAAATTCCGGCTAACGCCTACACTTCATGTAAGGTGGTTGGGGGGGTGAAAAACATGGCCAAAATGGAAGGATAATGGCGAGGAGGGGAGGGCGGGACATATCTGGCATTCTGGCCGCGACCTTCTCCGGGCCCTTTCGGGCGGTACAAATTGCTTTTGGTCTCTGGACATCAAAGGAATTTTCTTATTAAGAAATACTTCCTTGCCTACTTCGCGAGCGCCTTATTAAATATTGCATCGAGCAAAGTCATGTGCGAGTTGATAATGAAGATATATTACATCTGAAATTGTTTACTTTTATTGCATACTTTTCGACAGACTTGGTGGGGGAAAGATGGGGAACTTAATGATAAGTTATTGTGCGGAGCATGGGAATGAAAAAAGAACAGGAGCAGTGAAAAATTTTATAACTAGTTTTCCTTTTTATCCTTAAGCTTAATAGTTAAAATTTAAGTTGTCGCTTAAACAGGAGAGTAAACACAAGACTTAAGTATTTTTTTATAGCTACTGCACTTGCAATAAACTCTTTAGGAATATTTAAAATTCTTAGTTGACAAGTTATATTAAAGTGAGAATTATAGCTTCGTGTTTGTTCAAACATTCACGGAGATAATGAGATTACGCTAAGTGTAAAGTCATGTTGAGGAAGGCGGCTCGTCCGATGGCGAATAAGTCATCCATCTAGCTTACTGCTTATTAAATGCCACCAAAAGACGAACCAAGACCAGTGCAAGCTGGATTGGCTTTAAGCCGAACCTAATCCGGACAACTAATACCAGAGAACGCCTGTCGCAAAAAGCAGGAAAGGCTTTTCCCTACACACGCCCGAACATAGTTGGCTTTTCCGGGGAGGAAGGAGGAGGGAAAGAGGGGGAAAAGCGGGGGAAATACGACCCAGAACTTGAAGGGAACATTGTGTAATATTTGATGCATTACCATGCATAAGTAAGGAATGGCAGTGAGTGAGTGTGCCGGCCCTTTGTTGTTTTCTAAGGCCTCGCACCGAAACTTTTGCTGTTGGCGAAGCCATTAGGCAGCCAAGGCTGGCCAAAAAAATGCCAGCATTAACGAGTGGGAGAGGGTGCGAATAAAAGAAGCCAAAAAGCCCTGATTGTTTGCACAACTAATGGCCGCGCCGGCTCAAAGGCAAATTGCCAATAGTTGAGACACTCAGCCGGCTGTTTCTCAATTAGGTTAGTTCCAGCAAAAACTGGAACAGATGTTGGACTTGGACGGCCACAAAGACTGCTCATTAATTGCAACGAAAGGGAGCTGAAAAAATTGAATTAAACACTTAAATTGCAGAGCACAATGTGGCTGAAAAATGTGGGAAAACTATGCATTTCTTTACATTCCAGTTATAAAAGCAATTATGAAATGCTAGTTAGTTTATTTAGTGCATACTGCTTTAATGCAAATGCTGAAAAAAAAATACGAAATTCATGTTCGCTTTTCTAGTTGAGCATAATTCAATTAAATCGCTTGGGAACACTTTAAAAAGTTATTTAACTTTGAAACTCGTTGATTGCGAATTGAGCCGAGCATTATTGAATTAAAGCGAAACTTTCCGGCTCGCTGAAATTCGAACAAAACTCGACTGTGTCACCATTTTCCTATTATTTTTCTGTGCTGTGCAGCGGCGAAAGGTCAAACCCTTTTCCATTTCCCCGGGAAAACGCCGCCCAAACCAGAGACAAAACTTAAACCGAGGACCATTTGGCTGCCGTGCATGTTTGTGTTTACTTTTGCACTATATAGTGAGCGGAGATCGGGGTATCCGGGGGGATATAGACGGCAGTAGGCTCTGTTTGTCTATTGCAAGGGGGAAGGGAAAGGGGGAAGGGAAAGGGGTGGGGAAAGGGGGAGGGGCAGTGTGGAAAACCCGGGCAACGGCTGAAACTGAAAGGACAACAATGCCGACACGGCTGTGTCAATAGTTCAGCGGGACACGAATTGCAGTGCAAAAACGGTGCATTTTTAGTGCCAGCCGGCAGGTTTTACTAGCATTGTGCCGTTTTGGCATGTGCATAATTTCAGCTCTCTGGTTAATTGTTTGGCCAGTCCCAGAGGACCACCAACTGGCCCGAACCCTCCAAATCTGGGCGGTGAACGTGTGTTTGCCGTCGACTGGAACGCTTTCATTAAAGTGCAAATTGTTGCTCCCATTGTGCCGACGTCGTTCTCTAATTTCATTAGGCCAGCCAAATATGTGTCCAAAGTTTTGGCCAAACAGCATGTTTGTTCATTTGTATTGGGTCCGGCGAATGTTTGCCTGCCAGCAGTATTTGTCACACAAGTATTGCTGTCACCTTGCCAACTTAAATCTCGAACAAATTAGTTTTAAACTTTCGTGGGGAATTTATAATTGTGTTCAAAAGTGATTATGAGAAGGATATTTAAATGGTAACTCAAAAAATTCAAGTGTCCAATTAATTTGTCTGCAACTTGTTTAAATGAATTTACCTTTAGCAAGCTAAACATAAAAAAAAACCTTGAGTTACAGAATACAGAATTTGAACTACAAAGTGGAAAGTTTCTTTTTTATTGCAATGCAAAGTTCTGTTGAAAATTATTGAGCTCCCTGCAAGAACAAAATAATTTTGAAATTTTAATTTAGTTTGAAACAAAAGTCTGTAGTCGGTTTCATATTTGTTTTTTTCGACTTAAATAAATGAGTTTTCTTTTTCCTTTTCAAACGTTGCGAAAAGTCGACATGTGTTTGGTACTTGTTTTTGTGGCTTGCAAAGGTTATTTTACGTTTTGCCACATTATTTATGTATTATTATTATGTGCTTCTATCATCCCCTGCAATTAATTAAAATTTCAATTACTTTTCCATTTTCTTCTTTGAAAGCCTTCCTTTGCTTGAATAGGAAAAGGGTATTTTTAATTCCATTATCCAGGAACATGGGTTCAACTTTATTCAGCTGGTGAACAGGAAATGTTCGTTGGAAGTGAGAAAGTGGGAAATTGTTACAGGTCCAAAGACATGAGTGTTATTAATTAAAATCGTGCAGTGCATAAAATGGTTTGTTTGCCATTAGGACGGAGAGCCCAGAACATTTTCAGAATATTTCCAGGACCCACCAGGTGAATCCCCATTCCAAAATCCAGATTCCAGATTGGCTTTCGGCATTCGTGTGCGGCGTTGCTACCATATTTGTGTTTGAGTTTGTATTTGCCTTCGACAATGTTTGTCTTTTATTAGAATCGTTCTGTCGGACAGGTTTTTCTCTCAGGTGGAAAGGTGGAAAGCGTGTGAGCACGTGCGTGTATGGGTGAGCACCTGTACCCGAGTACGCGAGGATCCAGCAAACAGTTTTCATCTCTTGTTTCCTTTTTTTTTTGCCAGCTTTCCCCGGTTCACACGCTTTTGACTCAATTGAGTTTCGACTACGATTTTTGTTACCGCTTCGCTTTCCTTTTTCCCCTGCTAAATTAATTGGATTGTAAGGTTTAATTGCTGACAGGGGAACGCAGGGAAATTATTTATGAGAATTCAGCCGAATGTTAATGCTGGCATTTGGAGACCCAACTTCGGATTTGACCCGAAAATTCGCTCGATCGAACAGCGGAAACAGATTTATTCATTCATTGATATTATTTATTCAGGCAATTATTTATGATTCCTGATGCGCCTCGTTTGCTTCGGTGATGGAACTTTCACCCGCCCAAGGACAAGTGGCCATAACAATTTAATGGCGGGGTAATGTTCTATATGATAAACTAATCAGGCCAGCTGGCTATAAATTATCCTGTTGAGAGTGTCTGCTTCTCCTCCCAGCCTCCCAGCCTTCGAGGTTTCGAGTTTTTCCTCCGCCGGCTCAAGATTAACGTTGGCCCATTCGCCTTCGACGGCGCAATTTGTTTTCCTTTTTTGTTGTTGCTTGTTTGTTTTCCCATGCTTTTCCCTTGTTTTTGAAGGACGAAGGACTGCGGGCCACTGACAACGGACACTCTGTAATTTCATTGGGCCTCGGCTGCTGGGCGGGCAACCTTGTCCTGTTGGCCCAGCCTTGGCACTGAGACCGTTAGTTTGACTTTGGCCGGGTTTCCCGTGCCTCGTAATTAGCCATTTTCTTTGATACTCGACGGCACTTTCAGCGGTGGCTCAACACCAACCTTCAACCTTCAACCCCAACTCACAACCCCCAACTCCCAGCCCCAAAAAACACCTCGTTGCGACCTTTGACGGCACTTAATTGAATTGAAAAGTCGACTCAACAGGCGCGTAATTTGCCTTTGGAAATGTTCATTAGCCGAACACCTCCAGAAACCATTTTAAAGTAGTTCTGGAAAATGTTTACTCTACCCTCGCTCCACACTCTACTCGCTTTTAAAATGGGGCGTTGGGGGCAAGGCTGCCGAAGTGTAAACTTTTCCGTTGTTTGTTTGCCGTTTTCCCCCCCGAAGTTCAGTTGCGAGAACTTCTTTAATTGCCAGCTGGCCAAAGTTTTTCTCCAATTTGGCCTTATCCCTTCGGCTTTTATTATTCTGCTGCTGCTGTTTTATTTTTTAGTTGCCATGCTGTAAATGTGCGCTCCAACATTGGCCCGCTCTTCGTGACTTTATGACGTGGCTGAGGAATTTTATTTATGTTTATGCGGGAGCTCTTGATATAAAATTGTCTTTTATGGCAGGCGGCTGGAGCCGGGGATCTGCGAAACTCGTTCTAGCGAAACACGTACATAAACAGGTAGCAAAAAAATGGGGTATCAGATTTCAACTTAAATTGTTTACTATTAAAACATATTTTAAAAGTTAAAGTTGATATTTAATACACTAAAATAGAATTGAAACCTATTAAAACAGTTTTATTTCTAACCGAAAACCAATTAATTGATACAACATATATTTTATGAAATATATTTGTTATTAAAGTAGCTGAAATTGTGTTTAAATATTTTATGCTTTTATTATTCTTACATTCAAAAACTATTTAAAATCAAAAAATTAATCCTTCACCCAATATTATGTTTCACTTCATTTTGTATTTGATGATTTATAATTTGTCAATTTTTAGTTTAATTATGTAATCGTATCCCTACAAGTTGAAGTTTCTTTTGCAAGACTTCCCCTTTATTAAGTGGTTTTTTCTCAGTGCACTCATAGCAGATGGGGGAAGGGTTTTGGCACAACCGCAATTTACGATACGGATACGAGCTGCCTTTGTCTTTAGCTCCACCTGAACGTTGCGTATACGCAACATTGGCCAGCGGGGGGTGATTGGGAAGGGGGTTGGAGTGACACGGGGGTGGTAAGAGTGGGTCCTGTTGGTTTTGCTTTTGATGTAAAGAGCCACTCGAGGCAATTTTGCGCTCTTATCCCAATCAACGTGCAGTAATGGAGGACACGAGGGAGACCGCTTGCTAACCTTTGTTGTACGTTACGTTACGTCCTCCTAGAACAACCATCAGACACATCAGCAACAGGGCCAGCCGCAACAGCAACAGCAGCAACAGCTACAGCAACATCAGCAGCAGCAGCAGCAACAGCAACAGCAGCAGCAGCAACAACAACAACAGCAAGCACAGCAGGATGCCGGACTGGGGGACACGCTGTCCTCGCTGCCACAGGCATCGTTCAACTACATCAACTCCATCGTGGGCAGCGGAGTCATCGGCATACCCTACGCCCTCCACAGGGCCGGGTTCGGACTTGGCCTCGCCCTGCTCATCCTGGTGGCCTACATCACCGACTACTCGCTCATCCTGATGGTGAGTGGCAAGCCCTAAATCGACGCCTTCTTTAGATCGACTTAGAGCGCCAATCAGCCGAATCAGGCGAATCCAACTTGCATTTCCGCTTAACGTTGGGCCCATGTGCCATTTTCTGGATAATTAACGAGTGCACTTTGCATTTGCGAGGGCGTGTGTGCAGCCGTTCAAGCCTCATTTCATTTGCAGGTCAGATGCGGCCACATCTGCGGCAGGTTCAGCTACCCGGGCATCATGGAGGCGGCCTACGGCAAGTACGGCTACTACTTGCTCTCCCTCCTGCAGTTCATGTATCCCTTCCTGGGTGAGTCCATCGGTCAGCCCCTCTTTTTCGGGGGGATAAATATAACGCTGCATGGGGAACCTTACACTACCTTACACTATATATAGCTATTTGTTTCATTACGTGATCGATTAACAAAACAAAATTGTTTTTGCCTGCTATTTATTATTGTACTGCATCGTTTTATTTGTATGATTGCTTCAGGGGAAAGCTTTTGCTTTTTAAAAAAGAACGTGGTTTTCAGTTATAACTTGTAAAACAATATTTATACGTTTTATAATTATTTTATTGTTTTTTTAAGGGCATTATACGTTTTGTGCTTGGTATGAAACTTCTAATTCTTATTTCAGAAATTCAAATTCAGTGACCAATTCTTTTAAAGTAACTTATATTAAATATATTAAAGGCCTAATGATTAGTATTTAAGGTTGAAGCTCGACTGTATACTATATAACTCAAACAGAATAAGAGGAAGAATTAAAGGAAAGAGTTCATAAATAATTCTACTTTAATCAGGCTGACTTATATTTTTGCTCATTCATAAATAAGGAATTTCCAACTTAGAAGCATGTTTCTGTTATTACGCTATATTAATTATAAACTTTTTTATCTTGTACATAAAAAAACCTATATTTAATTTATTATCATGTTTCCTGAAAATCGAAGCTAAGCCTTGAATTGATAATATTTTCCAATTATCCCAGGATTAGACATGAACTTTTTCATTATGAGCATAAAAAATCTGTTTTCTTGTTAAATTTTAATTTGGTATTCTACGTTTGGCACTCAGACATTTTTTATGGGGCAGTATAAATTTGATGAGCCATTTTTTGTGATCGAAATTCTGTGATATGATAACCCTCCCCTTCTTTTTTCAGCCATGATATCCTACAATGTGGTGGTGGGGGATACGCTGTCGAAAGTGCTGGTCCGCTTCTTTCCCTCCTGGGGCGGTTCGATGGGGGCGGTGCGGCTGGGCGTGGTCTTCTTCGTCAACGTGGGCGTGGTGATGCCCCTTTGCCTCTATAAAAACGTCTCCCGACTCGCCAGAGCCAGCTTCATTAGCCTGGCCTGCGTGGTCTTCATCCTGTTTGCGGTCATCATCAAGCTCATGTCGGGCGATTATAAAGTGTAAGTATGTCAGCACTTTCCTTCATTATGTCTCCCCAAGAAATTCGCACATAAAAAGGGTTAAATCTCAGTTCGATTAAAATACAACCCTTTACTCTGTGTTACATTTAATGTGGCTTACCTTTTTCCAAAGCCTTTTTCCAGTTGAATTCATCAAATCAATTATCCCTAAATGCAGTCGACTTTCGCACGTTTCTAACCCAAATGCTTGGCGTGTGAATTTAATTGAATACTGTTTTGCTGAAATGCCAACGCCTATTGATTGAGCCAATTAACGCTTGAATTCAGCTTACAAATTACGATTGTGCTACTAACTGACGGCTGACCTGCATAATTGATTCAGTAGCAAAGTTCAATCAGCGGGGAAATATTACAAATGGAATTTTGAAAATTAGTCCGTGTTCATAGGAGCCTCACGATTTCAATTACTGATAATTATAAAATTAGATTAAATAATCGTATGCAAAAGCGTTGAAATTTTGGTGGTTTTAACAAAAGATGCTAATTTCCATTTCATAGTGATTTTCCTTCCTTTTATTAAACGTAGATTTCTTGCCTTTTTTTTGCCAAAGCAATTTATAAAAGTTATAAAAGAAGCTATAATTTATTTGCAATTTATGGCACAATTTGTTTTAATAAATTTGTAAAAGAAAGCAATATTTTTTCTTGGTTTTGTTTAGACCTTAAAGTAAAAGCGTTTTAACATTTAAGATGGCAAACCAATTTATATAAATTACCATAAATATTATAAGTATTAAAAATTGTACTTTTTCTGTTATTAAAGTTATTAGCGATTGGATATGATTTCAAAAAGGTGTTTGCTTCTAATCCTTTTTAAAACTTTCACTTTTTAAAGTTATTCCAAAAAAACCTTGAACATTGAGGTTGGCTAAAGCACTTTAACTTGGCCCTTAACTTTCTGGCTGCCAAAGCAATTTATAAAAATTAGCACAAAAAAAAAAAAAACGTAAATAGCGTCGGTTAAACGCGTAAAGATTTATTTACATTTTAATTACAAATTGTGTACTTTTGCTCGATTTTGCCCTAACCGCCGACAAAGTTGCAACCAGTTGGACCTTAGCTGGGGAATAGGGCTTTGGCTGCGGGTGGTTGGATGCCCCTCCCCCCATTTGTGGGTGCTGGTGGTTTGGGCGGGTGCACAAGTGGTGGTGCTGGGGTGGTGCTAGGGTGGCTCTGGGCTTTAGTGCTAAGTGGCGCTTTAGTGTTTTCAAATCTGTGGCAACTGCCCGGGGCGGTGGTGCTCCTCCTCCTGCTCCTGCTCCTCCTGCTGCTCCTCATCCCGCTCCACCAATAGCTGCCCCGCCCACTCCTTGTCCCGCTGGTGGTGCAGAAGCTGCTGGGGGAGCGCAGAGCAGAGCTCATAAAATTTAGTGTGCCACTTGTTTGCCTTTTATGGCTTTTCATTAGGCGAGTCGAGTTGAGTCTGTTGCAGTGGCAACTAAGTTGTATGCATACATACGTCTATGCACTGCAAAGCCAGAGGACGCGCAACACTTTCTCCCCTGCACTTTCAAGGTCACTTGGGAGGGGAGGGGGAGGAATTGGGGGGTTGAAGCTCCCCTTTCGGTTGAGGCAAACCTTGGCGAACCTTGAATGCTGCGTCTGCGTCTGCGGTGGGCATAAAATTTAAATAAATTTCCAATTTGCGGCTGGCTGGCTTTCACCCTTCTTATCTTTCGGTGCGCACCTTTTGTTTTCCCACTCATTTTTTATGCGAATAATTCACATTTCCGGGGGCCGTGAAATGTTAATTTGGTGTTAACTTTTGTGTAATGTAATGTTTCCTGGGAAAAACCTTTTTCCCTTGTCCTTTTCCTTTTCTTCTCTTTAGAACGGACACGGCGGAGTCGTGGCGCTTTGCCAACTCGGATCTTATCCCGGCCACGGGCATCATGGTCTTCGGTGAGTTACGGCCTGGTTTGCCACTCGAGCGTCTGTCTAACCATCCATCCATCCATCCATCTATCGAACGGACAGCCTTCATGTGCCACCACAACACCTTCCTCGTCTACCAATCGATGCGCGACGCGACCCTGGAGCGCTGGGAGAAGGTCACCCACATTTCGATCGGATTCGCCTGGACGGTGGCGGCCCTCTTCGGCATCGCCGGCTACTCCACCTTCCGCGCCCTGTCCCAAGGTGAGGGATTGGCCCAAATTGCATTTAATTGACGGGACAGCTAATTTGGTAATCCACTGCCTGCTTGTCTGTCTGCCGACGGGATTTGTTTCACTTTCGCAGGCGATTTGCTGGAGAACTACTGCTGGGATGACGACCTGATGAACTTCTCGCGTGTCCTCTTCTCCATTTCGATACTGCTGACCTTCCCCATCGAGTGCTTCGTCTCCCGCGAGGTTTGTCCCAAGAATACTCCAATAAAGTATCGATGTCTCTGAAACTCACGTGTTCATTTCTCTGTAAATTCCCAACAGATTGTGCGCGCCCTAGTCCATCGGTTCGTGCTGAAGGAGCCCATCAGCGAGTTCACCCAGGACAAGGACCCCAGCCTGGAGAAGGGGGCCATCATCGATGAGTACTCGAAAGCCATTACCATGGCCATCGTGTTCAGCGCCTTCGTCATCTCGCCCATGACCGACTGCCTCGGCTCGGTGCTGGAGCTCAATGTGAGTGCGATTCTCCCGTGTCCTCAATCCTTGATTTTCCCTCCATATCTGCTGCTCCAAGAACATACAAAATGGGCGGGTTACCCTTGACCAGAAGAAGTGCTTAAGGGGGGAAGAAGAGAAAACGTATCTAAGTTTAAAACTAGCGTACATTAATCCAATTAAATCAGCAGATTTCTCAGACTCTCAAGATCCTGCAAGACTGAAAAATATTAGGTTTTTAAGTGTATGTTCCTATCTTTATTTATATTTCCATCTAAGCTAAAATCTATACATTTTTGTTGGGTCATTAATAACTGCAAACTTTCGTAAGAAACTATTTTAACTTTGTGCAGAGATAAAAGCAGCTTTCTTATCACATTTTATGTTTATTCCGGGTTATGTTTTTCTGTGGTAATATTCACGATAAAAAAAGCCAGCTGCTTAACCGCAAAAAGTGAGAGTTTCGCTTAAATTAATCTATGGTTCTTTTAAAAACTGACTCAGATAAGAGGACCTACCAAATGCAAAACCCAAAAACCTAAACTACCTTCAATCGATATTCTGTTTTGTATGAATTATTTAACAAACATTTATATTTTCAACTTGCTTATCATATTCAACTCAATATCTGGCTCTCATAAGTATTGAAGCTGTTTGAATTTAAAGCTTATTTATGACTTTTTGGTTTTCTGCATAAATGCAAGCTGAGCCCATTTTATATTCCTTTTTAAGTTTTCAAAAGACGAGGCAGCCAATATTTTAACGTGGCCTGTTCAACAAAGAATCTGTATATTGCCCCGGCTTCATCAAATACATCTGAGACTAATTCGAACATCAGCATTCACATTGGGGCAGCAGCAGCCTCATGGCCAAGTTTATTATCATCAGTAGGTCGTTTGGCCCCTGCATTCTGGTCACGGGTATTGGCCACATTGCCGATCCCAAATGGCGCTCACAAATTGTGGCCCGAACCGGGTTCTTGTATTTGCCATGCAAATTTATGCCCCGACTGGTGCTTTTCTCTTTTTCTCCTTCTCCTTCCTTTCAGGGTCTCCTGGCGGCCATTCCCTTGGCCTACATCCTGCCCGGGCTGGCCTACATCCAGATGGAGCCGCACGCCCTCCTCAGCCGCGAGAAGCTGCCCGCTCTGGGCCTGGTCGTCTTCGGAGCACTGGTGACCATCCTGGGGGCGGCCGTCCTCCTGCCGGGACTGATGGGCGGCGACTGCCGGTCGGATATTGTGATGGGCTACTGCCGGCAGGAGTTCCAGAACGCCACCGCCTCGAATTAAGTGGAATGAGTACGGGAAGGGAACGGAACAAAAGCGGAAACGGAAGTCAACTCACGAGTTTACGGGGTGCGGGTTGGGATCGTATTTATTGGGTTTAGTTTTCGATTTCGGTTTGAAACCCCTGAGTTCCCCTGAGTTCGGATAACACAGCTGCACCAGTCGCATCGAAAGAAACTTGTACCTGAGTCCCCCAGACGTTCAAAGTATCTGCGTAAGTAGAGTAAAGTAGGCAAAGAGTTGAGTTGTAATGGCCACTTGGCCAACGGATTGGTGATACGGGCGAACCTCAGTACAAAGGCCAGGCATTCTCTGCGATCGAGCAAACCCTGCATAGTTGCACCGGATATACATACATATATAAATTTACTGTGTACATTTCGTTGGATCCCCGTTGTTGATGTCGATATTGTTGAAAGTAGCGAAAGTTCCTCGATATATATGAGCGTGTATTTTGAAGCCACAAGGCTGGGAAGGCAAAGAATTGAGAGAGCGAAAGTGAAGCAAACTAAACCAAACTAGAACTAGATGTTATCCGTAGCTTTAGCGTAGTCTGAAACTATTTGGGCACCAATATACACATGCAATCCTTAACGACAACCGACTCCCCAGTTGAGAAGCAAATCAAAATCGAACAAGTATTATACCGACAACTATTTGTAACTATGTATGTAAACTATATACTATATCTATGCCCCGACGTTACTACGTTTTATATATGTATATGTGTACAAGGAGTAGACAACAGCGCTTTAAACCAAAACCAAATCAAAATCAAAAACAAATCAAACTATACTCTTTCCATTAAAAACACATCGATTCGAACAACAGTTTTGAGTTGTTAACGGCACTGAATTCTGTTTTGAATTGCGTATATACATACACACACAACAAACACGATCGAAGATTATATATACACATAGATATATTTTTCTACAACTCTTGGTTTATACTGCACGATATTTTGTAAATACATGTGTATGCATTTTGGATGTGATTAAAGTCAGTTTACACCGACACAAGCCAACACACCTTACTTACTTTCTCTTCGGGCTGAGAGATCGGAACCAAGCTGAAGACCCATCCACTCTGTATTCTGTACTCTAAGAGCTTAACACTACATATCATGGCCAAGGGACACGGGCTTTTCGAGGATACTTTTTACAAGACCTAACCAACTGAAACTAAAGCTATCGCCTAAACACAACGAAAATGGAAACTGAAAACCGGAAGCCGGAAACTGAAAACCGGAAACTGATAACTGAAAAACGGACGACAGCAGGAGACAATTTCCACAGACCTCTTGTATATACACGCTATATAGATCCGCTTGTATCGTATATAGCAGTACGATATTCCACATGTTCTCATTCGCCAAATATCTCGTTGTATCTCTCTTTAGCGCAACGCTACTCAAAAATGTATATCAAAGTTGTAGTTGGGAATTAGGGAGGTGTTCAGCGATTATAGCCGAGTTGTAATTATTATTGCCGCATTATGCATGTAGCGACATATATATACATATAACTAATTGTTTAGATGGGATGCGAGCCGGGAGTCTTGATTTACAACGCAGGCATAACCCAGAGATAACCAAATCCGATTTCATTCCAATAGAACATATGTTTAGATAAGCTACAGCAAACCAAAAAACCAACTTGAAATATTCTTAAAATAATAAAAAATGCATTTTAGAAATATGCTAAACACTGCGGTTTCCTTATCTCCGCAGACCGAGCTAATTTTCTCAGGCCCTCTGCGGTTTTACTGGTGATAATGTAGTTCCGTATCTTCAGAATTTCGTATAAAAGGGGAAGCTATTTCTCTGGATAGTCACAGTTGTGAAGTGCCAGCGCTTCCAGTGACATTCGTTCTCCTAGTTTCCTTTTGGGTTTCAGCAGTAACACTCCAATTCTTCCATCAACAATGGCTGACAAGAAGAATCTCCTCCTGCTCTTCGACCATCCCACCGAGCCTGTGTTCATGGACAAGGGCAAGCAGGTGACGGTCTTCGATGTGCCGGACTCCTTCCTCACCGATCGCTATCGCCCGATCAGCAACGAGGTGCAGAGCCGCGTCGGCGAGAAGGTGGAGCAGCGCATCCCAGTGAGGGATATCTCCATTCCGGATCTCAGGATCCCCATGTCCCTGGGCCGCGATGAGTCGTTCTCGCTCTTCCTGCCGAAGCACCGCAGGATCGCCGGTCGCCTGATCGACATCTTCATGAACATGCGCTCCGTGGACGATCTCCAGAGTGTGGCTGTCTACGCCAGGGACCGCCTCAATCCGGTGCTCTTCAACTACGCCTTGTCGGTTGCCCTTCTCCATCGACCGGACACGCAGGGCTTGGATCTGCCCTCCTTCTCGCAGACCTTCCCCGATCGCTTCATCGACTCGCAGGTGATCCGCCAGATGCGGGAGGAGTCCTTTGTGGTGCAGCCCGGCTCCCGGATGCCCATCACCATTCCGCGGGACTACACCGCCTCCGACTTGGATCCCGAGCACAGGCTGTGGTACTTCCGCGAGGACTTGGGCGTCAACCTGCACCACTGGCACTGGCATCTGGTCTATCCCTTCGAGGCCACCGACCGCAGCATCGTGAACAAGGACCGACGAGGAGAGCTCTTCTACTACATGCACCAGCAGGTGATCGCCCGCTACAACGCCGAGCGGTTCAGCAACAACCTGGCCAGGGTGCTGCCCTTCAACAACCTCAGGGAGCCCATCGCCGAGGGCTACTTCCCCAAGATGGACTCCCTGGTGGCCAGCCGTGCCTGGCCGCCGCGCTTCGAGAACACCAAGTTGAACGATCTCAACCGGGAGGCCGACCAGCTGAACGTGGAGATCGGCGACCTGGAGCGCTGGCGCGATCGCATCTACGAGGCCATCCACCAGGGATTCGTCCTGGATGTGAGTATTGGATGGGTTTTTTTTCAATGTATATGTGGTATTATATGGTATTTTAATTGGCAGGAGCGTGGCAACCGAGTGCCTTTGGATGAAGCAACTGGTATCGATACTCTGGGCAACATGATCGAGTCCTCTATTCTGTCGCCCAACCGAACTCTGGTAAGATTACAAACAATATGTATAACTATTTATGCGGAAAAAAAAAAAATTAGATTTGAACAGAAAGATAAAAGAAAGAAAATTTTGTATTTTAAAATCCTTGTTTCAGTTATCTCCATATTTCTTATTTTGTATTCCTTTGCCAGGCAATTAAACATTTATTCCTTCTCTAATTGATTGAAAAGTTTTTAAGTTTAAAAAGATTGAACAGTATCACGATTATATTTTAATAATTTTTAGAGCTTTTTGATCAGTTCAACGTTGATGTAAATCTTAAAGGTACTATTTGAAGTGTTAGAATAGTTTGACAAACGATTAATCAGATAACCATTTTTATGAAGACAGTTTTCGAAACATATTAAGCCTGAGGAATACCAACAGATCATTCTTTACCTCATTTTGCTTATGTTCCTTGTTCAAAAACCTAATAATTTCCTCTCTTGCAGTACGGTGACCTGCACAACAACGGGCACACGTTCATCTCGTACGCCCACGACCCGACTGGCAAGCACCTCGAGTCCTTCGGAGTGATGGGCGATGTGTCCACCGCGATGCGCGACCCGGTGTTCTACAAGTGGCACTCGTACATCGACCGCATCTTCCAGGAGCACAAGTCCCGCCTGCCGGCCTACTCGGACACCCAGCTGAACTACTCGGGCATCTCGATCTCGGGCATCGAGGTGGCGGTCAACGGCAGTCAGCCCAACCAGCTGACCACCTTCTGGCAGCAGTCGGACGTGGACATGTCCCGCGGCTTCGACTTCCTGCCCCGCGGCAACGTCTTCGCCCGGTTCACCCATCTGCAGCACCTGCCCTTCACCTACACCATCAATGTGAACAACGACAGCGGAGCCCAGCGGTTCGGCTACGTGAGGATCTTCCTGGCCCCCAAGAACGACGAGCGCGGCCAGCCCATGTTGATGCGGGAGCAGCGCCTCATGATGATCGAGCTGGACAAGTTCGTGGCGGCCCTGAACCCGGGACCCAACACCATTCGTCGCCGATCCACGGAGTCCAGCGTCACCATTCCCTTCGAGCGAACCTACCGCAATCTGGATGCCAATCGTCCGGCTGCTGGATCTGCGGAGGAGCTGGAGTTCAACTTCTGCGGCTGCGGCTGGCCCAACAACATGCTGATCCCCAAGGGTCTGCCCGAGGGTCTGCCCTGCCAGCTGTTCATCATGGTTTCTAACTACGAGAATGATAGGGTGGGTATTACAAACAATAGATAACCATTACTCCTTCTTAATTTAAAATGATTTCTTTCTCCCAGGTTGACCAGCAATTGGTGGGTCTGTGCAGCGATGCTGCATCCTATTGCGGAGTCCGCGATCGCCTCTATCCCGATCGCCAGTCCATGGGCTATCCCTTCGACAGGTTGCCACGCAGCGGAGTCGACCGCCTGGTGAACTTCCTCACGCCGAACATGAGCATCGTGGACGTGACCATTCGCCACGACAACCGCACCGTTCAGCGCCAGAACTAGGAATGATGATCCGCTCCTGACCAGATGATGACCACCTGATCCCAACGATCCCAACGCCCTGACCCGATTCGATGGCCTCGCCCCTTCTAGATACACAACTCTTAGCAATCTACTGCATCTTTATTGAGCCGCTTAATAAACAAGACATCATGGCATTCCACGCAGCCACTTTTGTGCTCAATTATTGGGGGTCGGCCTCCGACGAGAATCGACGGGAATCTCTCGCCGATTATCAGCGCTTATCAGTCGCCTCTGGGAGGCTTTAAATGCCCGCTCCTCGGCGGAGGAGCTCAGTTCGAGAAGATCCGGTGTCGAGTGCGAAAGTGAAACCGCTTCCCGAGGAGATGGGCCCCCTTCTACTGCTGCTGCTGATAGCGGGCACTGCCGTAAGCAATATTAAGATTGAATAATCTATGGGATCCCACCAAAAATAATAGATTCAGTACATTCGAACTCACCTAATTGCGTAAAGAATTGAATTTCGTTGTGTGAAAAAGTGGGTAAAGAAGTCATAAGTCTTAGTTTTCTTACTGATTTTGTAGATGCCACCAGTTAATAACAATAAAAATTAAAAATGTGAAAAATAATGTATAACAATTACAAACGGCAGAGCAACAAAGTTCAGATTATTTAGTTTTAAAGGAGCTTAAACATGACTTCGAATTTACCTTATCAACGGTCTTGAAAATGATGGGGATTTGCACAAAGTATGTCATTCTAGTCTTCTATTAATTAATTTATGCACATTTTTTTAATAACGAATTTGCTATCAAAGGTTAAGTTCCTTTTTCCGAATTGTAGTTCTAAAATAAAACAAGCTAAATTTGAAAACAAAAAAGTAATAATAATATGACAAGAACAACTCGAAACCATTTTGGTGAATTTAATCAAATATGACTGCTAATTTAAAAGTACCTTATCAATCATTCTTAGTTTCTAGTGATTTATTTGCCCACACTTTTTTTTGATAACGATTCGACGAAGCGTGGACCTTCTATTATTGGTTTAATGGCTTTTCCCAAATTGTAGTGGTTGAATATAAATAAAAAACAAATTTTGCAAACAGAAGTAGTATTATAAATAGGTCAAGAAAATATGAAACCACATTGGTTTCCTTATCAACCAACGGCCTTAAACATCATATTGAATAAAAGATCTTCTAACTTTTGAAAGACTTATTTGCACACACTGTTTTTGATAACGATCCGACGAAGCGTGGACCTTCCTTAATTGGTTTAATGGCTTTTCCCGAATTGTAGTGCGCAAATGCAGCTGCCAACGCTGACCTGGAGGCCAGGACGTTTGCGAATCAGTCGAGTGAGCGGTACTACAGGTTCTACAACCAGATTGCCGCCGAAACCTACTCGGCCAACAACGAGGAGGACTTCGATGCGCTCTTCTCCAAGCTGAACAACGTGAAGCGCATTGCCGAGGAGCTGGTGAGCATCTCCCGCCAGGCAGCTGGATTCGATCTGGACAGGATTCGGGATCCGAAGACCAAACACGCCCTGCAGGAACTTCGCACTGCGGGAGATTTGTTCGTTTTAGGAGATGACTACTTTTCCGCGGTGCAGATGAACCTGGCCGCCCTGCAAACGCTCTCCACGGATAAGGACATTGAACCGTATTTAGGAGGAGCTAATATGCCCAACGAGGACGACAGTCCCCTGGCCTACTTCCCGGACATCCAGAAGATCGTGCAGAGCAGCCGGGATGCCGACGAACTGAAGTACTACTGGGAGGCTTGGAGGGAAAAGAACCAGCTGTGGGCCTCCCTCAACTTCTACACGATTGTGCAGTCGTACCAGCGGGCGGCCAAGATCCTGGAGGTGCCGGTGCACAAGCTGTGGTACCGCTACGACAGCCAGGAGATGCTCCAGCAAATGGAGCAGGCGATGGTGGAGCTGCGACCCGCCTACCAGCAACTCCACGCCTTTGTTCGCCAGGAGCTGCACCAGAAGTACGGTGGCGAGGTGGTCTCCTTGGACGGTCCCATTCCGGATCACCTGTTCCAGCAGGTCCTGGAGCAGGCTTGGGCTGGTGGCAGCATCCTGGAGCAGTACTACCCGCGTGCCCAGTTGCCCGAGTTCGATGAGTTCGTGAAGCACTTGAGTGCCAAGGCCATGGTGAACGAATCGGAGAGATTCTACACCTCGCTGGGATTCGAGCCTCTCTCTGAGGAGTTCCACAAGAACCAGCTGAAGGAGCCCAACCAGGACAGTCCCAATGACGACTGCAGGCCCTCCATCTTCGACCTGACACCCCATGTGTACCTCATGTACTGCGAGAAGGTAAGCTTCCGTAAGCTGATGCAGTATCACAGCCACATGGCCAGGGTCTACTACGCCCGGCAGAAGAGCCACCTGCCCTCCTACTTCTTCAAGGCCTACAACCTGGAGTTCGCCGTGGGAGAGGCGGTGGTCCTCTCCGCCTCCTCACCCGCCCACCTCACTGGACGCCGCCTGGCCAAGGAAGCCCTCGGCGAAACGGCCCTCATGAGCCGCCTATTCCGAATGGTAAGTAGTCTGTTTTTAAGAAAAATAACCATTGCATATAACCATTACAAAACTTACGGATAAACAAATCACAACTTAGCAACTTACAATATTTAAAGTTTAATATAATTATGATATTCGGCGAAATAAATATTTTTATTAACACATTCTTCGAAACATTTAGAAAAATTAGCAAAAACCAACATATTGGATTTTGCCCAAAGGTTGTAATGCTGTTCTTTCGGATTCATCTTCGGAAAATTTAAATAGAATATAAATTTCGTTCTATACTTTACCATTATTTAATTTTAATAAAATATAGTGTTTGGGTTCTTTTTTTCTACGTTTTCACAAATTTTTTTTTTATTTATTTAAGATATATCTCCTAATTATTATTTTTTTCAGGCAATCCACACGATCCTTACCATCCCACTGTACTACGTGCACACCAAGGTGATGCATGACCTTCTGAACGATACTGTGGATATGGATACAGTGAACAAGCACTACTGGCGACTGATGGAGCAGCATGCAGGAATCGAACCGCCTTCAGATCGATCTGAGGGAGCCATTGATTTTCCCTACAAGTTCTACGTCAACATTGACCAGAGTTTCCAGACTCAGTGAGTTTAATGTTCAGAACAAGCTTTTATAAAAGAGTTTACAAATATTGCAAATATTATATTCTAGGAAATTTATTTCCGAAATTCTGGGCTACCAGTTCTACCGCGAGTTCTGCAAGAAGAGTTTCAACAGAGGACCACTGCACAACTGCGATTTCTTTGGAAGTATGGCAGTGGGCAACAGTTTAAAGTGAGTTGCTCAAATTCTCCCCAAGACCTAATTACTTAAAAATTTAATTTAGGTCCATGATGTCCTTGGGTTCGACCAAACCCTGGAAAGAAGTCGTTTCCAGAATTCTGCCCAATAACACTGGACTTAGTAGCTTGGCTTTGCTGGAATACTATCAACCTGTTTTGGGTTGGCTAAACAAATATAATAAGGATGCTAATTCCAAAATTGGATGGACTGCCACAAAGAAAAGTGAGTTTAACTACCACAATATATTTATAATTTACTAATTGCGTTTATTATTGCAGAAATTGTTTAAGACTTCATAGTGTAGCTTTCAAAGAGCCCAATTCTGTTTGTTTACAAATATAAATAAAGTTATTTCTCTACTCTGAGAAACTTTTCCATTTTCAAATGACGTTTTTATCTTTCAAATTTTGATTTGAACTTGTAACCGCTTTATAACAGGCACTAAGCAACACTGATGGGAACCGGGTATATGACTGAAACGGTTCACTCTAACTAGTTATTTCACTCGCACCTACTTGCACATAGCTGAAGATGTTAAATTGACATACAGTGTGTGCTAGAGCGAGATGGGATTAGTACTTTTTGGGCGCGAATAAAAATACGATTTAAAATTCAAACACAAGTACTTCGAATTAAGTAATTCAGAACAAAGGTTAAGACATTTTAAGCTAAATTTTAACGCATAGTTTTAACACAAAATTAAAAATAAATATTACTACGAGGTTTCCTAAAAATAACTGTGTTTCGGTAAATGACAATAAATTTTCTTTAATGATTTGTTGTTAAAGAGGTCTTCCCCAAACTATGTAAGTTAAGTTTTGCTTAGAGTTTAAGTGTCCGAAAACAGAATTAGATGGATATAGCTAAATCGGAAGCATAATAATCGAGTGTAGATAAATACAGTTATATTCAATAACAAATTCCTCTTTACATATTCGACATATTTTATTGTTAACTAGATGTCTTGAATGTAGGCTTAAGGATAAGAAGGTATGCTGAAGCTGTGTGCTGTTGACCTCGGTGCTCTGAAACTGACCGGTTTCCGACAAACCAAATCTCACCCTATTGCAAGGTGCAGCAGCTTATTATAAAGCCACGGCTGACAGCGGTACGCCTCTAGAAACTCGGTGAGTGTCACTTGAGTGAAAATGCTATGGTAGCGTGTGTTTGCCAGTGACCTATAAACCTTCCTTTGGAGGTGCTCTATCACACACAAAAAAATACCGCATTAAAATCGGTTAGTGCGTTCTGAAGTTATAGCTTTATAGCGGAAGGAAAACCTGACTTTTAGAAAACGTTTTGTATGGGAAAAAATAGAAATATCTGTTTTTAGGGCCCTCCCGGAAATTATTCGATTTTTTCTCGCCTTTTAAACCTTCCCTAGACCTCCACGAACATTTCAAGACTAGGATAAGATAAATCCGTTCAGCTGTTCTCGAGTTTTAGAGAGACTAACGAACAGCAACTCATTTTCATATAATGTTTTTCTTGCTAAATGAATCTACTCTTACACAATATATTCCTAAGATTGTTAAAGAATTTCCCAACTGTCCATCAGTCAGCCGGAAAATCGGTTCCGGCTGTGGGCAGGTTGACTTTTCCTTTTAGTTTCCACCGTGTCTGACCACAAATAGCCGGTGACGACTGCGTTGCAACCTCCAAGAGTCGAAGAGCCCTCGAAATGTGGCTTTGGCTGCGTTAAAGTGTCGCAATCCGATGTCGAGAGTCTGTCCTCCGGTTTGAAGTCCATCCAAGCGCACCGCAGCTCGTTGTGCGTTCGCCGCTTGATTGCATCCACCAGCCACATCCACATCCACATCCACATCGAAGACCATGTCCACGTCCACATCCGACCGAGACACTCTTGCGGTGGTTGTCACCAGACATGATGACGATCTGCCTGTTGCCCACGTCACAGATACACTCACCCTACACTCTGTTGGTTATAGTGATGGAATATGTAACTTGGTTTTGTTTAACAATATATAATAAAAAACATTAAAAATTTTCGTTATTAAAAATGAAAACAACTTATCGTATTTACAAGGAATCAAAGAAATTAACATTTAATAACCTAGGAACTCTTTTTTTTGGGCGGTATACAAATTTTATTAGTAAAATAGTATAAACTAATTTAGTAAATTATTAATCTACTTAAAAATTTTTGAGAATTTTCAATTTTGTTTGATATAGTATTAACAAGTTAGGTTATAGTTGATTTTGTTAAAATATCACAATTTTAATTTATTAATCAATGTTTAATAAACATGGTCTTATTTCTGTTATTAGTTTATGTACTATACAATGTAATTATTCAGATTAAACATTAGCAAACAATTTTAGCCTACTTATTACTTTACATAATTTTGTTTTTATAGGCCTAACTTAACACATGGGGTACTTTAAAGGGTTTCTTCGTTTTAAGTGGTATTAGGGTAACACCAATTCGGTTGCAGACTGAAGTGCCGGACTTGGCGACTTGCAGCTGCCACGCTTCACTTGCTCGGCGACTGGCGAAAGGTCAGCGGTTCTGCCTGCGTCCGTTCGCTGTTCGGTCATTAGCCAAGACAAAGTCCAAGCCCGTCAAATTGTGGAGCAGTTGCGGGCGGCAAGGTCGGTGGAATGCCATTCCCCCTCCCCCTGGGAACTCCTCCCTGGACAAATGGACAACCCGTCAGCGGGCGTTCCCCATTTAGCTGGACGACTGCTTTTCCCCAACTGGATTTCCTTTTCGCTTTTCAGCGCGGGGGCGTTCGCGGCAAATGGGCGAGTGCTCTGCGTGCCGCCTTCTTCGTGGTTATGTGGCAGCTGCAGTTGCAGTTGAAGTTGCAGTTGCAGTTGAAGTTGGCGATCTGCAACTCTGCCTGCTGCTAATTGCGCCAAATTGCGGTGGCCGCGGAATGAATGGCCGTGAAATTGAATCATTTCCAGCTGCAGCAGAAGCAGGCACTCTACACTCCACACTGCACACTCGACTCGAATCCAACTTTGACATGGCCCGCCGTCTGTCCATCCGGACTTCGGTCCGTCCCGAAATGGAGTTGAGTGAAAGGCACCCACGCCGTCATCCAGGTATTTCTCCTGCCTTTATGCAAGCTTTTAACCGAATCAAAAAGAACGAACATTCCAAACTCTATATGCTCTGCAAAAAAATATTTAACTGTGTGCAGCATAATTAGTATAATTTGTACAATATTACATGACTTGCAATCGTTTACTATTTCGGAATGACCAACTACAATCACAGAAGTCTTTGATATGCAAATAAACTAAACTTGCTTAACTGAAAATACCTTTAATAAAGGTAATTAAACTGCCGTAATTGAAAGTATTATCGAAGTTCGTGCACGAAATTATTAAGAAATAGGATAAAAATGTAATAACACATTTTTGGTCGAAAAAAGTTTTTCATTTTCATTTCACAGTTCATTTCGGTGAGGTAAAAATACAAACTTCAATATTTATGACCAAAGTCAAACGAAACTACATTTGTAAAAGAAATTTATAATGATTCCTCGCCTTAAAAAATGTAAGCTCATTTAATTACAGCATCTTGCCATTTTGCGTTGCAAATTACTCGCCGAAATTGGCACAGCCCCTCTGGGAGAGTATAAAGACTTAAGTGTCCAAATTATGCATAGATATACGGGTATGGGAATGCTGTGTGGTTGGAGAAAAGATTCGACTTGACTCGACTCGACTCGACTCGAACTCGAAACGGAAACCGCAAAGGGAAAACAAGTTAAATGAAATTTGCATGTCGATGTCAGACAATTTGGTGAACTTTTTTAAATTGCCCATCAGCAGATGCATTCGCATCCACATTAACCCAGAAAGTAAATCCCCATATATGAGCACTCGTTAACAAGTTGGGAACATGTGTGGGGGTACGAGAGTGTTATATGCGAATTTTGTTTACATACTCATCAGGCACGTTGGCGGCAAATATTTGAACAAACGAACGAGTGAGCAAACACAGGCGAATTTCGGCTTAAGTCCAGCACAATGGGGCGGAATCGGAGGTGAATAGTTTAGGGGGATTGGGAATAGGAGAGCAGGGAATAAGACCCCAAATGGCTTTGTTACGTGAGACCATTGTCAAGTTCACATTTGCAAAAGACAAAACAATAGAGAGCTTAAGTGAGTTGATGAAAAGATTTGGAGAAATCGCTCGGGTCAAGGAAGGTTTGGGTTTCAACTTAATTTACAAATATAACAATATAACTAATATGTTAACTAAAAGTTTGAGCTTAGAAATTTAGTTATTATAAACTTACAATTTACATTAAAAAATCAATATTTAAGAGAGTGCTTTCTGTATGTATATAAATATTAAGTATTTGTGTTTATTGTTTCTTTTAGCCAAATGACCTTCGAAAACTTTAACTTTCCCATAAAAAAACAACAGATTAAAACTACTTTTTGTGCTTAATAGTTGATTTAGGCAGTCATAAATGCTAATAAAAAACATATTTTAAAATTGCCATTTACGTCTCAAAAGAAATTTCTACAAAAATGGATTAATGTTTTTAAGCCAAAATTGTCCAAAAACTCGTTAACTTAGTCTGCTATAAGGCTTTGCTCATCGGTTACTTGTGTCCTGCTGCATGGTAATTATAATTCGGCTCCAACTTTCATAACGATTGCGGCGAACGATGAGTTGAAATAGCAGGCTGTTGCAGAAAGATCAGCTCGGTAGAAACTGCAGATCATCGTAAACGTCACGCGCTCGCGCAAAAATTATGATTATTTGACGAAATCCCATGCTGGGTCGCCATTGGGATACCGCTGCCGCAGCGTGGCGCCCCAAAAAGATGGAAAACGAAGGAAAGAAAAGGGGGAAAACAGAAAATCATAAAAACAGAAGAAGCAATCAGCCATAACACAGCGAGCGAACATCCATCCATCTATCCATCCATACCATATATCCATCCATCTACCCAAGAGCTGACCCCAAGCAATTAAGAAATTATGTATATTATGACGCGCGCTGTGATGATGGCAGCGCAGTCGAATAAAAAGCAATAAAATGTTACAGCAACAAATGCGAATGTCGGCTGAGCATTATGTATACGCACCGCTGGACGGGGGGCCCTGCAGGCGGTTCGCTTTGCCCTTTTCACCGCCTTAACCTTTCTTCGGTGCGACTACAATACTAAATACTAATACCAATACCAAAACCAAAACCAAAATGATATGGCGCGCCATAATTATCATTTGTTGCATCTCTTTTTTTAGGGTTGGGGGATCATTATCCGCGCCGCGCGCCGAATATTGTTCAGAATGTACGAGTATTTATCATGGAAATGAGGGAGCTGCGCTTCCTGCAAAAACAAAAGACTGAAGACACGAACTCGATGCCGGGGTCGTTTCGGCCGGGTTTTC